AACTAGTGTCAGTGTTACAATTATGACATCAAGTTCTAAATCGTACTTCTTTAGCTCTTAGCTATTCTTTTCTCTTTTATACTAGAGCTTTAGGACTTTCTACTAAATTAGCTCCATATCGATCTGACACAGTTTACCCAGCAGTATGATATAATTATCTTAACAATCTTTAAGATATTATCTACAGTACTAACTGTAATAATTATTGGGCTGATTACTTAATCGTTTATATATATTTTATACTGACAAGATGATAGCTACTATGCTATCCCAATATGAATATGTTCTTATATGTGATAAATCCAACATCCGAGTGTCTGGATCACCACATTATCCCCACCCAGGTATTAACTAAATACCGTTCAAGTACTCTATGCAATTCTTCTGATCAGCTTGTTCTTTTTTTTTATTTTAAACGAGTACTGTGGTGCTCAAATAACTCTTTATTTAGACCTTACTGCGTTTCTTCTTTTGATAAGCTGTCTTTGCATAATTCTTCCTTTTAGTACCTGAATTTTCTTTAGGTGCGGAATATGCAACTTTCATATCCTTTAATAATTTCTTATTGGCCTTTGTGGTGATCCAGACACTCGGATGTTGGATTTATCACATATAAGAACATATTCATATTGGGATAGCATAGTAGCTATCATCTTGTCAGTATAAAATATATATAAACGATTAAGTAATCAGCCCAATAATTATTACAGTTAGTACTGTAGATAATATCTTAAAGATTGTTAAGATAATTATATCATACTGCTGGGTAAACTGTGTCAGATCGATATGGAGCTAATTTAGTAGAAAGTCCTAAAGCTCTAGTATAAAAGAGAAAAGAATAGCTAAGAGCTAAAGAAGTACGATTTATGACTTGATGTCATAATTGTAACACCGACATTAGTTAAGCAGTAAATACACTCTAATAACCAAATATAGTAAAGGAAGAAAGCCTTAAGAAACTAAGACGTAATGACAAGAGCAGATTGTGTTTTCTTATAAAAAGGGACACTTTTTATTTATGAATAAAGACAACTTATATACAGTCTCAAAGTATTTCTATACGTCTCTATTATCAAATATTTTATTTTTCTATTGTTTCGTATCTGAAATACCACAGCCTTATTGATGTCTTTGATACCTTCTGGAGCTTCACCAATTCTTTGCCAGTATTCTTTTATGAACTTAAGATCAGTAAAATGATCCTCTGGCTCCCAGATATTGTGAGACTCATCATAATTCAACCATTTGCATCTATACAAATAATTGTTCTTGTTATCTTTTATGTGCCCAATAATTGCTTCGACTTCAAAAAAGTCATTCTTTTGCTCTAATACCTTCTCAGAAACTTTTTTCAATAAAGAAGGAGGATAATTCCTTGGTTCTAAAAATCCCTTTTCATTTTTCAATACATAAGTATTGGCAGCAGTCTTTCTAACAACAGTGTAGAATCCCTTATACTTCGGATCTAATTTATTCTGTTTTTCTGTCACCAAAATCATTACCGTGATTCCTGGAACCAGATCTATCATTTTGTGACTTCCATCAAAGCGTTCCTTTTGCTTTTCTGTGGCATGCTTTACGTGTTCAAACACGGCAGGGTAGACTATCTCAGTCATTCTTTTAATTTTTTCTTGCAACTCTTTCTGAATCTGTTCAGCAGTTGCACTATCTTTTTCTTTACTAAAATCAACAAAGTCATTTGGATTCCTTCCAAACATTAATGAGAATGGCATACTTTTAGTCCTAGCATTATACTTGCTATTCAAAAACAACTGCACAGATGGCACCTTCTGATCCCAATCAGCGACATTACCAACTATTTGTTTTTTAATAGTGTTCACTGCCAACTGGACAGCTCTTTCACTTGCACCATTAGCTCTAGGATGGTACTGCGAAATCAATGCATGTTCAAAACCAACATTCTCTTTTATACATGTCATCAGTGAGTTCACAAACTCCCGTCCACAATCACTCTGCAACTTTCTCATCAGACCGCATGTACTAATGACGTCCAGTACTTGTAACGCAATCATAGCTGCCCTTTTATCAGTTATGGCATACAATACATAAAATTTGCTTGCGATGTCTATCATCACTAACAAGTACTTATTTCCTCTAGTCAACGTTGTAAATGGCCCAGCCAGATCTATTCCCCAACTGTCACCAGGAAGTGTTGCAGTCACAGGTCTTAAAGGATTATAACCTTTTCTTGTGATATTATGACGTTGACACTGTATACACGATTGTATAAGATCATTTGCTTGACTCTTCAAGCTGGTCCAATAGATACCTTTTCTCTTTAAGGCATGTAGTATAGCTTCTACACCAAAATGACCTTTCAAATGTTCTTCAACTAATAACTTATTCCTTTCATTTTCTGTGAGAGGAGTAAAGTACTCACCACTCAAGATGTCTGGTAGCGGTTCCATAGTGACAGCACTATTTCTCATGATGGATCTAACCATACTATCTCTACCCAGTTCATTTGATAATGTTTCAGTCTCTTCAGACAAACGTGACAACGCATCAGGAAGCACATTCAAAACACCAGGCAAATGAATGATCTTAAAGTCATACTGTAAAATCGTGTCCATCCATGCGATCATCATCAGATTCGCAACACGTTGGGTGTGAAGATATGTCAATGCCTTGTGATCCGTGTACAAGGTAAAGTGAGAACCATAGACATACTTGTGAAAACGCTTGAGTGCAAATACTAATGCTAGTAATTCTCTTTTGGTCGCAGAATACTTTCTTTCACTTTGGGATAAGCTCTTAGCCATGAAAGAAATATATTTTTTCTTGCCATCCTTGACTTGATACAACACTGCACCAATACTAGTAAGAGATGCATCACAGCTAATACTAAAAGGAGAGTTCATATCTGGGTACGACAACACCAGATCACTCAAAAGTGCTTTTTTCAAGTTATTAAATGCAGTTTGATGCTTATCTGTCCATAAATGGGTAATTGACTTTTCATTTCTCAATGAATCTAGTGGCAACATACACTGCAAAAACATCTTAAAATAATTGAATTCCACTTACCTGGAATTATCAATAATAGTAGCCAAAAAATTATAACCCAGGTCATTTCCTGTGTTTAGCAGCGAGAATATATTTAAAGACATATCATTGGCCTAATATATATCAGAGTCCCTGAGAGAATTTTTCCAAAATAATAAAGACAATTATAATAAGCAACGGCTGTTACACACTTCCTTTATTATTAAAAAAAATTAAGTGAAAAAATGTTTTCCATTGCCAATCCTGATGAAGTTCGTTGCAAATGCACAAGATGCAATCGCAATCCTCTTGGATACACCATGACAGATAAAAGAACTGCCAAGCGTCATGCCCAGAATGATAATGACAGGAATATGGATAAAACCATTAATGGTAAATTAAGTTATCAATTTTTCATTTATTTATATGATGTATTCTAATCCATTAGAACAAATAGTTTTGACAGCCGAAGTAAACACTGGTGAAGCTGATATGGACGTAGATCAAATTGAAGAACATATTGAATGTAATAGTATTTTATTTTTTATACCCAATGTGCACTCTATTTAAACTCGGTACCAATAGATGATAATTACTCCGATGGTGCACCCTCACCAGAGCAGTATGTCAATACCCACTTACCTCTTTTGGTGGAAGAATCTCTTTTTGAAACAGAGGAGTATACCTCAGAGTATGAGTCTGAATATGAGTCGTCGGATAAATTTGAGCAAGAAGAACAGAACAGAGAGCAAGAACAGGGTAAATATTAAAAATAAACTATGATTGAAGAAAAAAGGTTTGAATTAAAGAAACAAAAAATTAATATTATTTTATGATAACTTACAGAGTCTACAGAAAACCTTCCAGAGAATATTTGTCATCGAGTAATTGCAGTTTTCACTGTGATATTTATTTCTAGCTTCATTGTGGATGAAGGCGCAGTAATTTTGATTACATTCATAAATACAATCCTTGAACATTATGGAGAGGATTTCTGACTTCCCACAAGCATTCCGGGTTTGAGGAAAATGACAGGATACAATGACTTGACAAATGGCGTATCAAAATATGTAGCATGCAGTAATTGTCACACATTGTACGATTACAGCAACAACACACATACATCCTGCAATTTCAAAAGAGTTGGTAGTAAGATGCATTGTAAGAATGATCTTTACAAGTCTAGTATGAAGAATGCCATGATTCCAAAGTGCACATTTGTTTATAACCCGTTGACAACTACCTTGAAAAAAATGTTTACACATCCTTCTTTTGAGAGTATGATCAACAGATGGAATCGTGAACCAAAAGTCGATGGTACTTTATTCGATGTATATGATGGAAAGATGTGGAACGAATTAGTGGATGAGGATGGTGTCCAGTTTGTTTCGAAGGAACGATCATTACTATTGACACTGAACATTGATTGGTTTCAACCATTTGATGGAGTAACATATTCTTGTGGTGCGATATACCTGACAATTAACAATCTGCCGAGAGAAGAGCGGAACAAGGCAGAAAATGTCATTCTTGTTGGATTGATGCCTGGACCTAAAGAAGCAAGCACCGATGAGATCAATAACTATTTGCATCCTCTTGTTGATGAACTTATGCTATTGTATAAAGGTATCACAATTGATACATATAACTGCTCAGGTGCTCTGGTACGTGCTGCTCTGTTGATGGTTGCATGCGACATCCCTGCTGCAAGAAAGACGTGTGGGTTTACATCTCACAACAGCACATGTGCATGCTATAAATGCAATCATCAGTTTGCTCGTGTTGATGGGACCACTGCTGTAAACTATTTTGGGCTTAAGTTTTCGGAATGGGCTGGCCGCACAAAAGAAGAAAATCGCAGACATGCAAACCTGTGGAAGAATGCAAAGACATTGACAGAGAGAAAGCGATTGGAAATTGAGAATGGTGTTCGTTGGTCTGAGCTTCATCGACTTGTGTACTTTGAGCCAGTGCGTGCAACCATTATCGATCCCATGCACAACCTTTTTCTCGGGACTGCAAAACGAATGATGGATATTTGGATTGCAAACAATTTGCTTGATGACAAAGATTTTGTAGAGATGCAGGAAGAGGCTAATAGAATGGTACTCCCTGTAGGATATACGACTCTGAAGATAAAGATTGGAAAGAAATTTCCGTTTATGAAGGCAGATGAGTGGAAATCATGGTGCCTGATATACTCTCCTGTTCTGCTTAAGACACGCCTGTGAGATGATCTGCTTGGCAATTGGATCCATTTTGTCGATGCATGCAGAGAATTGACGAAGCCAAGTATCACCAAAAATGGGATCAAAAAAGCTCACGAAAGTTTGGAGGAGTTCTGTGTTGGTTGTGAAGACTTTTATAAACCAGATGTATTCACGCAAAACATGCATCTCCATCTCCATCTAAAAGAAACGATTGAGGACTTTGGGCCAATTTACGGATTTTGGCTATTTAGCTTTGAGCACTATAATGGTGTATTGAAAGGGTTTGAGACAAACCAGAAGAGTGGGTTCGAGAATACCTACATGAAAAGGTTTCTTGAGAATTCTTACAATGGTGACTTTTGTCAAGTGCATCTCAGAAATGTTACCAGCCCTTTACTCCTCTCTCTCTTTCTCAAGCTGTCTGGTCGTAAAATCTATAATCCTGCACTTTCGCCACATCCTTTAATACCGTCATTCTTTCACTTGCCAACGTTCCTACAATCCGCTGAAAAGCCTTCAAAGCAAACATTTGGCAACGAACCTCTACCTCTTTCCGCTCTACCATTGTGTTTGAAGCCACCAACAACAATGAGAAAATCCAAGTATGATTGTCTGCTTGATTTCTATAAAATTGAGTATGACAATGATTCTCTTTGCAGTGCCAAGACAACAATCAGGAATTGTTGGTTTGTGAATGACCGAATCCAGAAGATTTCGTCCATCAATCTTCTTGGACAAGTTTACACAGGTGGAGAAGGCTTGGTCGTGAGAGGATCGCATATACAAGCGAAATTTATTGAAAAAAGTGGAGACTCTGAGGAAAGATATGCTGGTCATATTAAGTACTTGTTCTTGCACGATTTTACACCAAACCTCACGCACACCAACCTTTCCCCTTGTCACAACCCCCAACACGTATTTGCCTTCGTTGAGTGATACAAAATTCCTTGCCATCAACCTAGAATCAAGCAGGGCATCGAGTTGTATGAGCCAGAATTTCTGAAGTATGACTACAACAACATTCTGCCTGTCCACCACATCTTGTCGCCAATTGCAATTGGAAGTCATGTGTCTGGTAGTGGTGCGGCAAAAGTCGTTGTTATTCCTCTGCCAAGAAAGCTGTACGCTTAATAAAATACTCTATCTTTTTTTTAAAATAATAATAATAATATAAAACATAGTTCATAGACATAAAAAGAGATGTGATAAAGAGTGCAACTAAAAAGACAGAAATTTTATTATACGCGTTTTGACCACGTAGGCATTTTTGTGACCAAGCCATGAGGAATTGTCTCGTGTACTAACACATGACTCCGCAACTTTAACTGCGTTGCTCTTTTTCCCAAGTCATCTCTGGCGAGCTCATCAAGAAAGTCAAACACGGTATTCAACTATAAATGTATATATACATCAGGAATCAAACAACAGAAAAATCATTTTATATAAAACATTACCTCATCACTACGCCAATCAGGACGAGATGCAACAACAGAAGTATTGGTTTCTGTCTCATCACCAGACATTGCATCTCTGTAAAAAACGCCATTATAATCCCGATTAAACTTTTCAGTGACGGCATCCTTATGCTTTGTGTACGTTCTTTTTCTCCTTTTATTAAGCTACGATATATATAATATTTTAAGTATACTTGTCAAAATTAAATTATTATAAATAGAAATGCTTACAGCAGTCTTTCTATTTCCTCTTCTGTTTGAGGTAGTGTTTGTCTATCTGTCTTCTTCAGTAAGCTTACTAGCAGCCAAGCGATTGTAATAGCTGTTTACAATTATACCACATAGCTCTTTTGGTGGTACCATGGCTGCTACAGGTTGACAACGAATGTAAAGCATCAAATCACTTGCAAGATTCTTGTTAAACTCGTCAGACAAACCAACATTGACATCCCAAGTTGGTTTATCATCATTCTCTCTGATCAACTCCAAATCATCTGTCTTAAGATTAATATCTCTTAACCGCCCCCAAATAATACTCTATTAAAGGTATATTGATGTTAGATTTAAAGGGAGATTGTTTTTATAATTTTAGTATTTGAGCTTACTGAGATCTTTGGGTGTCTTGAGCTGCTTATGATGTCCTGAGAATCCATATCAGAATCCAGAATGGCTTGCATGCCAGTCGATTGAGCACCCACCTGGCATGGTACTGTTCAAATAGTCAGTCTATTGGAAAACAATATAGTTTGTGTTTAATTACCTTTCAATTCACTAACATCGGAACTAATGGCTATCATTTTGTCATTGAGTGTAGCGAGAAGACTGACTACATCATTAAACTCTGACACTGGAATTGACATATTTTCTGGTCTAGGAGCAATCATTGGATTTGACAATTCTATACGCCCAGTGTTGACTGCGTTGATCAATGGCCTAGATGTTGATCCATTGGTACATGCGTTCTGGTTGATGTTAGTTCTTGGAGCCATTATCTGTATTTTTATATAATAAAATAATAAGTTTCTGGTATATATTGCTTGATATTTCTATTTTAATAAATTTTTAAGAGAGTACTTTACACGTAAAGAATTGTAGAGTAATTGAGTGATTAAACAATTATGTTAATGATTAAGCGAGCAAGTTGAGCAAGTGTATGAGTGTGTAAATACTTCTTTATTTAAATGATCGAGGAGATCGAAATATATTATTTTGAAAAAAATTGAGCTAGAAAACAACTTCTTTAGGTATATAGTAAGTAACAATTGTTTTATGAAACATATAAAGCTATAATTAGTAGACAATTTTTTTTTCAAAGTAAGAGAAACAGTCTAATAACTTTTTCAGGGTCTACGGCTTTTTCAAACACTGTTTTTTATTTTCCCACCTTTTTCTGTTTTTCTCTACTCTTTAATAATATTAATAAAAATAACACTCTTTTAATCCTACTATGTTTCACTTTGGGCACCCTTAATATATACATATGATGCAGGTGTCTTTCATTATACAAGAGGTACTTTACTATTAAATATATCATTATTTTACTAACTATAAATTACTTTAAATAGCCATTACATATATTTCTCTGATATAACCAGTGCAGACAAAAAAAAACACAAAAACATATTGGTGGCATGTACGTATATATCTATATCAACATCTTCTTCCCAGTATTAAAAACAATATCTAACATCTACTTTAAATATAGCTCACCCTTGATTTACATATGGTCAGTAAAAACAAATCATTTAAAGAATATAAGGGTACGTGTTATTCATTTTATTATTGTGTTGTTTTTATTTTGTTTTGTTTTTTTATATCAGCATTCTCACTCTCCTTTTTTATAGTTGAAATGGTTCTTCACATTCTTATATGACCAGTACTCAAGGACAAGACATGTTCCTTTAGTAAATATGTATGTATATGTTTTATATTCCTTTCTTTGTAATATATACTTGAATGACGCATCGGCTCGTAGCTTTTAATAATATAAATCTGTGTTTTATTCCATTATTAACAAATTATTCTAACAGTATGTAAGTATCTTTCTACTCCCTTTAATCAAATAGCTTCAGTAAGCATATATACTCACTATCCAAGTTTATTAATTCAAAAAATTCTGAAACAAAATTTATAAGAAGTACAATATAACAGATTAGTGTATTTAATAGTAATACTATATAGAATTCTTATTATTGCCAAAAAAAAAAGGCTTTTTTTATCCAAAATAAAAACAAATAAAAAACCATTTTTCAAAACAAAACAATATTCAATTGAGTAACTCGTGCTTAGCATTTGCACCTATGAGAATTTTTTCTTCGATTCATTTAGCCAATAAACATTAAAGAAGTGCCCTGTTATTACATCTGTTATTACAAAAACAAGGCCTACATCAAATTACAGGTGTAATCAGCAGTAGATAATACATTGTTCTGCATTTGGAATAGTCTATATAATTGATCCCCGAGAACAGTTGATACACAGACATTATACCTAAACTCCCGGTTTTTATTTTTGGAATAAGATAATATTCAATTATTTTTGACACTTTATTCAATAACTTGTCAACTATGATTTCCTTAATATTTACGAGTAATTCATTTTTATGTGACAAAATATCCCGATAATCAAAACCTATTATTATAATAATTCCCAATGGTTTTTGCAGTGATAATGGAAGATACATTCGGAATCAACGTTCTAAAATAGTTGATCAGCCCACAATAACTTTGGATATCTTTACCCGTCTTTGGTTGAGGAAATTCAAGAACATTAACAAGTTTTCTGCGGTCCATTGTAATTCCTTCAGGTGAAATATGAAAACCAAGCAAATAAATTTCTTTCTGAAAGAAATGACATTTTTTCGGATTCAACTTCAAATTGACCCTTGTTAATCTCTCAATCACTTGCTTCAAGTGTTCCTTGTGTTCCTCGAACGTTTTGCTTGTGCAAACAATGTCATCCACAAAAAACCGTACAAAAGATAATCCTTCCAAAGCTATACTCATAGTTCTTTGAAATTGTGAACTGACATGCTTTATACCAAACACTGTACCAATAGGTTTGTACTGTACACCACACCATGTGAAACTAAGCTTGTATGTGTCCTTTGGGTTCAACCTCAAAGAATTAAACGCAGATTTCAAATCCAGAGTGGAATAAATATTCGCACCCTTTAAATCTTCAAACAATTCACCAATCAATGGCAAAGGCATACGATCAATTGACTTCAACAGGCAATTAATTAATCTGGGATCATGACAAACGCGATATCCAGTAATTTCTCCTTTACCATTCGTCTTCTTGACAACAGTCAAAGGCGTATTCCATTGTGTGTTTGCAGACGCTCTTTCAATTATACCATTGTCCAGCCATTCTTTCACCTGTTCATCCACTACACCTTGCATCTTGTAAGGAATGGGATAAGGGCTTCTGAACGCCATAGCATTTTCTGGAGTGTCCAAACATACAACACTTTCAGGTATAGTACAAAACGAACCCTTAGGAATATCTTGATTGACTTTAATGAATGGTCGAATATAATCCATAGCATCCTCAAACTGTTTGGGACCTACAGCCGGATTATTTTCCTTTTATTCATTTTCTCTCTCAATGGATTCAAGAAGATCACTCTTATTATTGAAGCGTCTATCAGCTTCTCTACGTTCCTCACTTGAATCAGCATCATCATATGATAAAGGTAAACCATAAATACCAATACCAAGAGAAGACATATAATCAGTACCAATACTGAAATCATACTCATGACTATTAGTTAAATTCATCACTTCAAACTCACGTTGAATAGTCTTACTATTGCAAGTTACACTGATCACACAAGTACCGATTCTTTTAATCTGGGTATTGCTATCAGCCAAACAAATAAAATACTTATGAACATTGTTTTTGTTCAACAAATCTTTATTAATGTGATTGATATAACTAATGGCTATTCCATTCTTCAAGCAAAAATTCTTGTCCACCGAACTGAACGTGGCCCCACAGTCCAACAAGGAGATGGTTCTAATAGAATTATTTGCCAAAATAGGAAAGGTAATATTAGTGCTCATGTTCTTAAAATCTCTTTTAATAACCATGTCTTTAAGATTGTACTTACAATCTAATGCCATCTTGGCCAGAGCACTAGTGTTGTCTTGGTACTCTGACCAAGACAACGAGGGACTCCCCTCAACCACAGTGGAAGTTCTTGCTGGTCTACCAGCAGAGGAGCAGACTGCCATCCTTGACACCTTTGTCAAGTACTTCTTCCGTTCCAGACAGGAGTGTCTCTTAACCCAGGGAGCCTTGCATGAGAAACAGATGCCATCCTTCATTGCCTTCTTGAAGTCCCATGACTTCTTGGGAGACTGAGAACCACGCTCGAGAGAGAAAAACCTTTTCTTTCCCTTGTGAGAACCAGCAGAGAGAGAGGACGCACCATTGTGAGCAGCAAACGAACTCCAGGAGGACGCGGCAGTACTATTGGCAGGATTATGTAACAAAGCAGTGGAGTCACTTGTTGACACACTCACCAACGAGATGATGTCCTCAATCTTTGAGGGCATCTTGGTGCCATAGTTGGCTGACAAAGGAATAAGACAAGCTTCCTGGACTTCCGGACGCAGATTCCACCAGAAGCAGAGAACCAATTGAACACCATCATCCAACGAGGCCTGGCGGCGGAACTTTTGAAATTTGGCACCAAAAGAACGAGCGGATTCTCCTTTGCCTTGTTTCATGCACCAGACACGACCCATGTTCAGGAACTTACGGAACGGCATGTCATAGTGATCTAGAAGAATACTTTCGGCCTTCTTCCAGTTGTAGGCCTTGCCTTTGAGCTTGTTCTCAAACCAAGAACGTTCTTCCTTGTTCAAACAAGTGGGCAACAGACGTTCCCAGCAGGAATCCAAGGACAGAGAGTGTGCTTCCAGGACTGTGGTAAACTCCTGGCAGAAGTCATACACCAAATCGAACACATCACGGTTGGCCTTCACCAGAGGACCCTCAGAACGAAGCTGGAGAAAAGGTAGGTTACTGGGAACCAGAGTGCTTCTCTTGTCATGAGGCTTAGACGCAGGAGCAGTGGAAGCCTTGAGGTCCTTGAGGATTTGCTCAGCCTCAGCAAACAGTACTTGTGCTTCCTTGGCACCCTTGGAAGCAGACTTGGCAGTAGTAGAGGTGGGATCCCTCTTGGAAACACCCAAGTAGTGGCCTAGGGCAGCGTAGTAGTTGCCCTTCTTAGTGTTGAGGTCCTCCTCAGCAGAAGCCAGCAACATTTCCACAGTGACCACAAGGTTGTTGTTAACTCTGACTTCAGAGTTACCCAAATAGATGCGAGGAGAATTGGCACCCTCATAACCAGAACAGCCAGCATCGGAACCAGAAGAAACTTCTTCAGAATCAAAGGCACCGTCCTCAGAACACAAGGGAGTCATCACAGTATCACCATCATGGTCGGCAGAACCAGCAGCAGAAGGAGGAGGAATGACACCAGAGTTGACACGGGCGGTTTCTTCACCAGAAACGATAGTAGAGTTGACAGCGGATTGTTGAGACATTTCGAGAATTCAAAGTAAAAAATGTGGTATTTCAGGTACGAAACAATAGAAAAATAAAATATTTGAGAATAGAGACATATAGAAATACTTTGAGACTGTATATAAGTTGTCTTTATTCATAAATAAAAAGTGTCCCTTTTTATAAGAAAACACAATCTGCTCTTGTCATTACGTCTTAGTTTCTTAAGGCTTTCTTCCTTTACTATATTTGGTTATTAGAGTGTATTTACTGCTTAACTAGTGTCAGTGTTACAATTATGACATCAAGTTCTAAATTGTACTTCTTTAGCTCTTAGCTATTCTTTTCTCTTTTATACTAGAGCTTTAGGACTTCCTACTAAATTAGCTTCATATCAATCTGACACAGTTTACCCGGCAGTATGATATAATTATCTTAACAATCTTTAAGATATTATCTACAGTACTAACTATAATAATTATTGGGTTGATTACTTAATCATTTATATATATTTTATACTAACAAGATGATAACTACTATGCTATCCCAATATGAATATGTTCTTATATGTAATAAATTCAACATCTGAGTGTCTGGATCACCACAAGGCATACAGCCAAGAGATGAACGTGAAAGAAGTTAATGATGTAACAAATTTACAAAAAAAAATATACTTCTCATTGCCATGATAAAGGAAGAGAATAGAATTTTTATCTGTACTTTCTTTATTTTTTCTTATTTTTGCTTATATATTATTTTTATCTCTGATTAGTATTTTATTAAATATATCAATTTTACTTTTGGCTTATTCTTTACATTTTGAGTGCTAAATATCATTGAATTTTGATTTTTTAAAGGCTGTCGGACATTAAATCATAATTGGCTGGCGGAGTTTTCCAGGAAAATATTGAAACAAATCCAAAGACATTGATAGTTATCTCCAATTGCACTATAATATTAAACACAAGTGTGGTGATCCAGACACTTGGTTGTTAGATTTATTACATCTAAGAACATATTCCTATTATTATAGTAAAACAGCTATCATTACAAGAACAAATAAATAATTTATTTATTTTACTTATGGTAAATCAATAAGACCAATAATTAATTACAGTAAGTACTGTAATTATGACAGCTCAGTAATCACTGAGTTAATATGAGGATACTGCAATTAGATTAAATTATAAACATAGCAGTACCAGCTCTCTAATATCTAAATGAACTCAGGCTTAAAAAATTAAGATGTGACTGACAAAGCAGATTGTGTTTTGATATAAAAAGAATAACTTTGTATTCTTTAATAAAAGACAACCTATATACAGTCTCAAAGTATTTTTATATACGTCTCAATCTTTTTTACTGTTGATTTTATTCTATAAAACTTCACAACAAGATAATGATTAAAATATAGAAGGTACAAAACTTCAATAAACACGTACTGTCAAATTTCACAAAAATATTATTGCCAAGAGGATTGAATAGCAACCACGTCTAGTATATTAAAGCTTTGTGTAAAAGAAATAAAAAAACAACAATGTGTGAGTATATAAAATCATGACATGTTTTGAATAAGATATTATATCTAGACAAACACATGTAGATTGAATGGCCATACAAGGGGAAACGAGTGAGTAAACCAGATCATAAGTAAAAATACTAGAAGAATAGAATAAACTTACTGGGTGACAAGTGTCAAATATATATAAAAAAAGATAAAAAAAAGAAAGAAAGAAAATGTCTTTTTGAATTAAAAAGCCAGAATTATAATAAATTGCAAGTGATATATATAATAATCCAAAAGAAACAAGCTGGATAAATATAAATTTCCAAATGAAGATATAAGCTTGTGCACCTAACCTATATACTCCTCTGAGTTAAAACCAAAGTATTTGAACATGAATAAAAAAGATATTTTTTTGATAAATAAGATACAAAATCTATTGAATTACTATCCCTCCCCCTTTCCTCTTTTTATTTATATATATAGACCCGCCAAATTTTATAAAGCTTACTTTGATAATGCCAATCGATATTAAAGTTTTTTCACATATAGAAAATGAACAATTTTGCACCTGCTGACTATTCATTCAACAACTTTATGTATGCTGCTATTGCACACAGTGCTGCACCAGGTAGTAGCAACTTCATGCTACCTGATAATGCAATGACTGCTATGATGTCAACTCATAGCCAGGCTACCAAAAGTATATCAGATCCTTTGATTTCGATGATGAGCACAATGAACAACCAGTTGAAAGGTCTGGCAAACCAGGTTTTGCTCATGGCTGATGATATCACTTTATCTAACCAGACCATGACTTGCCTCCAGAAGACTGTGACCAATATTCTTGCTGGCCAGACTGCTATTCACGATGTTGCTTCCAGATGTAATACTACATCAAGCACTGAACTTGTTGGTGGTTTTTCATCTTTGATGGAAGAAGATATGCAGAAATATCAGTGTCTTTTTTTTAAAAAAAAATAGTAAAATCATCTAACACTACTCTTGTAGGCCCTTATTAGGGACTATGTTAAAACACAAAACTTTACCAGCAACAATCCAAGAGAAATTGCTGCAAACGATGCAAAGCCAGAATGGGTGCTGACAAGCTACTTCATGAGTAGTGATAACCATGGTCTTGCATCAGCTATGAGTGCATACTTGCAGAGACAGCCCTGTTCTGCTGGGATAGCCATGCGTGTTCTTGAAGGTATGGTAAAAAACTATTTCAGCAACCAAGTGCGCGAGTCTTGCAGATCAGCCGAATTCACAAAAAGAAAAGACACTGCCATAAGAAGACATCAGTGTGGTGTGACAGTAAGTTATTCATTTAATATATATAGATATGTTATGACACTTACAATTTTTAATATATATTCAGCTTCTTTGCCGGCGTGGACTTGCATACAAAGAAAACAAAGATGCAATCAACAAGTTTATGGATAGAGTTGACTGTGTCCATGCTATCCAGAAAGCCACTATGTCTGATGAAGAGTCTGATGACGAGGATCCTGCAAGAGACAAGACTCTTATGACTTATTGTCCTAGTTGGAGAAGTGATGAGATAATATATTTTTGTAGAGATTTAAAGTATAACAGAAGATTAATTCATATAATTAAAAATTAAATAGCTTCAAAAGCTCTTTACTTCCCTTGACAAGTATTCCTCTTTGAAGGCAAAGAAAAGAACTGCAAGAAAGATTACACGTGTTTGAGCTATGTGTGACGCAGCTGTACCAACTAATTTAGAAGTTCTATTAGCTCAATGGACTATTAAAAATCAATAAACAAAATATAGTTTTCCACTTTCAAAAACTTATATGTAGACAACAAACATTTTCTTGATAATATATTAATAATAAATTAATAGATAGATAGATATTTTTGTTTATGCATACACTTTTCTAAATAATAGGGCTATTAGCATGTGAGTATTACCAGTGGCAGTTGTATGCACACCAATTGCAGCAGGCATCAAGATTCAATGAGCAGGTAAGATGTTCTGAAAGTCACTTCTTGTAAATGTGAATTAATTTAACTCGATGTACTGATCACTTCATATGTTTTGACTTGCTGTTTTATACCATCTAACATAAGCAAATACATGCCTATCTGCTTAGTACATCACAGAATCAATGATTTTACTGACAAAAAGATATTGAATTTGGCCAGTAAAGGCACTTATTCCACAGCTATTGTTTTCATGAAACATTGCTTGTATTAATGAACCCCATCAAACTATACCATTACTACCCTTGTAAATCTGTTCAAGGAGATTAATTGATAGAATTTTCTGGATAGAAGTGTTCACAAAACATTTTTCCAAAGACTGCCTGCCTGTAACTTTTCAGTGAAGTATTGTTATATGCTGCTTTGTAGTACTCAAGTAGATAAGTATACTTATCTTCTTCCATTGGCATAAACTTCTCAAGATTGAGAGGAAAGACAGATGAAGGCAATGGCTCATTACCCTTTACATTGTCAATAGTCACAACAGCAGAATCAAGAAAGTTCTTCAAATTGAAACCATAAGCAGTCAACAAGTAAAACGTGACAGGAATGGAAATGGCAGTGGCAAGAGTTGGAACTGAACCAATGAGCTCGTATATCAAGAAATGGTGCAATGTAATATGAACAAGTAGGAGTATTGTATGAGCAAGATCTGCTTTATATGCATCCTCAAGGTATTTACGCATAAAGGTTTCTTCAAACCCATCCCTCTTATTCGTCTTATAGTTTTTTAATTGGCCATTGTATCTTTCAAAGCTAAAAAGCCAGTATCTATATACTAGACCAAAGTTCAGAACTATCTCTTTGAGATGCATATATAAGTGCATATTAGGTGATATGAAATCTTTGTCATGCACATCCTCGCCTCCCTGGCCAAACAACTTCAAACAATTGTGCACGTGGAAAAGATCTACAGTTGTAATACTTGGTTTGGCCAAGTACCTGCAAGCATTAACAAAGTGCATCCAATTGTCAAGATTTTCAGATAGTAAACGGCCAGCCAAGAGAACCAGGGAGTAGGCTAAACACCAGGACTTCCATTTATCTGCCTTTATAAATGAAAAGCCCTTTGCAATCTTGTTTCTCAACAGAGTTATGTTGAGAGGAACAATCATGCTGTTGGCTTCATGTTACATTTCATCAAGATGCTTGTCAGTTAGCAGCTTATCAGCTCTCCATCTCTCCATCATTCTTTTTGCCATGCCAATAAACAGGTTGTGCATTTGACTGCGTTGAAGTACTTCAGTTCAAGGAGCTCTGACCAACACGTGCTATTCTCTCTTTCCAGTCTCATTTTCTCAGTCTCACTTCTGGCACGTCTCTATTTCTCTGCATCTCTGTGATGTTTTTCTTTGGTATGAGACACCCACTCAGAGAACACAAAACCAGAATAGTTCATGCCTTTTCCATCTGTGAGACAAGAGAAACGGTGGTCACATATATGACATGCATTAATACTGGCATGTGAAGTAAACTTGCATGTTCTTCTTGCAGCTGGGATGTCACAGGCAATGAGAAGCAATGCAGCACAAATCAATGTACCAGACAGATACTCATTAGTAGAAATAACCACACCCAAATACAGCTTCTTGAGATCAACTACAAGAGGACAAAGATAGTGATTTATCTCACTGGCTTTGACTTCTTTTGGTTCTGGCATAAGACTGACAAGAACTATATTCTCCTTCTTGTATCTCTCTTCCCTTGGCAGGTTGTTAACCAACAGGTAGATAGCTTCACACGAGTATGATACTTCATCAAAAGGCCGGAGCCAATCAATATTTAATGTAAGCATTAGAGAACGTTTGTGGGCTACAAATTGCTGATTGTTACTGTCTTTCAAGTTTTCCTACTTTGCATCATTGTATATATCAAAAAGACTTCTGAGTACTTGTTGTCTGAACCTCCAGAGATTGATTGCTCTCTCAAATCCAGGGCAAGAGAAAAGAATTGAGATTGCCGTTGTGATTGAGTTGTACATGTACATCTTTTTTGGTCAATCCAGATTGTTGGATGCTCTCAAGAGAAGTTGTGTTCCACACATGTCTCAAGATAGTTTTCTAAAATTGCAACACTGTGGAACAGGCTCAGACTCAGAAAGTATCTTATGGCATTCACCACATGCCACAAAGTGTTGTATATCTTCTGTAAATGTATTGAACCCTGTCATAGAATACAAGCTGGGCAGACTCAATGGCAGATGGAATGATTGACCAAAATGTGCCAGCACCTCATTGAAAAATTTGATGAAGATGACACCACCGGAATGACTACATATTTTGATATAAAAAATGCAGTGAAGGATGCAATGAAAGCATGGATTGGATCAGCTGGCCTTGCGTGTCTAAAGAGTTGTTCTGTTTGATGGTTATATTAATGAGCAAGGTTTTTTTCAAGGTATTTCTTTTATTTTTTTTACTAACCATTAATATTTTAGTCTTCATCATCAGTCTCATCGGAATCTACTCAAGTATTGTTGGTAGAGTCAGATATATCTTCTGCGACTATATTTGTAAGATATAACTAGTTAGGTTTACAATTTCTTATACAACACAATAAAATTATATAATTATCTTCATGAATCTCAAAAACATTGCTCTCAGGCTCAGAATCCATGTTGCTTGTGTTGTCATTCATCATGTTTTCAGAATTGTCATTCACAATGTTACTGGCATTTTCATTTATCATATCTACTACTTCAGAAGACAATACAATATTATATAAATTTATTAAATTGCTATATAAAATCAGATAAAATAAAATAAAATGTATAGTGTTTCTCTATATGCAATATTTTCTTTGAAAATTTCTTAGCACATCATTGGCAAAATGTCTACGGCATGTCTGAGCAGAGATCATAACAAAATATCTACTATTGGGAGAGCACAAAGAACAATTTCATTTAACTAGATTGTACTTATTAGACATTTTAAGTTTGTTTGCATTTATAAAATTTGTGCGAACAGGAACACATTCAATAGTACAGTTTATTTTTATAGCTTTTATTTTTTTTTAGATAACCATTAAAAGATGCAATATGTCTTATATTCAATAGAAAGAGCTATATAGTATTATTGCCACCAAAATTTAAAAAAATGATGGAGTTGGAATTTGATTAACTTGTCTCTTTGGTTCTACTCAACTTTCCCATAGTAAAATCATATAATTTTTGCAGTGAAAGAAACAATAGCAAATAGAAAATATAAAAAAAAATATTGAAATAAAGACAAAGATTAGTATTCATAATAAAGCATAACATTTTCAATCATTTAAAGTTACCTCTTGAAAGCAGTAAATTAGATTCCAATATGACTTATCTAAAATAAAAGGAAGAAAAGAGTCAATACTATAATAAAACTCAAACTATCAAGATAAAGATATTTATCTTTGCTACAGAACACAATGGAGTTTCTCAAAATGACTGTAATCTAGAAAAAAAATATTAGTAAAGTCTTTATAAACTTATAAATATAGTCTGTTGAGAGAAATATCTTGTATCAAAGCAAAATGGCTTCTAAAAACAAAGTAAGTGCATATTATAGATGCTATTGGACTTAAGTATTTATGTTTTTGCATTTGTTTCAATTTCTTCTTTGAAATTTTTTATATGTAATAATTATTCAATCTCCACTAAATGTAGGGAAAAATGTGTGTTCCTAAAGCTTGGTTACTTTCTTGATCACATGACTTTCCGTTTTAGAATAGATACTTTTATACATTATCTATGGGAGCAATCAAGATATTTCAACTTCTGAAAAAAGTTAAACTTTGCAAATGAATTTATCAAAACACCCAAACTTTGAAAGGTATCAGCTTTTGCAAAAATAAATTTAATACAAAACGCTTCAATAGAATTATAGAGAATAGCACGCTTAATAATTCTGTTCAAGGATTTTTTATTAAATTTATTTTTGCAAAATTTAATATCTTTTGAAAAATACTATTATACATAGATACTTAAGTCCGATAGCACCATATTTAGTAGTACTCACTTGAACTAAAAATGAATAGAAAGAAAAAAAAGAATAAAAGAAAAATGGTAGCTCTTCACTAAAAAATGCCAAGTGTGTGACATCTCTTGTTATTTTTTTGGTGACTTAGCAATTTTTTTTTGTTTTTTACTTAGCATTTTTTTTTATAACACAATAAATTTTATAATGTTCGAATAATCACGGTCTTCACAAGTACTTTTTTGTATGTATAGGTCAGCAACAGTACAAATTACTGGGCACTTGGCATTACAATAAGTATGATAGGAGAAAAAAACATAAAATAAAGGAATAAGAAGCTATTTCCAAGAAACATTTTATCACAACAAGTTCCTTGGCTGCTAGCATTTACAAGTACAAAAGTCTTTGGTCAATTCTAGATATCCTTAGCCAATAAGATCTCTGACTTTTATTTTTTGCATTTGCTTTGTCTCAAACTATCTTTTTTTCTTTCTCTCTGTCACAAAACTTCTTTTTTTTTCTTTTTTTCTGTTGCAAAAGTGTTTTCTTTCTTTTTCTCAGTCGCAAAAACTATTTTTGCATAAAATTCACCCAAAATAGTATAAATTCATTTTTTCTTCTGCTTTTCTTATTTTTTTTTTTATTTATTTACAAGTAATTAGCCGATTGAAATACATATTTTTGTTTGTGCAATCATCTGAAATTCAAAACCTCTACATATTTTTTTATTTTTGAACTTGAACTTTATTATAGCCAATTAGCACTCTTTATTTGAAATTTTAGAAAAAAATTACTATAAACAGGTCCAAAGTCTTTAGGTGTGACAGTGAACACAATTTCTCTCACAGTTCCCAGAAGTCTAATCCCGCTACCATTCGCTATTAGACAGCTTGTTAATAGAGTTGAACTTCTTCTTGCCAAAATTAGCAGTCGTTTATTTTCGCCACTGAAATTATTTTATTGACTTAGGACTAGGGTATGATTGTGGCAATTATTTGTCCACTTTTTTCATAAATTATTTGGATATTATTAGAAATTTATAGTGAAAATATACATTAATTTGTCAGATTAATGTCAGAAGATTTATAAAGAAGTATAAGTGTTCTCTGTTGTTATTGAGCTTTTCCGTGCTCTTTTTGAGTGTATTTATGAATTATATCTATAGTAAAGAGATTACTTTTATTAGAGCTGCCTTATGTGTATTTCAATACCATCAATAATATATAAAGTAGATTAAACATCAATTTTATATCTTTTTAAACTTTATTTTACCTTTAAAAATTACACTATAACCTTTTTAACTAAGTATAATCCTCTTGAAGTAGTACTAGTTTTTTTGTAGTATGTTAAGCTACCTAGAGAACCCAACAAGCTGACCGTAGAAACAAATTTCTCACCTTCTTGATCTTTTGTACTTGGAGGTGATGATATATACTGGTAAATGACCAAGTTCTTTCTGTTTCTTCTTGTAGTTTTGTTTGATTTATTTGGTACCATAGTTAGTTAGATATTTATAAATGTATGACATTAATAAAGATTGTGATTTGTAAAAAAAAGTTGATGTATGAAATAGAAAAAAATTAATTTATTATGAGTTTTATACCCAAGACTTGGAATGTTATGTTATTATTTTATTACATAACAAACATAATGACTTTTAGAGAGAGTTAATTGATATTTCACCATGATACTTTAGTATATTTCAGCTAAGAGTCTTATAATTGATTTTATGCAAGAAGTATTAAAAATTAAATATTGTATATGTCTTCATGAATTTGTAAGATAATGTTCTTGCTCTTCAACTAAATTAAGTCGAAGTAGAGAACTTAGGCTTATCAAAAATGGAAGTTGTAGTTGGTATAAGAAAATATATACTTCAATAAGCCTAAGTTGGAGTACCATTAGTTTCTCATATAAAAAAGCAGGTTACATACTAGATTTGACAATGGATTTTTGTTTAAAAAGACATTTTTTTTTAGAAAAAACAATTTGTTGATAATAATAATAGTATAAGAGTAGATAATTAATAATAAAAAATAGTAAATAGTTAAAAATATTGATAAAATGAAAAAAAATTAGAATTGTCTAGGTGGACGGGACTGAGAAGGGGTGCCATGTTCTTTTAACTTATTATAAGCAGACTTCAATGGATCAACAAACTGGCCTAAGTCTTCAGGTCTACCCTTATACTCCACTACCTTCTTCTTAAGTTCAGCAGAGTATAACTGAATGTACTTGTCAATATCAGCAGCTATCTCATCAGAAAGAATAGACGGGTCAACTACTGCACTGGTTTCATTAGAAGGTGGCTGGACAGAAGAAGATGAGGAGAAGGCAGAGGAAAGGTTCTAGCGCAAATAGTATGGAAGGTCAAGTATACGGCTGACAAGAAAGATATGCTTGCAGAATTTAAAAGTATCAGGGCAGGTGCAGTTCTGTAAGAAACCATCTTTTCAATCAATCTCATACAGAACAAGATCAATGGTAAACAATCTGCAAGTGAATAAAGTATCACTTGTTTTTTCAACCATTGATGTAGCCTTGTCAATATCTAACATATATGTCTTTTTCTTTTTTAGCTCTTCTTGGTGTGAGAGGTGCATTGCTTTAAATCCATATAAGGTTTTAACATTTTTTTGTCTGTAGTCAAGTGTTAAAACCTTTGCCAGAAGATAGATAAGTCTATCAATGCAAAGAGATCTTGCACGGCCAAGATAGAATGTCTTCAATTGATTATGATAAGACTCAATATAATTATTGGTGTGAAAGATGGCAGACTACTTGTTATATTAAATATTAATAATTATTTAAAATAATAAAATAATCTATATTATACTTACTAATCTCCATGCTTTACACTAAAGTGTCTTCTTGGGAATCCAGAACTTATTAAAGTATAAAATAAATGCTTCATACTCTTCAAATTTCTCCAGAAATTCACTATATGATACATCAAAGACCTGAGATGTTTCTGCATGCATCAAGTTACTCAATACAGCATGGACACTGTTACATGCTATGTTTGAAGTCTGTGTTAAGTTTTGCACTTTAATCTATATTATAATAGCATGAGATATATACTTGCATTTAAATATATATACTACTTACATGCTTTTTCACATTAACTTCCCATGCTCTTTTAATATGCCAATGACATAGCAGGGTATCAACACTACCCCCAAAGACTTCTTCAAGTGCACCAATTTCAATAGGACTGCAGTCAATCATTATTCTTTTTACTTTTAACGAAAAGATATTCTGTAGCCATATCAACTACTGACTTAAAGTTAAGACAAATTCATGATCTGTTATGAAAAAACAGACGGGTAATCCCTTATTGATAATTGGGCTGCGAATGACAATTGTATAAAGAAAGCAATCTTTTGAATCATCACCAGCTGAAGTATTAAAGGATTTGGTTGTTTTATATATAGAGTCAATACACCACTCCTCAGAGTTTTCAAGATACTGTTGTAATTATAAATTAAATAAGTAAATATAAAATAAATAATATTAAATAAAAGATATATTTATTTCTATTTGCCAATCTGAAACCCATGAAAGAACAAAAGGTCCATTTTGATGAACTGTGAACAAAGTTGTGTTTCCATTCTCACGGAGTTCTTCCATCCAAAGTTTGACACTTTCTTTGTGATTGACATGTCTTCTTGAAAGCTTTATTACATGGGTATTGATAACATTTCTCATGTATTGATAATCTATGAGAATAGATACAGAGAAAGAAGTTTGGCTACCAGATTGCTCAAGCTATATAGCTTAAAGTCAGTAAAGACCCTCAAAATATACTATAAAATATTTACTTCAAAAAGTCGATCTTCACTCATTCTAAGCATATTCTTAATGGATTTCCAATCCATATTTTGGCCAACAAGCTCTTCCACCCATTGCTTTAGCTTATCAGGCAATCTGGAGGAGCTTATTTCCTCAATTTGAAAGGGATCATGGTCGAGATACTGCCAGTTATACTTGATATGAATTGTACCATCAGTCATAACATGCTTGTATATGTTAGCTGGGCAACCAATTTTTATAGATTTTGTAGTTCTAACCCGCTTCTGAACTTGCTGCAAAGAAGATAGTTTTTTTTTAGGTTTTTCAGCATGATCACATAAGCATACAACTGTTTTTACTTTTAAAGGCTCTTTAAGAGCCAACTCAATAAAAGCACTATTTTTGTTATGGTTATACAATTGATGGTAAATCCAATTGGCATGCTTTTTTGCTATTTTATTCAACCAGTTTGTGAACTCATCTTCAGATAAAAGAGTTAAGAAGTCAATAGAATCTATGTAATCAGGAACAATGCGATTCTCGTAATCATTGACACTATTAAAGGTTGACATTTTTAGCCTGTATAAGAGATGAGACTTTTAAGAGAAAGTATTAAGGAGGATACGTGTAATAAAAAATTATTCACGTAAAATGAAACACTTTGAGATCTGTGACTTGCTTTTTTATATGGGGAAGTACTGTTACTGCCTAAGTTGAAGTATAAGCTTAATCGACTCTGTTAACAAGCTCTCTATTACATGCATGTAACGCTCTGGTTCTAAGTCTTTAATTCTCAATTGAGTCATCAGATTCAGACTAATGAGGCAGCTGGTGGAGCCTCCATTCAAAATTGCATCCACTCATGGCTCTTCCTGCTAAATTATCAGACCTACCTATTGGGTCCACCACAACACTAGGTCAAGCCAATATAACCACTCCACAACCCTCTACTACTACCTCTACCACAACCAACACTAGGTCATATCTTGATGTTGCCACAGCCACTCCCGCCCCCAGTCAAGTACCAGTCGTTCTTTTCTCTAACTTGCCAACATCTACAAATTGCGTCTGGTACAAAAGTACATCTCATCATTCAGTATTCTTTACTCCACCCACTGATTCCACCCTTACCTCTGAATTCTGGACTGCTCTCAGAGCAAGCGTTCCTACAGCATTCACCTTGGGAATATCATTGCCTCATTGTCAACTGCTCATGCACGAATTGCACCTGACCAATTCTACAATCTGCACCAAACTCTGCTCCAAAGGCTTTCTGGTTGGAGGCCAAACGTACTTCCCCTCTATGGGTATTGCCCCAGGCACAAAAATCTTGCATATCTCTGTCTCTCAACTTTCATACCTTCCTTCCCCTCTGCTTGAAGAGGCTATCAAAACAGCCTTGGCTGCATATGGCACTGTCCGCAAAGTTGGTTTGCATCTTCATGCCAATTTTTTTGATGGCACTGGTTTTGCTTATCTTGAATGACCACCCAACCCCAATGCCACCCTTGCCAAACTCTCATATAAAATCCTATATGATGGCAACTTGTACATCTTAGGTATCTGAAAACAGATGAGTATTCACTGTAATTATTGTAAAGTTATGGGCCATGCTATCAAAAACTGTCCAAACTGCCCAAAAGATTCCCAACGTTGCTTCACTTGTGACCAGACTGGTCACTTGCAACATGCCTGCCCCAGAGCACCCCCCACGGACGCCAGCTCTTCCAAGAAACCTGACAAGATTCTCACAACACCTGAATTCCCTGATTGCTCATGCAAGACTATCCCTGGTATGTCTCACAGACCTCCAGCCAAGAAATCGATCCCCCTCATGGTGCACCTATGATGGCAGAGGAATCCCAGGCTACTACCACCACCTCCTGCACGAATTTCTCAACACCACAACAACTCTCTGTTCCTGCTGTTCCTACTTCCCCCTGCCAGTCTGCCAACAGGTTTGCTGCACTTGACGGACTAACTGACAGCAGCCGCACAGGTGTACTTGTTGACCCTACTCTGCCTCTTCCTCAGACACACAACACCCAGTATGTCCCCATCTTTCATCCCCTCCAAAACGCTTTTCTTCCCTCAAACTACACATCGGGCTCTACTAAAGACAAAGAAGAATTTCACCCCAGCACTTTTGACAGTGACAACAACCAAGACTCTCAGCATATCCTAACTGATGACGAGATGGCAGACGGCAATCATTCTTAAATTTATCATTAATATAGCCTCCATGAACTGCTGCAGACTTGTCAAGTCTGGAAACACCAATAATTACTCTCTCTTTATTAGATATCTTTGCTCCCTCTCTCTAGACATACTTGCCATTCAAGAGACTCACACCAACACAGACGCTCTTCAACAGACATTTTATCCTCAATTTCAAGCATCCAACTCACTACAGTCTCCTCACTGTGGTTTGGTTTCCCTCTCTCCCCTCATTTCTTTTACTGATCCTCTTTTTTCTCTCTGTAATCGTTGCATTACTGCCACCATTGTTCACTCTTCCAATTTGGTTGCCCCATTTCATATTTGCGTTTTATATGTCTCTGCTTTATATCATCCTCGATGTGATTTTCTTACCTTCCTCCTATCCTCCCCACATCTTCTCCCTTCCCTTCCTTCTTGCTATCTTATGCTAGGAGATTTTAATTATTCCTCATATGCAAAGGCCTCTTGTGCTGGCCTCGCGCCACGTCTATGGCTGCATTTTGTCGCTAACCACTTTGTAGATTGTGTCACTTTGTCTGACGCTCAGCCTATGCCTACCTTTAATCGTGACTTTTCCTCTTGGACTATCGACTACATATATGCCTCCAAGAATATAACATTTTGTCACTCTTTGTTCACTGTCACATTTGTTCAGCCCCTGTGGACCGATCATTGCCTTGTACATACCTGTCTTAGTTTTCCTATGCTGTCTCATATTGGTTGAGGTTTGTGGCATGCGAACTCTCGTTTGGCAAACATCCCTTCCTTCCAATCCTCCCTGTCCGACTGTCTTTCCTCCTTCATACCACTACTTTTGTCTTCGATTTCCCCCAATTACAGTGCGATCTGATCAAAGTCGAAGTGGCTCATTTCACATGTCCATATTCATGCACAGTCCATCCATCACTTGCCACTTTGGAGCTAAAGCCTCAGAGTAAATGTGACCATTTGATACATAAATTTCACCATCAGCCTGCTCAGAACTTCCAGCTGCCCATTGTTGAGCGTCAGCTTCAGCAAGTTCAACAGAGATGCACCAAGATACTAGCACTCTGCACTGGAAAACACTGGAGAGAACAAGGCGAAACTTTCACTGGGTTTTTGAAACGCACAGTTGCTTTTTGCCAAGCTCGAACCACAATAACCAGCCTCCACCACCCCTTCACCAACATCTTATGCACTGATCCCAATGATCTTATGGAAGCTGCTGCTGCATTTTATGAAGATCTTTACACACCTGACCCTCCTGCTCAGACAGCTATTGACGATCTCCTCCTTCACTTGCCCCCAGGCATCTTCCCTTTCAAAACTACCTCCACAACCCTCCTTCAACCCTTCATCTTGGATGACATTCGAGCTGGCACCACTTGCACTCCTAATGCCAGGAGTCCTGGGCTGAATGGCCTGCCTTATGAGATTCTGCGATTAATTATGGATCATCCAATGTGTGCTGTTTTACTTATTCAAATATTTAACTATGGGCTTGCCCTCGGTGTGTTCCCTTCGTTCTGGCAATCAACCTGCGTCTCTCCTCTTCCCAAGAAAGGTGATCTCACCTCCCTCCAAAACTGGCACCCAATCACTCTCATCAATACTAATGCCAAAGTGTTCACTTGCCTCATCAATCATCGCATAGTATCTGCTGCTTCCTCCCTTGTTACGCCCTTCCAGACTGGGTTTGTCCAAGGACGCTTCATTGCTGACAATGGCATGCTGACCAAGTTGGTTATGGCACAGGCTAGACAGGACGGTTCATCTGGTATAGGCCTTCTTTTGGATCAGGAGAAAGCTTATGACAGAGTCCATCCCGACTACCTTCGCCAGGTCTTGCAGCATTTCAACTTTCCCCCTTCCCTCATTACCTGTATATCTCAACTTTTCTTCTCTACACAGATTCGAATCAATGTCAATGGACACCTATCCCGATCATTCCTTCAGGCTCGTGGACTCCAGCAGGGTGATCCTCTTTCTCCTGTACTCTTTAACCTTGCATTCGAACCTTTGTTGCGTCGTGTGATTCATGATCCTTCCTTTGCCAGATTTTCTCCATCACCACGCACTGCTATTCCACCACCTCTGCCCATCAAGCTCTTGGCCTATGCTGACGATCTGCTAGTCTTTCTGCCTGATGCCGCCCACTTGTCCCGTCTTCATCATCATCTTCTCACATACTCTTATGCCTCCAATGCTCGCATCAATCTCCATAAAACTGAAGTTTTCTCTCTGTCTGGTCGCCCACTGCCAGAATGGTGCCCTATTCTACAACAATTTGATATCACCACCTGGTCTGACAGATCTTTCTCCACTCCCCTGCAATACCTTGGCTTTCCTCTTGTTCAATCCTTACCTCAGCACAATTCTTTCTGGGACAACATTCTTTCCAAGATTGAATCTACCTGTCATATCCACCACTTTCGTTCTCTTTCCATTCGTGGCCGTGCCACAGTGCTCAACTCTCTCATCCTCTCTAAGCTCTGGCACGTCCTCATAGTTATCACTATATCTCTATTCTTTTTCTGTCAACTTTGCTCAATCATGAGTAAGTTTATACAATACCACTCCTTTTCTCCCATCTCTCTTGGCACTCTCTGCCAGCCTATTTGGCTTGGTGGTCTAGGGGATCTTGATCCTCAGGTCCAACAAGCTGCTCTCCAGTTGCATTGGCTCCGGCCTCTCATCCACTCTCTGCTGTCCCCCTCTGGTCTGGTCCTGCCTTGGTTCTCTTATGTCCTCCGCCTCAACTCCTCATCTGCTGATCCACTCGTTCCTTTGATATTTCCATCTCTCTGATCCTCTCATCAGCACGATTTCGACTCTCCTCTAGCCACCCTACTTGCTGCCATTGACCTTCTCCCTCACAACTTCTATGACGTGGTAGTGAACCTCCCCACCTGTCTCTCTTTGTCTCTCTCCTCCCTCACTACTGCACAACCCAACCACCCTCCCTTTCAATCTGCATGGCACGATCTCTGGGTTTCCAATGCCTATGAAGTAGATCCTAGTTTCGGCGTGTTTGCCCAATGCCCCCTCCACCGCATATTCCATCATCCTATTGTCCTTCACCAGTTCTTCAAACGTCTCTACACTTGCTCTCTTGTCTTGCACCCTGTCCTGTATCATACCACCATTCCCCCACGATCTGTGTCATATAGTTTCCTTTACTAGATATGCCTTCCAGTACAGCTGTCAATGTGTATCCTTTCTTGGCAGCTCTTGTCCCTGGCATCCCTTGGCATTGTTTGTTCACCCAGTCTTTCCACCTACTCTGCAATTTCCACTCCAAATCCACACGCCCCATAATCCCCACACTTGTCGCTCACCAGCTTCGTCGTTTTGGTCCTCCCCCCTGCCATATGGGGCCCGCAATATTTGATTTCGTGCCCTGCACAAGAACATTCCTTGCCGTTCTCACCTCAATTCTAGGATCCCTACCGCCTTCCCAGACCCATCCTGTGCCCTTTGCTCTCACCCTCTGGACTATCAAACTCATTTTTTGTTCCAGTGTCTGGTCAAACTGTCCGTATAGTTGCCAATCTGGACATTGTACTTTGCCCAGACCGCAACACCCACTGTCTTGCTTTCTGGTTTGCAATCCTTTACATTTCCTCCTTGCACCAATTCTGCTCTTTCTGCTGCCTCAATTTTTGGCTGCATGCTGCTGGCTATATGGTGCTATCATTGGCTGTTCATATTTGATCACGTTTCTTCTGTCTCCTCTGCTGCCTTTTCCACTGCTTCCTCTCTGCTTGACCCCCTCAAGAGCAAACTTGCTCTCGACTTTCCCCTCCTTTAGCTTCCTTCCATACCTCCACAATATATATAACCAAAAACATATAAATAGAAAAACATTGTAAAAATATAAAAGCCAAAAACAAGTTGTGATTTTCCTCTTTTGCCTTGCAGCATAGAGCCTCACTAATAGATCAGAGCCTTCAGCTCCCTACAAAAAAAATTGCGTCTACTTGGATGTTCCCTACTTGTACTGGCAATCTGGGTGTCCCATTTCCAGTATGGTTGTCTTCTGCCAAGAACGTCTTCAACTTGGCCGGCTGCTTCTCTCTTGGCTGGGTCAACTGCTTTTTCAGTTCTACCCTGGTGGTTGTCAACATCGTGGCCAGCTGCGCCATTGACATCTGGAACACTGGTCTTGAGAGCAACTCCTTGGCTGATACTGTCACTTCTGTCTTCCGCTCTTCCTTCTTGACCTTGATCAAGGCCACATTCTTTGGTTCCACATCCCTCTTGTTGAGTAGATGTACGATTTTGATCTGCTCGGCCTCCTTGGGCCCTTGGATGATGTCTATCTCCATTTCTTCGATGTCTCTTTTCATCATGGCCGCTTCCATCTTTTTCCATGCACTAAATTCTTTGCTCTCAGGATTCCAGTGTTCTTCTAATCTCTGAGCCTCTTCTACCTTCAGTTCTTCTCTCTCGAGCATCAATATCTTGCCCTGTGTGGTATTTCAGGTACGAAACAATAGAAAAATAAAATATTTGATAATAGAGACGTATAGAAATACTTTGAGACTGTATATAAGTTGTCTTTATTCATAAATAAAAAGTGTCCCTTTTTATAAGAAAACACAATCTGCTCTTGTCATTACGTCTTAGTTTCTTAAGGCTTTCTTCCTTTACTATATTTGGTTATTAGAGTGTATTTACTGCTTAACTAGTGTCGGTGTTACAATTATGACATCAAGTCATAAATTGTACTTCTTTAGCTCTTAGCTATTCTTTTCTCTTTTATACTAGAGCTTTAGGACTTCCTACTAAATTAGCTCCATATCGATCTGACACAGTTTACCCGGCAGTATGATATAATTATCTTAACAATCTTTAAGATATTATCTACAGTACTAACTGTAATAATTATTGGGCTGATTACTTAATCGTTTATATATATTTTATACTGACAAGATGATAGCTACTACGCTATCCCAATATGAATATGTTCTTATATGTGATAAATCCAACATCCGAGTGTCTGGATCACCACACCCTGGTTACCCAAGCTCTTCTTTTGCTTCCTTGGACAGTAGAAGTAAGAGTGGTCTGCTGGTGTCTCCTGTCCCCAACAGATCTTGCATGCCTAGGGGAAGTTGGCAGCCAAGTGTCTCTCTTCCTGGGAATTGTAACACTTATTATTACGTCCATGTTTAAGCTTCTTGGCCAAGAACAGCTACATGTGCTTCATCTTGGCTACTGACTGATCGATTTGCACGTCTGGTTTCTTGGCTTTCTTCTTGGCCTTGCTCTCTTTGCCTGGGCCTGTGACATTCTTCTTCTTGTTCTCCTCTTCAGACTCACTCTCACTTGTCTCTTCTTCTTAAGCCTCACTTTCCTCTGAATCCGAGTCATAGTCCATCTCCTTTGACAGCTCCAGGATCATTTCAATGGCTGCTGCCAGAGTCTTGAGATCGTTCCTCTTGATCTCTCTATGCAGTTCCTTGCTGATCATATCTGCAATGAACGCCTTCTTGATATCCCTCTTACACAGTCTTGAAGTGTTGGTGTCTTCCTTTGTTTCTAACTTGGACTGGTTTATCAAGTCTTGGAACCTATTAGCATAGGCACTGCCAATTTCTTGGATGATTGCTTTGCCCTGATGATCTGAGTGACCACGTCAAAGTCTTTTCTCTTTGGCCTATACCTCTCAGTGAATATCTTCGTGAAGCTGTCCCAGTTCTGAAAGTCTTGTATGTCAAACCACCTCTGCTCCTTAATCTTCAAGCAGTTGAGGATCCCATCAAGCTTATCTTGATCTGTTTTCTACCTGTTGATTCTTGCATAGACCTCGCAGTTTTTCAGCCAGAAGGCCGCACCTAGGCTCTTGCTGCACTTTGGAGTCTTCATGTTGATTGTTCTTGGATGTTCTTTGGCCTCCTTAAGTCTTTGGGATTTGTTGGTTTGTTCTTTATTTAGGTTATCTTTTGGGTTGTTTTCAGTATTCAATTGATCAATCCTGGCAGAAGGTGCCATGTAACAGATTGACTCCACTATATTATTGTTGTTGAAGTTCACTTTGTAACTCTATGATTGCCATACTACACACTTTGGGCAAATCCTTGTATGATAGAACTCTGACTAATTAGAATAAATTTGGGGGTCTTGTGATCACGCGTGTGTTAAACTATAAAAAAGATGTTGTTTATTTTTGTATAGGCACTTCCTATTTCTAGATCATTGTGGCCACCTAAAAGGTGCAGCCACAGTACACTCAAAGCACCAATGCGCAACATTATTTTAAAGATACTTTTAACACCAGATTTATTTTACTAAAAACATCATTTCAATTATTTAATTTATCCAATAATATACTCTTATTTAGTTATTATTTTATATACTCTTATTTCATGATATACAACTTGTAGAGGGTATTTTAGCTGTAGCTTCTGACTCTTACATTTTTTGACAGTTGGCTGCTTTCTGAGTTAATATTTCTATATGGTATATTTTTCTTATACACTGGAAAAATAATTGGACTCCGATCGTTTTTTTTCAAGACCTAAAAAGTGTTGTCAGAAATGTGAAAACTGAATATGTTTTACATTTACTTTGTTAAAAAACAGTTTCTCTACAAAGTAAATGTAAAACATATTCAGTTTTCACATTTCCGGCAACACTTTTTAGGTCTTGAAAAAACGCGGTGTTCGAATTTAATAGCAGAGAAAGAGAAATATTGGCCCTAGATTATTCACTTCTTATGGCAGACTACGAGAATCGATCCCCTAATATAGTAATACTATATATTATGCAGTGTTTAAACAATCTTTTGTCATGAATATATGAAGTTGTGACTGCATAAAGTTCAATATTTGGATTTTTTTAAAGCTGGCAGACATTTAATGTCATTTTCATATATTGGTATTTTAAATTAAAAAGTTGGCCCAAAATCCAAAATTTCTGATTTAAAAGAAAATACACCATATCTAGATTGAAAAAGCATTCTACTTGGGATGAATTTGCTCCCTATGCTGAAGAAAAACATTAATTGCACTTTCTATATATTATCCGCTTTTTTGTCTTTAAGAAGAGCCCAATTAAGTACGATTAAAATATAAACTTTATTCCATTTGTTTAGTTTTGTTATCTTATATTTTTTGTAAAGCCTGCCGAGATCCTCTGAGTTTTGGGTAGAAACTTATTTTATTTAACCGTTAATTTCGCTATCTATAAAACAAACCACAGCAAAATACTCGACAGGATTATATCGTAATGAGTGAAATTATTTTGTTATCTGTGAAACCATTTCAGAAATCTGATGGAATTGATTTTGAGAATTTGATCGAATCATCTTAAAAGAAAAGAACAAGCATATATATATTTATATATTTAATAAAGTATCTATTCAACTTTCAAGTTTCGCTTTTCCTTTCTTTGCTTTGATATATTCTTCACTTCCTTCAATAAAGCCATTACCAAAGGAACAGAGATCGGTACAAAGAGTGGCATATAAATGGCGTACTTGTGCTCGTCTGGAAAATAAAGCATCGACACCATAGTAGGATCAAAAAATGCTTTTTCTGACAATTCAATAGCCTCAATTGAGTATTGAAGAGCAGGTGTGTATTTACCCTGTGAAAGAACGTCGCACGCAAGCTGCAAAGCATTCAAAGATTGCTGAACCTATAATACATGAAAGTACCACGAGGTGGACACAAGTTCAAGTTAAAAAAATAAGTGACCTAAAAGAGAAAATAACTTTTCCGATTAAATTAAGAGCATTAAAAGTTACCTGAAGAGCAATGTGATCCAAGACTACCATCTTTGGGATTTCGGTAACAAGTTGCTGGAGTGAATGAAGAGTAGCAATAGCATTTACCATGTTTTCTACAGTTCTGTGACGAATCAATTGATCTTTTTCAAGAGTTGTAATACCAGTAATTGGAGATGACATAAATGTAGCGTTGACAGTAGATGGCTAAAAGTTTTTTTAAAGAGAAATTGCAATGGTGTACATATTAGCATCACATATATTTTAAAGATAGAAAATAAAGCAATATTAATATTTACCATTTTATCTGCCATACTATTGATATTAGGAATACCCATCAAGCTTCTAAGCTGAGCAACAAATATTTTCATGATGGGTTGCAGGTCTTTCTTTGTAAAATTAAGTTGTTTTTCGGCCAAAGCTTTTTTGGAAGGATTTTTTATAACCACTCCTCCCCATCGAGGAATCAAAAATGCATTGGTCAACAATGGTTGCTCTTTAAGTAGACATGCCGCCCAGTAAGTAAATCATTACATTCCTACTTAAATTTGTATTTTTCATTTCATTTTAATTTTACCTTTTGAGTCATGAATACGAAGAGGAGTTTCTTCAGGAGAAGGTACATACAGAATAAGGTTGATAGTTGGATATGATGATATGGTAGATGCTATACATAACAATAAATATGTGTCGTATTATCTTGTTAGCACGCTTTACCAAGATTCCATTCAGCAGAATTGACAAAATGAGGAAGATGTTCAGGATTAAAGTAATAGTAGCTTGGCTTGTCTGCTCGGTTCTTGAACTGGGGTTTCATAGACAAGGACGCGTAGTGCTGCATCTAAAGAACCATAAAAGGAATTTTTACCAATTTAGACCTAAGATAAGTATTTTACTTATTTTTTTTCCCTTGCCTGAGAATCAACAGTAAAATTGGATATCATAGATAACTGATCCAGAAATGGGTAGACATAAGCTAAAATCATTGGGAGACACATAAGTGTAAATGCTTGATCTTCTTCACAAGCTTACTCTTCATTGAATCTCGAATATTCCAGTCAACAGAGATACCACGAGGATCGTTATTCATCAAACTAAATGTTACTTGGTATCTAGGAGAATACTTGAGGGTTCTTATGCTATTCATGTCATACTACAAATATAGAAAGGCATAAATTCAATATTAATAGGTGTATATATATATGTGCATGCATGGTTTCTTTGTTTACCTTGTCACTCTCAGCACCCTTGCAAGCCATTTGAGACAGACTATCTTGGTCCTTTAAGAATATCAGAGGCAGCAATGTACGCAAAGCACCGTCAATAGTTTCTAGTGATTATTACAATCATTTATGTTAAATGAAGAACGAGCATGATAAATATATATTTCATAGAGATGTATTCTGTATATGTAAGAATCTATATGTGTACCTGGTGTAATATCATTCATTTGTAATATATGAGATCGGTGAACGCCAATTATAATGCTATACTCATAGGGTGTTTCAAGCTGGCTGGGGCCAATGTAAATATGATAAGTGCCTGTCGGTGCATCTTTGTTTTCCGAAAATATCGCCTCAAGATTGTCTATATATATATATATATCAGAAACAAATAATCAATATTTATACTTGGTAAATACTGACGGGGTGAACAGCTCACCTCTCCAGCTAGTAGGCATTTCCCATGGTACGCCATTTAAGATTAAAGGGAAATTCACACAAGAAGATTCGTCTTCAACTGTAGAAAGGTCACGTTGAATCACGTGTAATTGGTTCTCCAACTCGGATGGAGAGTAGCTCCAAGGCGACGGGAGATGTATGGTAAATGTAGTCGGCAATGATAGCTTGCAGCTCTATAATTATATTTGGGGTAGCATGTTGGCTCTCATGTGTAGATATAAAGGTACATTTCTGCTGATATGCATATAAAGTTTGAAGAATTCTCAACTAATTTATTGAGTTTTTTATTGCTTGCCTGCCATGTTTGCCATGTGTCAATTTCTGCTAATGGAAGACTAGCTCGATATACTTCGGTTGTCTTCCACCAGAATGGCACGCCCAAAAGAACTACAAACCAAAATGCAGCAACTACGATGCGTGTGGAGGCATCTATATAAAGAAATGAATGGAAGAATAGCAATTGTTGACACATGCCATCCTGTTTCATCCGGCCTTTAAGGCCCGCATGTATACCACATGTCTATATTCACTCTTTCTACCTAGACCATTCGAACTCATGCCGCGTGCTTTAGGAAAGGGGCAATGCTGTGTAAACGAGGTAAGTGGTTGTAGAAACCAATTCAATAAGTATGTCTATTAAAAAACCTCGGCAAGAAACGAAAAGAAAGGAAACAAAACGAGTAGAGGGATTGACACTGCAAGTCACGTAGATCTCGAGAGTATTGTATGGTTCCCGAATTGAAAGATAAACATGCATCAAGGGTATATTCTAATATGTACTACCAAGACAAAGGCCAGTAAAAATATATGTTTGATAAGAAGGACTGTATGTAGAGCATGTATTTCTATAGTTAAATATAAATGGCTGGTTATCGTGCTTACAAGATGATTATTATATGCAATGCTACAAATTTTGTGTTTCTGGCACCTCAATTCATAATTGAAAGTAGAAGCTATATAGAGATATATGACTCAAAAGGTCTGATGTTGTGCAACCAAGAAAAGCGGTCTTTTGTGATAATATGTTTCGACAGACAGAAATATATATTATCATGAATGCCCCGCTAAAAAATAAAAATAAAAGCACCTTTTCTTCCTATCTTGTCCCCGCGCATTAAAATATTACCAAACATATATAATTATGGCTACCAGTCTTCCACGCAACAACACCCCTGTCTCGGAACCTCATACTATTAAAAGTATATGCGTGTTTTGTGGATCAGGTGAAGGAGAAGATCCAATCTACATGGCCGATGCAACTGGTAATCAGCTCTTGCCAAATGAGCGAAACACAAACAAGTTGAAAGGATAAATGGGTACTCATATCTATATTTATTTATATACTTATAGACTTAGGCAAGAAAATGGCCGAAAACAATTACAATCTTGTTTATGGTATGCTGTGCCACTAATCTTTCTCAAAGAATAATACCTTGAATCGAAGCCTACTGGGAAAAGAATTAATATAAAGGAGAATCTGATATATTTATGCAAAGGTGGTGGCTCGGTTGGTTTGATGGGTGGCGTCGCCAAGGCTGTGATTTCTGGAGGAGCCAAAGCCAAAGGTATAATCCCTGAACCCTTGTATCGTCATGGTAGCAAACAGATTTGTGAGGTATCTATTGTGCCTGATATGCACACCCGTAAAAAGCAAATGGCGGATGAGGTAAGCCAAATCCCAAAGCACACAGACGATGCATATATAATGGTCGAACTAACCCTACTTATAAAGTGTGACGCTTTTGTGGTCTTACCTGGTGGATTTGGTACCATGGAAGAGATGCTTGAGGTCATTACTTGGTCCCAATTGAACATTCACTCAAAGCCAATCTTGCTCTTAAACACCAAAAACTACTTTGACTTGTTTGTTCAATGGATTGCTTACAGCGTCAAAGGTAACTTATTTACCATTTGAGATTCCTGTAAATTAATATTGTGCTTGATCTATAGAAAAATTCATTCATGCCACAAATGCTTCAATCTTTGTGCTATGTAATGATGCAGAAGATATAATTGAGAAATTGAGTGTGTATTCTGCTCCAAATGGTCGTTATGCTCTTGATTGGGTCAAAAAAGACGGAAAGGATGGACGAACCAAGATTTAAAACTGGTTTAAACAGTCACAAGATTAGCTTTCAGTTGCATAGCCGCTTCCTTCCTTCCTTTTGCCTATTGCTACAACTTATTTTCACCTTCAGCGATAATTTTTGCCTCTTATATAAACGTCTAAATTGAAAAGAACAATATGTCTATGTCAGAATATAAATTAAAGCGAGATGCTTGTCGCCCAAAAGTGCTCGAAAAATATGATATTGTAGGCTTCATCAGCTCCGGCACATATGGACGGGTCTACAAGGCACGGTCACGTAATAAGTAAGCATAGACGAGCCGATGATGTTACAAAGGAAGGCAAAAGGGATTTATATGTACAGAGAACTCACACTAAGCCTTCCAGAGATGACCATCGCGAATTTGCCATAAAAAAATTCAAACCAGATAGAGAAGGTGATAGCCACCATTACGTTGGAATTTCTCAATCAGCATGTCGAGAGATAGCTGTAAGCTTACCTAATAAAAATAAAAGGAAGAAATATAAATGTCCTGGTATGATCCACTCACACGCGTTGTTAGCTATGCAGAGAGTTAAATCATGAAAACATTATTGGGTTGGAGGAAGTATTGTTGGAAGACAAGGCTATATTCATGGTATTTGAGTATGCAGAGCATGATTTTCTGGTAAGCAAAATGAAAATAGAACTATATAGGGGAAGAGGGTATATTTGAAAATCATTGAGAAATAGAGGAATTTTTGGTGTTATGAAAGCTCATTCTGGATAAACCAGCAAATTATACATTATCATTTACACACAGAACGGAAGCCTATACCAGAAATTTTGATAAAGTCATTTCTATGGCAATTATTGAACGGAGTGGCGTATTTACATGCAAATTGGGTCTTGCACAGAGATCTTAAGCCTGCGAACGGTAAGTTATGTAAAAGTATAAATGAAACACGGGTGAAGAGAAAGAGAAAGAGAGAGAGAGAGAGAAAGAGAGAGAAAGAGAGAGAGAGAAACAGGTCAAATTGATGACTGTTTAGTTCTTTTGACAAGTGATGGGATTGTAAAGACAGGTAAATGCAGATAAACAAATGCTCTTTGAAAGAAATGATCATGGTTACTTACAGGTGTTATGTACAAGGTGATCTCGGATTGGCTAGACTATTCAATAGACCATTGCAGCCGTTGTTCAATGGTGACAAAGTGGTTGTGACAATATGGTACAGAGCTCCTGAATTATTGTTTGGTGCGCGACATTATACAAAAGCTATTGATATGTGGGCAGTTGGATGTATTTATGGTGAATTATTGGCCCTCAAGCCTATTTTCAAAGGAGAGGAAGCAAAGATGGATACAAAGAAGAATGTGCCATTTCAACGAAGTCAACTTACCAAGATTTTTGAGGTTCTCGGCACGCCCACTAGTAAGATTTAGTATATATGTATATATATATTTAAAAGAAGAAGAAGAGAAGATAGAGAAAATATTAAATCTGATCCGGTTCACTTGTATAGAGGAGGTTTGGCCAGCAATAGACCAATTGCCAGATTATTGTCATCTCAGTACATTCCCACAGTAAGGATTGGTTTAGTATATTATAAATGTGTGCATCTGCGTGTTTATAAATTGATTTTTAAATTATAGGTGCTCAAATAATCTAAAGCATATGTATCAAATGATACCAGGCGTAAAGAGCGAATCTGGATTCAACTTGTTTAGCGCATTACTAGAATATGATCCTGCCAAGCGGATAACAGCCGAGAAGGCACTTGCACATCCATATTTTCAAGAAGACCCAAAGCCACTAGCCAAGTAAGTCTGGTCACACTAAAATTATGTACTTGCTTAATTTTTAACATTGTTGGTTAGTGTACTGGCGCAGCAAAATATAGAGTATCCTTTGCGCAGGGTCACCCAAGAAGACAATGATATCAAGGCTACAAAGTCAGTACTGGGATCTATGGCCAAGGAAGAGGCGATTAACAGAGCAAACAAAAAGGCACGGAATGTATAAAAATGTACCATTGGTGTTTGTTGTCTAAACACTTATAAAAAGATAAAGGGGAGGTGCAAGACCACAGATTAATCTAGCCAAAAATGACTTATGCAGGGATCACTTTACTAGACTGGAGAATATATATACATAGAAGAGGTGTGTTTATATATGTGAAGTTTTTTTTTTGGTTTTTGGTTTGTTTTGTCCAAAAAAAAACAAAGGCAAAAAAACTTTTAGAAGTAACCTATGTGTAGAATATTGTGAAATAAAAAAGATAGAGGAAGAGGTAATAGAAAATCTCAAAATCACCATAAAATCATTACCGCACGCACAAATACACACAAATCAAACAGCACACACCCACACACCTCATTCTCTCTCTCTCTCTCTGTGTGTGTGTGTGTGTGTGTTATTTGATTTGTGTCTTCCCCCCTTCCTCCCTCCGCCAAAAGGTCACGCACGCATGAACATACTTATTTAGGCCCACCTTCTCTATTTCTTTCTTTGGTCTGTATTTTCTTATATTACAACAGGTCACTCTATTAAAAATGGCATCCCCATCGACATCTCTCGATCCTTTAATCATTTCACGGCAAGATGTATTTGCCTACAAAACGATGATTCGACAATTAGCGGCACAGTCACCACAGCCTTATGGCGAGATTCCCCCGCTTCTAAAAACCAAGAAGAAGAAGACTAAGAAGAAGAAGACCAAGAAAAGTACAGTACAAGACTTTTCTCATGTAGAAAATTGGATAGCCGTCGATAGTAAAGAAAGCTTGCCGGATGAAGAGGACCTGGTAGGACTGCCCCAGTGTGTCCTTTGTTGCTGAAATGGTGTTTATAGGAAGTCTTTCGTTTCAGCAACTTCCTCTCTTCAGACCTTCTTTCAACTGTTCTGCCCCTGCACATGCCTCCGCCTTCCTTAAGTGTAGCAGACCCGTCACCGCCAGAAGAGCAAGAAGTTGTGGAACTCGAGCTAGAGCCAGAGCCAGAGCAAGAGCCAGAGCAAGAACCGACACAAGAAGACACTGGGGACACAAGTGAAGAAAGTGACGAGGAATACAAAAGAAGTCTCGCCGGTCGACGCTCCTACAAGTCCCAACCTTCTTCTACTCTTACACCTGATGTTGTTTTATCTTCTTCTCCCCCGCAGGATACACATCGTCTTAAATGGCTTCACACAGTAGAGCAACTCAAACGTTCGCTCGTCATCTCTACGCCTCCTCTTCCCCCTCCTCCCGTACCCGTTCGTCCTAGACGACGCCGTTCAGAAGCTAACCGTCAACCTCGTTTTAACCCTGACACTAACACTTATACTCGAGATACTCGTTCGAATCCTGATCATCTACGTATGATCTCGGCTGAATTGAATATGATGCGTGCTCGAAAGTTACTTAGCCCACTCAAGCCACGTGGCTTCCTCCCTCGTCGCAAAGATAGCTTTATTAGTGGGTCTGGTCGACTTGTATCTCGTCTGAAGTATGATATTTTAGTTGACTAAAGTTTGTGATTTGAATGGAATGCATTTTGTGATCAATAACAATGCAGAAATAAACTAGAGGAAAATAACAATATTGAATATAAGATTATTTTATATATAAATTGAATGAATTATTCCTAATATATATTTAAGTATATTGGTAGAAAAAGGTGAAAGTAAAAAAGAAAAGGAGGGTAGTAAGACGTATTTTTTTTATTGTTATTATTGCTATTATTGCCGTTAGCACTTTTATTATGACTGGGGAAAAATCAGCCGAAAGAAAATGCTTAGTCTCTGGGCTTACGATAATACTTGCTCATTACTCTTCTCTTCTACATTTTGCTACATCTTATTAAGCTATTTATTATTAAACTACATTCTTCAGCAATAATTCTCTCAATGTGGCCATTATATTCGGCATCACAACCATACACCTTACTAACAACTTCAAATCTGTTGCGTCCTCGTCGGTGGCGTTGGTCAACCATTATAAAGACAGTAGTCCTAGTTATTACAGTAATTGTTGTAGGATTCTTTTCATTATTTCAACTCCAACTTAATCTACGAGTATACATGCGTGATTGGATCTCCCACACAGAGGCAACATACGATGATCCCTTGGCAGGCTGCTTTAATAACTTATCCGCCAATAGCAGATACCATCAAGGCTATCTTTACAACTACGAACTCTCTCCTGGAGTCAGCTTGTTGGAAGATTATGACTGTTATGATTATGCCTCGACCATCCGGCCCGTTGAAGGAAGAGAACAGGAACCCACTATTTACCATGCGTACTGGAGAGCAGACTTAGCACCAGTCGGTTACAAACAACTTGCTACCCTCAGATCGCTCTTTGCGACTCAACCCAAAACTGCTATTGTGTACCTTTGGTCAAATGGAGACTTGGGAGAGTCAAGCATCATCAAAGACATGAAATCAAAAGTTGGAGATCGCTTAAAAACAAAAATTGGAGACCCTCGAGCACTATCTGTTAACTCTCCCATGCAAGACTCGCCACACCTAGATTTTAAAGACGATAGTGGTTATCTTGACGGAGATCTTTTGCGACTTTTAGTGCTCTACCAGCACGGCGGTATGTGGTTCGACATGGATTCTCTGTTTGTCCGGGATATGTCTCCACTTATGGAGCATGAATGGGTATCTCAATGGGATTGTTATATGCCAGAGAGTTTCCCTTTTAATGGTGCATTTATGCGCTTTTTGAAGCATTCTCCTTACTTGTGTGAAATGCTTTCTGAAATGGCCAACGGCCCTCTTCCCCGCAAGGATTCCATTGACTGGGGAGGTTATCTATATTACCGTATCTACCGTCGGTTGCTTCACAATGGTATTCAACCCTGGTCCGTGTTACCATGGTGCTTTACCGACCCTATGGTGTGCACTCCTTTCAATTCTATGCCAAACGCCTTTGTGGAAACTGAATTTCCGACCGACCGTTTATTACAGTCGTTTGCTTACCATTGGCACAACCAGTGGAAAAAGGAACCCGGATCATTGTTTCGATACCTCGATGGTCTTCATCAAAACACAACCGGATGGAAGTAAAAGTAAAAAAAAAAATCAATAAAGATCACTAGAATAAAGGCCGTGTACCTTCTACTACTACCTAAGCTCATTTTTTTGTCATAAAATTCTTTCATTTTATAAATATATATATATATATGAATATGTATGTATGTGTTTAGTGTGCATTTTTGTTTTTTGTTTTTGTTTTAATACAATAATGGTGGAAAATCTAATTCCTTTCATTTGTCTAACGTCTTGGGCGAGGCTTGACAACAAACTGGTTGACGGACTTGCGAGTCTTTCCACCCTTGGAAAGAACACCCCAGGGAGAGCGAGGATCCTTGTTTCCCTTGGACTTTCCTCGACCACCACCATGAGGATGGTCGCATGTGTTCATAGCCACACCACGTACAGTGGGACGAATACCCATCCAACGTGAACGACCAGCCTTTCCTAGCATTTCGTGCTGGTGATCAGGGTTGCTTACAGCTCCAATAGTTGCACAAGCATCTACAGGAATAAGACGCACTTCACCACTCGACAATCTCAACTGTGCATAACCTGTCTCTCCTGTCTGAATGAGCTGTGCATATGTTCCAGCCGAACGAGCAATAATTGCAGGTCCACTACGCTTAAGTCCAATGTTGTGCACAATTGTACCGACAGGAATCATCTTGAGCGGCATGCAGTTTCCGACATCAACTGATACGATTCGTGTAATTCCGTCTGTGGTCTTGCTGTCGGATGCACGGTAGCTTGTCACAACATCTCCTGGCTTTACACCATGAGGAGCCACGATATAACTCAATGAGCCTGTCTGTTTATGTTTCAATAAAGCAATCCATGCACTGCGTCCAGGGTCATGCTCAAGCCGCATTACTTCTTGGCTTCCACTTTCCATGCGGTTCCAGTCAATAATTCTGATGCGTCGCTTGTGTCCTCCACCATGATGGCGAATTGTAATACGACCGGTGTTATTACGTCCACCCGTGCTTCTCTTCTCGACCGTCAAACGACGTACGGCTTTGCCCTTGTAAAGATGGTCACGTGGGACTCTCTTAAGCCAACGCTTACCGGGTGTTGATGGTTTGTAAGTTTTAAACTGTTTGGCTGGTGTGGCTGATGCCTGTGCACCAGCAGCGATGTTCCCTTGGGTGCTAAATCCGGTCAAGAACGAAGGGGTAGTGGTAACTTCATGTTTGGAGGTGTTTGTGGTGTAAGCGCGTATCCAGCGGAATGGTGTTACAGTACGTGCAACAGGCTGAGTAAGAGGAACACGGGTGCTGGCTTGCAGCAACCGGAAAGCCCCCAGACGCAGCATTATTGAACTTTAATGGTCTTTCTTTAACAAAAGAAAAGAGGAAGGAAGATAACATCTTTACCCCCCTTCCCTCAACAATAACAATCGTCACAGACAAGTCACACAGCTGCTAGTAATTACATTTGCCTTTAGGCTGACCCTAGATTTTGAAATACCTTATTAGAGTGCATATCGAATGCATTTACTGTAAAGGTGAGTCTAAACTATTGCAAAAGTACTTATGATTCAATAGTATAGTAGCCGATTTTTAGCAGCTTCTCACACTGTACGCTTTATTTACTCTAAATGTGAATATATGGACAAATATTATACATAATAATAATAATGAGTAGATTTACAGAAAATATAAATTCTGCACAGTCAATCAGCAACTGTCGTCAATTGTATTTTGATATATAGCAAGTTAGTCTAGAAATATACTCTAATTTATACTAGGAAAAATACTTATCATTCCTTGGATACTTTAAATGATTCATATATTATAGACCTGGGAAATGCATCATTAAATACCTAAAGATATAAAAATAAACTATCATAGAAGCATACAGTTTAAATAAAAGAGGTTAAGTTGTATGTGCCTGTTAAAGTATTGTCTTATTTGATGGCATTTATTGATCCAAAGATTTTACTTTTATTTTTCTTAAAAAAATGAGGGATAATACTTTTCAGTTACTGATTGTTCTCTTTGATACAGTGTTTCTACTTTAGATTGAGACAAATTAAGAAATGTTTTAGACGAATCAAACTTAATTTTTAGACAGTATGCTTACCTTTTGCGGGCAGAACGAAAATTCAATTTAGACAAAGAGAAATTGGTTTTAAGACAAAGTAGGTATTTATTCAGACATTTTATCTATTTGTCAAAATAGCTCAAAGAGACATAGATAAAATGTCTGAATAAATATCTACTTTGTCTGAAAACCAATTTCTCTTTGTCTAAATTGAATTTTCGTTCTGCCCGCAAAAGGTAAGCATACTGTCTAAAAATTAATTTTGATTCGTCTAAAACATTTCTTAATTTGTCTCAATCTCAAGTATAGAAACACTGTATTGTACCTGGCTCCAATGCAGCTTAAATTTGATTGGATATGTTCTTAAATGTGACTTTCTCTTGATATTACACTGACAGCGAAGCACAAAGCATGAACAACTTTTACCTTTTTCTCATTCTTTTCCTGCAATCCTTTAATGTGAGCAGCAATTACATCTTTCGTTTTTCTCAAATATTTATTTTTGTAATAATTAGATGTATCATAAGCTTGCCACCATTTTTCGTTCTCTTCATTACCTAAATCCCGTTCCAGACACTACGTACGTAAAATCAAAACGGAAGCAATGAAAAAGAAAAAGATACGGTCGGTCTTTTGTTTGTAGTTTTGTTGATATTCAACTCGATTTTTTTTGTTTGGTTCTAAATAGTGTATTATCTATTCGTACAGGACGATATAGTGCTTTATTGAATGAATTCCCGAAGGAATCCCACGGTGTAAAATATAACAAAACTATAATCTAAAAGAAAAGTTAACGGTTGATTTATTCTTAACTGTTGTCGTTTCTGTTATTTTCTAATAGCCGTATTGGAGAGAGCCTCCTGAGAAAAGAGCCTCATACCTACACAAGGTTGCTCTTTGGGATCTCTGTCAGTTATTCTATTTCCCAACATCTGAACAAGAATGTTGCAGTGCCGCGTTAATACGTTGGCTTAAGGCTACAGACAACAGTAAACATTTAGTAGTCCACTAATTTATTTCCCATATAACAATTAACAAGTCATGGTTCCTTAATCATATCTCCGTTTCTTAGAATCTGTCATAAAATTCTACATTCAAGACATTTACAACGACAAAACACCTATACACCATGCTCAATTCTGGCCTGCAGTTTTCAAGTAATTTTTCTCGGATATTCTTACTATAAATCGGTTTACCATTGACGATAATTTACATACTATTAGATTAATTATTCGCGGAGAACTTCGTGCACTCACTTCATTACTCACTCAAGCAAGAAAAAGAGTCATTGAACAATCTCACGATGACATATTATTACTCTTGATAAGCACGTTCCTTCAAGCTGTGTCCAAATTTCCTATTCTTGAAGACCCTCCTCAGCAGAACTATTTACAATCAAAGCAAGCTTGGCAACAGAACTGCTTAGAACTGACAGAGAAAATCCGAGATTTTACTGTTGGTACTTCTACTATATCTGAATTCGCCATATGTGTATTAGATGGAATCAAACTGCTTCAGGGTGACCAAAACACTGTTAATCGGCTTAGTGAAACAAAACTCGAAAGTCTTGTTGCCTTGGCTTATTATGCCTATACACATGCGTCAAGATCAAATATACAAGGCCTTGCAAAAGAAATGTGGACAGATGCAGAGGTCGAATTAAAAGATTTCAAAAACGTGTTTCAAGGAAACATAGAAGCTATTCTTAAAGAAGATAAATTAGATCTCTGGTACTTATCTCATTTATCGGATGTCTTGGTCCTTTTTGGAGTAGACTCCATTAAGGATAAACGTCAGAATAGTGTAATTGCATATAGCAAACATTTGCTTGATAATGGGCTTTGGCTTGAAGCCTTGGACTATATGAGTACTTGCGGGTCTCAAGGAAGGGATTGTATGCACAAGGTAAAAGATTTAGTTTGTTCCAAAAATAATTATTAACAAATTATACACATAGGCAATTCAACAACTAGACATTAAAGATGAAGAAATGGCTAAAGAATTGCTGGCATGTTGCGATAATTTCTATATGCATGATGAGAAGAACAGACTTTACAAGGTTTAATTTATTTATTTTTGCTTCGTTGTGCTAATTATTATTTGGTATACTATGAGTATAATTCTAATGATCCCTATTGGTGTATTGAACAGGAAACTGGAAATATACTTCAAAATTCCAGGAAATTTTCTTCAGCTATTTTTTACTATGATCAGGCTGGAGATGCATTAGCTGTGGATAATACATTTAAGAGTGCGATGAACAACTATGTGAACACTGGTAAGGAAATACCATAGGATAATATTCATATATATATACTAATTATTCTACTTCTTACAAAGGTCAATTAACAGACCTTGGAGATTTGTCGCCTGATCTCAAGGCTCGTTGTAATGGACCTTATGCGAAATTTTATCTTGGCTTCTTTGACTTACACAGCTTTATTGAGGTGAGAGTTGAAATAATAACAGGCTATCAAAGTAGCACACATACTGACAGTTAACAAATGTAAATTTCAGGCCAATGATTACAAAAAGGCAGCTAAACAGTTGCATGAACTACTAAAATCTCCATCCAGCCCAATTGAATTCATCCCTATGCTGTATGTTCGAAGTGTCGGTTTGCTTCAAAGTAAGTGCTTCAAAATAATATAAAAGTTAAAATGGAACAACAAGAGGGATACTTACAAAATATAACACACATACACACATATTTATATTATGATTAGATCCCGCTCTGTGGTTCTCAGCTGAAGAATATGCTTGTTTAGAATTGCGATTCGAAGAGCTCAGTCAAAATGAAGATTTGACAGGCTACACACTGTTAGGGAACATGCTTTTAAAGGACACGCAGCTTGAAGGAATCATGATTCGAGATACCTTCTTTGATCTTCTTTCGCTGGTCTTAAAACGTTCACCATACACCGTCTAAAAATATTATAAGCAAGATATATATTTGGCTGTTTATGACCATTTGCCTTGTGAGCCGTCTTCAAAAAAGGCAAGATTGACACACGGGCTCAAATAGATAATTATACATATATAACCCTCAAACGTCAAACATTAAATAAAATGTAATAAAATGGCTTGGATTTTATTTTTGGTGTCAAGAAGTGCACGAGGCAGACCAGATCGCTTACATAAAAAAAAAGTTATTTTAATAAAATATTAAAAATACCAATAAGAGTATAACCAATTACCCTTCTTCTTCCTTCCATCTGGTGCTATGAGCAATATTGATCGCATCTCTCAAATCTTACCAACTGTGAAATGTTCTGATTGTGGAGAAGATGTTCAGATTCATCAACTAGGAGATCATATCTGCTCCACTATGCCCGTCATGCCTTTCATGCCAATACTTAAAGGTATCTTCCCTTATTCTATTATTATTTTCTGAATCTTCTAAATTGTCGACTGTTTTGTTCTGCGTTTTTATTTTGTTTTACTCATATTGATTTGATTTGATTTGGGTTTCTGTGTATGTGTTTGTATGTGCGTGTGTAAATTTTAGAAAGAACAAAGCCCTCATATACACCAACTCCTACTCAACTTCCATCCCCATCAATTTCTGATTGGGCTCGAAAAAATAACAGTCGATCACCTGCACCTTTTAGCTATCCTCCTATCAGCTCACCAGCATCCACTCAATCACGGTAAGTAAAGAATTAAACCATTTGGTGCCTGTAAAAGATACTTATAAGTTTATGTATATATTTACTAGATCAAACTCTCGGGAAGAAATCGATAGTTATCTTGAGGATCGTATGTGACTTTATTAATTAGTTAATTTATTCAATATTAACCTACTTATCGGCCTGTGGTTACGTACAGAAAACTTACCAAGATCTGGCGGAACTCGGTTTGGAGGGGAAGGTGCTCTGGATACATTGATGGCAGATCTAAAGAACACTATGGGGCAGGATAGGGATAGTGGTATGTCAGTTATGTGTTCTGGTTGTCAACTACCACTTGGTTTCCGCAATATCGTATCGCATGGTAAAGAGGTAATAAAACATCGCAGTAATAAGTATAGAAATTGGATTGGGATTAATAATCTTGCGTAATATGCTTGTGTATAACTAGGGATTCCATGCTAACTGCTATGCTTGTCGAGTATGCCATATACCTTTTCGGCATCCACAAGCATGTTTTGAATATGAGGAAGGCCTGTATTGTGAAAAGGATTATTCGGCTATCAAAAGACAGCCTTTGTGCGATACATGGTACGAGAAATACAAGCATAAAATGGCAAGCAGTAATATTAATTGCGGCCGGTTTATATTTATCTTTCTTAGTGAAAAGCCTATTGCTTCTAATGTAACACCCATTAAAGCTCTTGGGAAGTTTTATCATCCCGGCCATTTAGAATGTGTTCACTGTTATCAGCCTATCGATTTTGAGCGAGTTGGATTCAAGGAATATCAGGGTAAAATTTATTGCCGCCCTGATTATAAACGTCTCTTTCTTCCTATGTGTCGTGCATGCAATCAGCCTGTCAAGGGAAAGGCTGTTTCTGCCATGGACGGTTCTTTGGAAGGAAAATGGCATGTTGACTGCTTTGGTTGCCATGTAAGTAATCTTTTTGAGTAATTTTGAATGTATACTTATGAATATTTTCGTTTTCTTTTCGTGTAGAGCTGCCATGAACCATTCCCTGATAATACGTTTTACGTTTTTGAGAATTCACCATATTGTAAGATACACTATCACCAATTGAACAACTCTTTGTGTCGCACGTGTGATGGCCCAATTGAGGGTCCTTGCGCACAAACTAGCGAGGGATGGCGCTTCCACCCACCGTGTTTCGTTTGCTTTTTTTTGTAGGGAGCCGAAGGCTCTAGTTTATTAGTGAGCCTTTATGCTGCAAGGCAAAAGAGGAAAATCACGACTTGTTTTTGGCTTTTATATTTTTACAATGTTTTTCTATTTATATGTTTGTGGTTATATATATTGTGGAGGTATGGAAGGAAGCTAAAGGGGGGGGGGGGGGGGAAAGTCGAGAGCAAGTTCGCTCTTGAGGCGGTCGAGAAGAGAGGAAGCAGTGGAAAAGGCAGCGGAGGAGACAAAAGGAACGTGATCAAATATGAACAGCCAATGATGGCGCCATATAGCCAGCAGCGTGCAGCCAAAAATTGAGGCAGCAGAAAGAGAAGAATCGGTGCAAGGAGGGAATGTGAAGGATTGCAAACCAGAAAGCAAGACAGTGGGTGTCGCGGTCTGGGCGAAGTACAACGTCCAGATTGACGACCATACGGACAGTTTGACCGGACACTGGAACAAAAAATGAGTTTGATTGTCCAGAGGGTGAGAGCAGAGGGCACAGGATGGGTCTGGGAAAGCGGTAGGGATCCTAGAATTGAGGCGAGAACGGCAAGGAATGTTCTTGTGCAGGGCACGAAACCAAACGTTGCGGGCCCCATGCGGCAGGGGGAAGGACCAAAACCGACGAAGCTGGCGAGGGACGAGTGTGGGGCTTATGGGGCGTGCGGATTTGGAGTGGAAATTGCAGAGTAGGCGGAAAGACTGGGTGGACAAACGATGCCAAGGGATGCCGGGGACAAGAGCCGTCAAGAAAGGACGCACATCGACAGCTGTACCGGAAGGCATATCTAGCGAAGGAAACTGTATGGCACAGATCGCGGGGGGAATGGTGGCACGATACAGGACAGGGTGCAAGACAAGAGAGCGAGTGTAGAGACGTTCGAAGAACTGGTGAAGGACAATAGGACGACGGAGTATGCGGTGGAGGGGGCGTTGGGCAAGCACGCCGAAACTAGGATCTACTTCATAGGCGTCGGAAACCCGGAGATCGCGCCATGCAGATGGAAAGGGAGGGTGGTCTGGTTGTGCGGTAGTGAGATAGGAGAGAGGCAGAGAGAGACAGGTGGGGAGGTTGACTACCACGTCAGAGAAGTTGTGAGGGAGAAGATCAATGGCAGCAAGTAGGGTGGCCAGAGGAGAGTCGAAATCACGCTGATGAGAGGATCGGAGAGATGGAAATATCAGAGGAACGAGTGGATCAGCAGATGAGGAGTCGAGGCGGAGGACGTAAGAGAACCAAGGCGGGACCAGGCCAGAGGGGGACAGCGGAGAGCGGACGAGAGGCCGGAGCCAGCGCAACTGAAGAGCAGCCTGTTGAACCTGAGGATCAAGGACCCCTAGACCGCCGAGCCGAATAGGCTGGCAGAAAGTGCCGAGAGAAATGGGAGGAAAGGAGCGGTATTGTATAAACTTACTCATGATCGAGCGAAGTCGACGGAAAAAGGATAGAGGTACAGTGACAACTCTGAGGACGTGCCAGAGCTTAGAGAGGATGAGAGAGTTGAGCACTGTGACACGGCCACGAATAGAGAGAGAGAGCGAGAGTGGTGGATATTACAGGTAGATTCAATCTTGGAAAGAATGTTGTCCCAGAAAGAATTGCGCTGAGGTAAGGATTAAATAAGAGGAAAGCCGAGGTATTGCAGGGGAGTGGAGGAAGATCTGTCAGACCAGGTGGTGATATCAAATTGTTGTAGGATAGGGCGCCATTCTGGCAATGGGCGACCAGACAGGGAGAAAACTTCAGTTTTATGGAGATTGATGCGAGCATTGGAGGCATGAGAGTATGTGAGAAGGTGATGATGAAGACGGGACAAGTGGGCGGCATCAGGCAGAAAGACTAGCAGATCGTCGGCATAGGCTAAGAGCTTGATGGGCGGAGGTGGTGGAATAGCAGTGCGTGGTGATGGAGAAAATCCGGCAAAGGAAGGATCATGAATCACACGACGCAACAAAGGTTCGAATGCAAGGTTAAAGAGTACAGGAGAAAGAGGATCACCCTGCCGGAGTCCACGAGCCTGAAGGAATGATCGGGATAGGTGTCCATTGACATTGATTCGAATCTGTGTAGAGAAGAAAAGTTGAGATATACAGGTAACGAGGGAAGGGGGAAAGTTGAAATGCTGCAAGACCTGGCGAAGGTAGTCGGGATGGACTCTGTCGTAAGCTTTCTCCTGATCCAAAAGAAGGCCTATACCAGATGAACCGTCCTGTCTAGCCTGTGCCATAACCAACTTGGTCAGCATGCCATTGTCAGCAATGAAGCGTCCTTGGACAAACCCGGTCTGGAAGGGCGCAACAAGGGAGGAAGCAGCAGGCACCATGCGACGATTGATGAGGCGAGTGAACACTTTGGCATCGGTATTGATGAGAGCGATCGGGCGCCAGTTGCGGAGGGAGGTGAGGTCACCTTTCTTGGGAAGAAGAGAGACGCAGGTTGATTGCCAGGACGAAGGGAACACACCGAGGGCAAGCCCATCGTTAAATATTCGAACAAGTAAGACAGCACACATCGGATGATCCATAATTAATCGCAGAATCTCATAAGGCAGGCCATCCGGCCCAGGGCTACTGGCATTAGGAGTGCGAGTGGCGCCGTCTCGGATGTCATCCAAGGTGAAGGGTTTAAGGAGGGTCGTGGAGGTAGTTTCGGAAAGAAAGAGGTCTGGTGGCAAGTGAAGGAGGAGGTCGTCGATAGCTGTCTGAGCAGGAGGGTCGGGTGTGTAAAGATCTTCATAAAATGCAGCAGCAGCTTCCGTAAGATCATCGGGATCAGTGCATAAGGTGTCGGTGAAGGGGTGGCGGAGGCTGGTTATTGTGGTTCGAGCTTGGCGAAAAGCAACTGTGCGTTTCAAAAACCCAGCGGAAGTTTCGCCTTGTTCTCTCCAGTGTTTTCCGGCGCGGAGTGCTAGTATCTCGGTGCGTTCCTGTTGAACTTGCTGAAGTTGACGCTCGACGATGGGCAGCTGGAAGTTCTGAGCAGGCTGATGGCGAAATCTATGTATCAAATGGTCACGTTTACTCTGAAGCTTTACCTCCAAAGTGGCAAGTGATGGGCGGGTTGTGCGTGAATATGAACGTGTGAAACGAGCCACTTCGACTTTGATCAGATCCCACTGTGATTGGGGGGAAATTGAAGGCGAGAGTAGTGGTATGAAGGATGAAAGACAGTCGGACAGGGAGGAGCGGAAGGAAGGGATGTTCGCCAAACGAGGGTTCGCACGCCACAAACCTCGACCAATGTGAGACAGCATAGGAAAACTAAGACAGGTACGTACAAGGCAATGATCGGTCCACAGGGGCTGAACAAATGTGACGGTGGACGAAGAGTGACAAGACGCTATATCCTTGGAGGCATATATGTAGTCGATAGTCGAAGAGGAAAGGTCGCGATGAAAGGTAGGCATAGGTTGAGCGTCAGACAAAGTGACACAGTCTACAAAGTGGTTAGCGACAAAATGCAGCCATAGACGTGGCGCGAGGCCAGCACGAGAGGCCTTTGCATATGAGGAATAATTAAAATCTCCTAGCATAAGAAAGCGAGAAGGAAGGGAAGGGAGAAGATGTGGGGAGGATAGGAGAGAGGTGAGAAAATCATATCGAGGACGATATGAAGCAGAGACATATAAAACGCAAATACGAAATGGGGCAAACAAATTGGAAGAGTGAAAAACGGTGGCAGTAATGCAACGACCACAGAGAGAAAAAAGAGGATCAGTAAAAGAAATGAGGGGAGAGAGGGAAACCAAACCACAGTGAGGAGACCATAGTGAGTCGGATGCTTGAAATTGAAGATGAAACGTCTGTTGAAGAGCGTCTGTGTTGGCGTGAGTTTCTTGAAGGGCAAGTATGTCTAGAGAGAGAGAAGATATCTAATAAAGAGAGAGCGATTATTGGTGTTTCCGGACTTGACAAGTCCGCGGCAGTTCATGGAGGCTATATTAATCATAAATTTAAGAATGATCGCCGTCTGCCATCTCGTCATCAGTTAGGATATTCTGGGAGTCTTGGTCGTCGTCGCCGTCAAAAGCGCTGGGGTGAAATTCTTCTTCGTCTTTAGTGGAGCCGGAAGTGTAGTTGGAGAAAAGAAAAGCGTTGTGGAGGGGGTGAAAGACGGGATCATACTGGGTGTTGTGTGTCTGAGGAAGAGGCAGAGTGGGGTCGAAGAGTGCGCCTGTGCGGCTGTTGTCAGTTAGTCCGTCAAGTGCAGCAAACCTGTTGGCAGACTGGCGGGGGGAAGTAGGAACAGCGGGGACAGAGGGTCGTCGCGGTGTCGAGGAATTCGTGCGGGAGGTGGTGGTAGTAGCCTGGGATCCCTCAGCCATCGTAGGTGTACCGCGAGGGGGGATCGATTTCTTGGCCGGAGGTCTGTGAGACGCACCGGGAGTAGTCTTGCGTGAGCGATCAGGGGATTCAGGTGTCGTGGGAACCTTGCGGGGTCTCTTGGAAGAGCTGGCGTCCGTGGGGGGTGCTCTGGGGCAGGCATGTTGCAAGTGACCAGTCTGGTCACAAGTGAAGCAGCGTCGGGAATCTTTGGGGCGGTCTGGACAGTTTTCGATAGCATGGCCCATAACTTTACAATAATTACAGTGAATACCCATCTGTTTCCAGGTACCTAAGAAGTACAAGTCGCCATCATACGGGATCTTGTATGAGAGTTTGGCAAGGGTGGCATCGGGGTTGGGTGGTCGTTCAAGGTAAGCAAAACCAGTGCCATCAAAAAAATTGGCACGAAGATGCAAACCGACTTCGCGGACGGTGCCATATGCGGCCAAGGCTGTTTTGATAGCCTCTTCAAGCAGAGGGGAAGGAAGGTATGGAAGCTGGGAGAGGGAGATACGCAAGATTTTTGTGCCTGGGGCAATACCCATAGAGGGGAAGTACGTTTGGCCTCCAACCAGGAAGCCTTTGGAGCAGAGTTTGGTGCAGATTGTAGAATTGGTCAGGTGCAATTCGTGCATGAGCGGTTGACAATGAGGGAATGATATTCCCAAGGTGAATGCTGTAGGAACGCTTGCTCTGAGAGCAGTCCAGAATTCAGAGGTAAGGGTGGAATCAGTGGGTGGAGTAAAGAATACCGAATGACGAGATGTACTTTCGCGCCAGACGCGATCCGTAGATGTCGGCAAGTTAGAGAAAAGAACGACTGGTACTTGACCGGGGGCGGGAGTGGCTGTGGCGACATCGAGATATGACCTAGTGTTGGTTGTGGTAGAGGTAGTAGTAGAGGGTTGTGGAGTGGTTATATTGGCTTGACCTAGTGTTGTGGTGGACCCAATAGGTGGGTCCGGTACTTTAGCGGGAAGAGCCATGGCGTGTTTCGTTTGCAATGTTTGCCAGTGTGCGATTACTGATATTTATTACATGTTTGAGCGGCGCATGTATTGTGAATCGCACATATTTAAACTTCAGCAGCAGCGAAACGTCCGTGCTGAGAAACGCAAAACTCAATTTGCCAGAGTCTAAAAAAAAAAGATATGTATTTGATCTCTTTCTACCTATCATACCTCCCATTTTCTCTCTTTGTATTCTATTTGCCATCTTACTTCAACCTCGCACATACACTTCCTGTTCTCGCACATACATTCATATTCTCATTCCCTTTTTTACTCTAAAAATATAAAACAACAACAACAAATAAAATAAAATATTTACATATATAAATAGAAAGCTTGTATTTCAATATGATACTTGGATCTTGTGGTTCAGAACCAAGAGAATCGATCGAGCTGTAATTGGCATTTATTGGTAGCCTATAAACTCCAACCTAACGTATACTGAAAGTACTAGAAATGCAAGACTGTACTACAATCATTGGTACTTTTGTGTTCCTTACTCTAAGCTCATTGTTGCAATGACGTCAAGTGAAAGAACAAACTATGTCTGTTTTTTGCTTGGTACAGAATTGAGTTTAACTACAAAACCAAGCTACTGGTTCATCAGGTTGGTTCTTCTTTGTTCTCCCTTTTATTCGTATTTCTCTTGTTATTCTGAAATTCGTGCCTGCTTTCACTATACCGTACCATCTAATGGTGAGAAAAAGATAAAGAAATCAAAGGCTCATATATACATACATACACATTGACTTGTCTAACGATTCTTCTAGTCAGAAATTAAATTACTCAATTTTAGAGATATCGCTCTATCAACTTCGCCAAGTAATAAGTAAGTGCACACATACGTACTATATTTTGTGCGTATTCGGGAAGCTAACTTTGTAAAATAATAATAGGCACCTTAAGTCAGGAATGGTGTTCCGTTCTGCCTCACTAGACTCCCTTTGCGACCAAGAGGTTGAGACTATTATTAAATCCTACAATATACATACCATTATTGATCTTAGATCGAGGTAATAAATTGACATGAATCAATTTATATATAATTGGAAAATGTATCTTCTAATATTTTTTTTAAAAACACACACATAATTATAGAAGTAAGAAGGATGACTCACACCTGCCTATCTGCAAAATGTTTCCAGAGACACCCTTGAACCAAGTAAGAATTGTTCTACGGTTCTTCTTTCACAGCATATGCATATTTGTCTCTGTGTGTGTATCCAATAATATTACTAATAATAAAAAAATGTTCATATTGATTATAAAACCTTTTAGATAACGTTACCAAAGCAATCTTTTAAAGAAAAGTTTAATCACCATGAATCTTCAACAATCACCAAACGCCAATCATATCGTATTGATTTTGTTGGAAAAGGCTTTCAACGAAGTTGTGTGTGGAAAGCATGTTCATTTCGTCTCAAACTGTAAGTCATAATGTTGTAATGTATCTGTCTCACCCACATCTTTTCTTCTTCTTTATAGTAAACTCATTGCTCTACTGGCTATACAACAACATGATAAAGCAGCTGTTTGGGTAGGACGTAAGGTTATGACACCAATGGGAGTAGCCACAATGTACCAGCATTTTGTTAGCAACTGCCAAGTTGAGATAATTTCTGCTCTTCGTATATTTGTTGATTCGTCACAATATCCTATTATTGTTCACTGCACACATGGCAAGGACAGGACAGCAATTGTGATTGCTTTAATTTTGAGTATATTGGATGTTTCGCGAGACAGTATCATCGAAGACTATGTACAAACACAAACTGAGCTAGCCCATATCCGTGCAGATATTCTTGAGGACATGGAGGAGGCAGGCCTTTCGGAAGAGTTCGCCGATGCGGATCCAAAGGTAAAACTTTATATATGCCAAAATCAACCTTATTGTGTTTGAGCAAAAAGTCTAATCTTACCATGTGGGCCTGATATAGAATATGAACATGTTGCTATCTTTTTTGGAATCAAATTATGGATCTATCAAGCAATATCTAAAGAGTATTGGATTTTCAGAAACTGAACAAGACGCTGTTCGAGAAAATCTTATTTTATTAGCCTAATCACCATCTTTATATACATATACACATACACATACACATACACATACACATACATATCATATACACATATCATATTAAACTCACTCATAAGCCTCTGCCCTTTATTTAATTATTTATTCAGCCTGTACCTATCATTCACTTAAACTAGAAGAGACTGTATCTCTAGGCTTTCATTGACTCTCTTTATTAAATCCTACTTATGCAAATTTATATGGTCTATTACAGGACGCGTACCTAATTATTGAAATTGTTATTAAAACAAAGAAAACAAAACTATTGTCTGGTATGTCGAATTTGGATTTTCAGTACAGATAGATAAATATATGTTGAAATTTATTGTCAGAATCTGGTCTATATTTGATCCACGAGGAGAACAAAGGCTTCTTAAACGTACAAAGATACAGTTTCATCTTCCAACTTAGTTTAATACTTTAGAGTGATTGGTGTAAAAATGATCTCTGTTGATTTATACTTCGTTTAAAGTGTTACAAGACAAGTATCAAATAAAGGAAAACACACGATGTTACCCTCTTTTGGCGGGTATAACTTGTTTTATATAAAATTTTATATATAATGAAAATTTCCATTCTCAAAAAAAAGCTTATAGAGTAGATTCAAAATATCTAAATAATAAAAACCAAGTTTTGTTCGAGAACGAATTCTAACATGGATACTCTTTAAGCTTGTAGACACCCAGAGACTATATGAAACAACAAGGGTTGGAATAATGCTTAAATACACGTGGCCGCATTTGGCAACACACTTTATAACATTACCTTAAGCATACATCCAGTTTTAGCAACAAGTCAGTCCTCAAGAGTATTAGTCTTTCGTAGCATGAGCATTCGTTTGTATATTAAGTCAACTTAGAAACAAGTAGTATTTTCTTTTCTTTTTTCTTAAAAGAAAGTAACACATTCAGATACATAAATAGTCCCAAAGAAGTGTGTTTGAGCAGAATTTAATACTTTATATAATATAAAAATAGACCTATATGATTATATATTTATTCCCTCCGTTTTTAAAGAAAAAGAAGAAGTTAAACCCTGTTGTTCACTTTCTCTTTATATTGTTTGAAGGCATAAAAGACAATTGAGCATTTCTGGTGGTGGTGGTTTTTTTTTTTAAAAAAAAAGTATCACAACGGAATAGGTATCAAATCAGGAAGTATGATTTCCAAAGTATATTCGGATATATATATAGGAGTTAACAGTATATTTTATCCGTAAAGATGTTATTTCGCTTTTATTTTTCTCGCTTACAAGAAACTACAATAAATTTGAGCTTCGGCTCCTTACAGACGGAAAAATCTCTACGCCTTGAATCACTCTGTTTTATCGAAATTTGTATTTTTAAACATCGTGCATGCAAGCCACAATGAAGTTATCTATAATTTTAGAGCAATCTTTAAAGAATTCTAATGCTATTTTTTCCATGAGGCTGTAAATACTAGATTGAACATAAGCATCAGAGTCAAGTCTTTTTGAATGAGAGAAATCTTTGACCAAGATTGAAAAAAAAAACTTTTGAACTCAAGTAGATCATTTATAACCCCAACAATCCACCTTACCAGCATCATTGCCAAATAAGCCAAGTCAAAATGAAATCAAGTTGTGTTTCTCATAATAGTATTCATGTTATCGTGCAGGAGCTATGAATGCAAGGCCGTTTTTAATGTGGTCCAAAAACGCATAAAGAAAACCATGTGCTATGATTTTCTTAATATAAAAGGATCATTTAAGACACCTGTGCTTTATGTATTTGTTGTTCGCAAGGATAATCCAAATCATACCTGCCGTGATGTGTCTAGCGACATCTACACACTCCCTCTTGCGAAGAAATATCGTAAAATCAGCACAAAAATTCTAACGGTCGTCAAAACCAGCTATTCAAATTAGAATTTTTATGCCGAGAGATGTGGATAGATATGACCAAATCTCTGAGAGAAAGGTTAATTAACAAATTAAGTATTAAAAAACAGATTTTGTAGTAGATCAACCAAAAAGAGAAGAAGAAAAAGTAAGCTGTTTTGGCAAAAATCGAATTACTTCTTCATCTGAATTAACGATAAATTTCCTGTCTTAAAATAAAATATCTTAAGGCAAACACCATATTATCCCTGCTCCTCTGTACTTGTATATTGTTTTATATCATCAATTTAGTAAGAACATATCTGCTCAACTTTATAAATTGGATTGGTGGAAATAAAGATATATGAGTAGCAAAGCTGAATATCCTCCTCTACAGTCGAGTTTTTTTCTTCCAAAAAGAGAGCCTTTTTACATATATATTAGTATTATTTTTAAGAGAGATTATCTTAAAAGGTTTTTTTTTCTTGGTGGCATTTTCAGTCACATAAAAGTTGATGAGGTTGATTCAATCAGAATTGTCATCTTGGCTGTCATTGATATTGTTGGTCATTGTAAACGATCTTTGTAAGGAAGTAAAAGAAAATTCAAAGTCTTGGTCTAAAAAAGAAAAAATAACGAGATGGATGGAATCTACACAAAATTAGATAAATTCTATAGATGTGTAGAATTTGACTTGAAAAATTAAGATCGCAAGTCTGTTTCCGTTTTTGGGTATGTAGAATGTTATATAGAAACTGCTGGAGGCCATTTTTTTTTTCGAAATTCTATACATTTACTTCCTAATTTGGTTGTGTAGAATTCGTGTGTAGAAACTGCTGGAGATGCTCTTATGTTTATTAGTATTGAGATTAGTATTCAATCGTGATAGTGACCTTTTGATAATACAAAAGATGATATTGCGTTTTATTTTTCTTTAACTATTCGGATGATCTATATTTTATTAGATTCAATTCGATTCCCTTTTACCCTTCCCGCCAAATCTCTTTATTGTTATTATTACGCTGAGCTAGCATGTATTCACCATTTTTTTTAGGCAAATGAAGTTAATAATTTTAGTGTGTAGAAGATTAAGAGTTTTATACAGTTTATGTGCGCATGCTTATTTGGTGGCAACAAGAACAATAAGGATACCTTAAAGAGTAACAGTTTTGACAAGTGTGGCCTGCATTCAAGTTTATTACCCCTTGCATTGAGAGCAGTCCCAGTAGTCCTCCCTGGTCTGTCCTTTTTTGTTTAATTTTCTCTTCATCTCTTTTCTTTCCTATTACCCTGTAATATATACACACACATATATATAGACTTGTATATATAAAGCAAAAGACATACAGTCATCAATAAATAAAATAAATAAATATTAGCTTGTATCCTATAATGGCGGCACCTGTACGAAGATCTGGACTACAGCAAGAAGTTATCAACTTTTACAGACAATGTTTCCGGGCTACTCTGCAAAAGCCAAAGGTGTGCTTTTTTGTTATATACAAAAAACAACAACAATAATGGGCATTTTTATGCTCTCCACAATCTAAAGAGAATATTTGCTGTTGTTGTTGTTGGTGATTCTGTAGGAAAATCGTGCTCGCTTTCAAGCATTTGTCCGAAATGAATTTCGGAATCACAAGATTCGCAAGTCTGATTTCACTACAATTGAATACATGCTGAGACGCGGAAAACGACAGTTGGAAGCATACAGCTCGCCTAGCATCAAAGACATTCATCTTTAAACAGAAAAAAAATAAACTCCAAAAGATAATATAGAACTGTGTTGTCAAATTGGGAAAACATAAGAAGAAAAGTATATACACACAAATACAATAATAATAATAGTAATAATAATAAAGAAACAGTAAAGTAGATTTAAAGCTCTGATGAGAAAATCTCAAACTCTCATCTAATCCATCTCTCCTCATTCTAATCGGTTTTTGTTGATTCAACTGTTGCAGGTGCATCTGTCTTTTTGGCTTGCTCCTGATCACGGTAGGCGATTGAGGTAGCTTCTGTGCAGAAGTAAAGCTCCTTGAGTTGCTGGACACACTTTTCAGGGTCGTCCTTGTTAGAAAACAGGCATTCATCGTAAGCCTTGATCTGAAGGACACAGTGGTGCTTGACAAACTTGAGAATACCAACACTTGAAAGTGATAAAGAAGAAAATAGAGAAATAGAGATCAAGTGTCTGTGCATTTCAACAAGTAAGAGATCTCAAACTTACTTTTCTTCAGAGCACTTTGTCAATGCTCGTTTTTGCTGAATACAGCTCTTATCCCATGATTGAGGATAGTTCTCGATACACTTTTGGTACATCTCGAGTTGGAGGGCACATTTTTCGCGAACCTGAAGAAGTGTGTCGTCCATTATGATTATGTGTAAAACAAGTTTCGAATACTCAAAGTCAATTGAATATTTTTTTGGCTGTATTAGACATGACAAGGGATGGTGACAGTCATAGATTTACTATATTTTTTTTTTATATTGTCCGTTAAACCAAATATAGACATAAAATATTTTACCACCTTTTTGTTTTTGAAATGTAAAACCGATGGTTGATTTTTAAGCAGACAGTTTCTTCCCCTTTTTATATATATTTATATTAAAAAAAGGGGGAGAAATGGTAGTGGCGAATAAAATAATAATAATTTAACCATGATCTCTCTAAAACTACCTAGCATTGTCTTTCGTACCGATGTTAAGGGCAAAGATGATGGAGAGTTCAAAAGGAAATCGTACCAGAGGTCGCAAGTGGTCTCTATCAATCATTGAAGAATTTCTGATATGAACCCAATAAAAATCGGCACATATGTAAGGCCTGGCTAATAAATTATTTAGCTTCTTATGTTCTAAATATTTGTTGTTATCTTTATAATTAGATTCATATATACAAATTATAGTTCAATCGATAAATTGAAACACCAGCAAGTCCAAAAGGTGCATCGAATACTTTGAATTTAATCTTGTAAAACACGCACACAAATCTATACACATACAAACAATATATACAAAAAAAAAGTATTTTGGCTTTGTTGGACTTGAAGAAGCCTCCGATTAACCGCCTTTTTCTTTTCTTTCTTTCAATGAGACCCACGGCTTAGAATTAGAAGCTCCCAGATCTTAATTAGTTGTCTGGGTACATACGTACAATCAATAGCCCCTTTATAACCAATCTTGATAACTTTGCCAACAATAATGAGCCACACATTCGTCTGTGTCCTTGATACTATATATTTTTATAAGCTAGTAGACTTATTGAGTGGCTTGAACCTTAAATATTGATAGACTTTATCGATTAATTCATATAAATAAAAGTAAAAAGATACGCGCCTTGGTTATTCAAACATACGATGCATCTAGAACCATTCTATAATGGGTATAATAGACCCACGCTAGATTGTAGGCGGAACTGGTAAGGTCAAAGGAGCTCTAAGTGCGGAAATTATGTAGATTATTATTATTATTATTATTATTATTATTATTATTATTATTATTAGTAGTAGTAGTAGTAGTAGTAGTAGTAGTAGTTAATTTCCAAGTCTATTTTATTTTTAATATAGTATATAAATTGAGCAATCGATTCAATCAATTGATTCTATATTTTGCAATAATAAACTATACTAAATATATCATTTTATTCCGCTGTTAAAAAGGTACGCCGTGTACAAGGTGTCTATCTAAGAAATATAAGCGTGTTGAGGTAGTCTGATTGGCTAATTTTAAACTATATATGCGATTTTAGATCAGAAACAACGAGTACCTCGGATCAACAACAATCAATCTGTGGCACAGTAACCAAGTTCTGTACCTTTTGTTTAATGGAATATAAAGAACTTTAGGATTATTTGAAATGGGACAAAGTTAACGACAAGAATTTCTGTAAAACATTTTCTTTATATATATATTTTATCTTTATTATTCTGTGTACAATTGTATTTATATATGACAGTCTATTTAATAATAACATCAAGTAAATATATTTGAAGAGTTTTTTCTTTTTTAGTATTAATTTCTCCATCTTATTCATCTATATTTCTGTCAGAAATTCATTCATAATAATTTGATTTTGTTTGAAAAAAAAAAGATAAGGAGAATTGAAAGGAGACAATAAGGACCTGTGATTTTTGGTTTTCTTTTGAGGAATCTTCCGTTGTGAAATGTGAATACAAACATTTTTTTATGCATATATTCTTTGTACCCTTTGTAGCTTTGCTTTTTACTTTATATTTATTGCAAAGCAAAATAGGCAATAGATACAAGTAATGCAGATACAGAGGCTTTAAGGGCTGACAATTGTGTTGCGGAAGATTCTACAGAAGGCGAAGCGGCAGGAGCAGTTGGGGCAGGGTTGGTTTTAATGGTTCCACCAAGAGCGTCTGAAACAGAAGCAGAAGCGGCGGCAGAAAGAGGAACAGAAGCAGAAGCAGAAACGGCAGCAGAAGAGACAGCAGCAGAAGATCCGGCATCGGGAATTGCTGCAATAGCTACAGAAGCACTTCCGGTAGAGTCTGTCTGGTATGTACCATAGCAGTAATGGTTGTAACTATCGACACAAAGTACCTGGCTACCACTGCACAGACAGCTTGCTGTTCCGTTGAATTCGCTGCTGCAACTAGTGGGAATTGTGGGACAGGAATTGCTGGTGAGAGTTTTGGATCCCCAGCAGAACTGGCCAGAGGTGTTCTCGCATACAGTCAAGACATCGTTGCATCGACAGGTGATGTTCTGATCGATGTTGGAACAGACAGTTGGTGCACCACAGTTTGCATTTGGGAGAGTTGCAAATGGCAGTTTGTCTTCACGTTTGAACAATCGATTGGCGTTGTTTGTTGATTCGAAACCCGATGCAGCGACAGAAATGATGGCAAGGGAAAAGGTAAGGACGGTGCGAATCAACATCTTTCAGCAATCAAACAGAAGAAGAAGAAGCAGAAGAAAAAGGAGTTTAAGAATTCAAAACCCACACACAGAAAATTATAAATTATTTATAAGGAAAAAGAAAAAAAAAATCTGTAATTTTTTTTTCTGGTAGAGTTTTAATCTATTTTTGATCATTTTACTGCCGCTTAATGATTTATAGCCCGACTTTCCTTGGCTCACCCTGATAAAGAAGTTCTTCTCGTGCCTTGCCGTACAAGAGTTAAAAAAGCCTTTGAGGGTACAATAACGGATAATGCTATATATATACATGTGATTGTACAGATCACAAAAGGATCATAAAGGCAAGTTTTCTTAATGATCTCAATATTTTCTCAAGTTGTCTTATTTTCTATTTTGTACAGCAGTAACTCAAATCAAATGAAGCAAATAAATAAATTTTTTAAATTTTCCTTTTTGTAACAGCTCCATTCATCCATCTCAATTTAGGTCTCCTCTTTCACTTTCTTTACACTCTTTCTTCCTCGTACTTTATGACTCACCTCAGGTAGGGTATCTTTACCTCTTTAACTAGCAGCACCCTGTCTTTTCATATCTCCAACCTAATTCCAATATTTGCTTTGTAGTGACTTCTCTTACCTGGGTAAAAGAAGAAGAAGAAATCTGAACAGCAACGGATTGTTCTTGTGGGAAATTAACCCTCTATTTCCTGTTTGAATATCATTTATTTTAGAGCGTTGTACCATTAGTGTATACATCTCAGTGTACTTTCTTTACTGTGTCTGGGGAAACGATAGATTCAGATGTCTCTCTCCCTCGAAAATCCTCTCTGGAGAATTACGAAGCGTGCTATCAGTAATATTGATACTAATGATGACCACGCAAACGGTGTGGGGTGAGCTCAATATCTATGTGATTATTATCATTCAATTTTCTAATACTTGTATTTTAGACGTGTTGTCTGCATGGATCAAGTACAAGGAAGGCTTCTTTCTCATGCCTAATGGCTCTATAATTTCCAAGCCATTCAGTCAATGGTCGCAATCGCACAGGGATCGTATTCCGGTAAGTGAAATAAGATCAATCGTCTATTTGTTCTCTCTAGACTTGTCCCACCTTTCTTTTTATTTTATTTTATTTTATTTTACTTTTTATTTCAGTTCTGTGTCACTAACAAATTCACAGGCCATGGATTATGTGGAGTGTGTTACATTCTCTTTTCACACCGGCGTCTTCTTCTTGATGCAATGTTTCTGGAATTATCTCTCCAACGCAGTCGCCAAAAAAAGTTTCATGAGTTCATTCGAATTCAAGTTTTATATTGTCTGGTAAAGAGCAGTTGCATAGAACTCTTATATTTGTTACTAAGAGCGGTGATATTCATGTGTGTTACTTAATTTTTTTTAATTTTTTTTTTTACTCCAATAATTTTTACTTCATCAGGGCTCTTTGCAGCATGGCCTTGTTCCCTATTTTGCAATGGGTGTACCGAGGAAATGAGCTTTACAGTGAGATTGTGCCTCAGTTGGCTTACGGCCTTCAAGGTAAATATATACATGTCCTTCATAAAGAATTCATAACAACAAACAGTCATCTAAAGTGTTGGCTTTTTATATATTAATGTACATTTTGTATTTTCCTTCTATAGTGATGCTCACTGCTCTGTTGGGTGTACGATCCCATATTCGTTTCACCAGAATGATTGGTCTGGCTACCAGAACAAATAATAATGTAGCCGTGATATCCAAGCTGAATTATTTCAGAGACATGAACTTTCTTCTTACAGTCACCCTCTTTAGCTATGGCATTTCATTTGTCATCATCTGCTCTGATGGTCTAACGGAGGGAAAAGTGATCAGTTTGAGCAAGTTTGCCTCGGACACCTTAATTGCCAATGCCAATATCTGTACAATTTTTATTTGGCTATTGTTCATTTCTATTTTCCATCCCCGTCGTCAGTTCAATACAAACAACTCGTCAAAGAATGGACAGGACTCGGAATACAGATTTACAGAGAATTCCAAACATGAAGAAGCGCTTCACGGCACCACCAGTCAGCGGTTCAGTGGACGCATCAATACATTCATGGCCAACAACACTGTCGACAAGAGCACCGAACTCGATCCCCAACAACTCAGTCCTCAGGTCAAGGGCGGATATATGCGTGCCATGGCACCTGTTGCTGTCGATTATCCTCACTCTCTTGCAGTCGATGACACTTTCAATCCTAGTTTTGCTCCCGGAAGACCTCTTTCACCCCCTGGAGCATTTGATGCTCCCTATGCTCAATCTGGTGGACGCAATGTGGTGATTGATGTGCCTTATTCTGACCAATCGATCAGTTTTGCCATGGTGGATCCTTCCAATGTAAAGCGTTATCCGGCCAAAGCAGGAGGAGGAAATGGAGCTACCTCTCCTGTTCTTTCATCGGCAGAGTATTCCAACCGATCATACACTCCAACCGAGATTCCCCTTCACGAGCTTGCCAGTCGATCGCAGCGTACAGCTTTAGGAGGAGGTAGCATCAGTGCCTCTGCTGGTCAACCATCTGTAGATGATTTCAAGCATACATACACACTAGACGAACGTGTCAATTATGAGAATCTGAGTAGATCAACTTCTCCTCAGACCGTCCGTACTCAGGGTGCGCATCCTATCCAGCGTCGGGATTTGGGAAGTCCTTTGACATCGCCCGTTAGTCCAACTTGGGAAAGGGATATCTACTCTTCCTCTCCTTTGCCAACCCCTCCTCAGACCCAAGATGGTGAACAGAGAGATCATGCTGTTAGAGATTGGCTTTGGCAATCACCTGAAAGACGCATCTAAAAAATCACTTACAATATTTATTTACCCACATTTTAATCTCTTATTCTCTCTGTTTCTCTTGCTTCCTTTTTATTGCTACCATTAATACTACTATATTACCATTATTTATTATTTTCTTAATCAGTTCGACTTGTTTTTTTTTATTATATTATATTATTTTTTTTTATTATTATTTTATTTAATATTAAATTTACGCTGTGTGTATTGTACTTCTTTAAATACATCTTTCTATATAGCTTCATATTACTTTCTCTTACAAAGAGAGAGAGAAAAAATGAATTAATATGAGATTGTAACAGTTCTTGGTCTGCTTTTTCCGTCATTTTTTTTAAATTAGGATACTAGGATAAAATATGTGGTCAAATATTCATTTAATCCAAATTGAATTCATTTGTGATCCGGGACCATGTTGTTGTAGCACAAATCGCCTTTAGTCATTTAGTGGGGGTGTCAAGCGCCTTGAGTTTAGCAAACACTTCTTTTATATAATGTTTAGACACATCAAGAGAAATAGTGAGGTGGTCAAGCACACTCGTAGAATGGTCCTTTTCAAAAATAAAATCATATAATGTGTATGTATAAGAAGAATTACTGTATTTTTTCATAATTCACAAATATTCGATAGAATTATTCACTATTAAACTTTGTACCTTTTGACTTACTTTACCTTGATCGCCAAATGTTGCAGAGTTTACCTTGAATGTCTCACAGACCAAATGGGCAAAATGTGATATTCTCACAAGTGTTTGGATTGTACTCCCTTAAAACACACATTTAATCCCTTGTTAATATTATTATTATCCATATTATCAGCCGTCTTCTTTCTGTCAAATGAAAGCAAACAAATTGTTTGAGCTCACACACATATATATGATATGTGCCATTTATTTAACCAAATATTTGAATAATTCATGTACATTTATATATATATATATATTCACCTATTGATATCGTTGTTGGGATTCTATTTGTTTCATTTCACATGTTACACCTTCTACACCTTCTTTTTATAGACTTTCTTTATGGAGAGAGATGTGATTTGATTTGATACAATATTGCTTGCTTCTGTGCCCATTATTTAACCACACATAAAGGTCTCCAATGAATATTACCATTTTACTCATTCGAGCGTATTGAATTGAAATTATTAAAAGAAAGCTTTGTTCCTTTGTCCTAGTACAAAGCTGGCGTCCCCTAAATTTGGCTGATCAGAATCAAAGCAAGTAGAGCAAAAAAGATAAAATACAAATTCAATACATATATATATTGTATTGGTTTCATATTTTCCTATTTTGGCTTATTATTCTCTTTAAAATCACAAGTTAATTAATAATAAATAAATAAATTAACTGAGAATTATAGGTTTTTTTTTTACCACACATTGAAGCTCTGAAAGCAAATTTACAAAAAGAAATATTCTTTTTTCATTAAAGAAAAGAAGACACCATTTATACTATCTCAAAGAGGAAGATAGAGAAAGAAATATATAAAGAAAAGAAGAAGAAGAAGTACTAAATACATTTTATGCATTTATCCCATACGCAAAACACCTGCTGCCATCAATTTACGGATGTTGGTAGCAATCTGAGGGTTCTTGAGGTGCTCCTGGGCTGCCTTGGGGTCCTGCTGCATTTGCTGGAGGATCTGTTGCATAATGGGATCGGACAAGATACGCTAAGAACAAAAAAAAAATGATGAGTTTAACAAATATTGATTCTTATATATATATATATATTCATTTTGGTTGATTGAATAACGAACCAAAATTTCTTTCTCTTTTATATATTTATTTTACAAACAAAATAATAATAATAATAATTTCTTACCTGGACTTCAGGATCCTGGGCAGCTCTCTTGAGAACCTCCTCCTGGGACTCATCACTATTTCCATAAGATGGGCTCATAGCCTGATAGGCCTTGGCCAACTGCTGCTGAATTTCACGGCTACATTTACCGTCCTTATCATGCAACTGTGCCTCCTTCAAAGTTTCTATCGCAGTATCATACTCCTTCTTGGCAAACTCAACTGAAGCCTTGCGAATATAACCACGGACTAATGGTAATAAAAAGTATTTATATAAAACAAGCAAAACAATAAATAAATTGATATTCATGCATTATATTTGATTTGTGTATACAATAGACATTTTTGTTTTAAAGTATCATATTGTAGTGTATAAAATTTATCAGACTTACCAAACTCGGGGTCCAATTCAATGCATTTATCAGCATCCTTCTGGGCTTCGTTAATGGCCAATAACTTGAGATAACAAGCCGCACGGTTGGAGTAAGGTCTGGCATCTTTCTCGTTACGCTTGATTGACTCTGTGTACTGTTCGATGGCTTCGGGCCACTTGCTCTGCTTGAAGAGAGCGTTACCAGCTTCTCTTGCCTTGTCTGCCAGCTCAGGGTTGTAGTAGGCAGCCTTCTCCTTCTCCTTCTTCAACTTCTCTGTGTCACGCAGTCTCTGGAGAGTATCGGGTGTGCGGTGCTCAGTAAGAGACTTGCCGTAGAATTTGATGGCTTCATCATAGTTATCCTGCTTGGCATAAGCATTACCAATACGCTGAAGAGCTCTTTTGTAATGATTGTTTTGCAAAGGAGATTGATGATGATGGGAATGAACAAGATTAGCAATCTGTCACAATAATAATATAGTATTCACGCTTAAATTTCTCTCTCTCTCTTTTCTTTTCTTTTTTTTTTTTGATTCTTATTATTATTTTACCTGGCAATCAATTTATAATCAGCTCTCAACTCGCGTCCACGGTCAACGGCTTCCTGGCACACTTTAATGCACTCTTCATACTTTTCTTGCTCAAAAAGTACAGCTAAAGGATAGAAAAGTTTAATAATGGTAAAATAGACTTGATCTTAAATACACAAACTCCTTATATTCTTTTAAATATATATATATATATATAATTGTGGTTCTTACCAGCCTTGTTGGTGAGGAAGGTGATGTTGGTGTTATCCAAAGCCCAAGCCTTGTCATAGTGACCTAATGCTTCTTCAAACTGGCGCTTCTTGTAGGCCTGGTTGCCGAGTTCCTTTTCAGCCAAGGCTTGGTTAACGGAAGTGTCTGCCATGATAATTTTTTTTTTACAATATTTAAAGAAGAAGAAAAAAGAATTAAATGGTAATAAAGCAAAAAAAAAAGGCTTTTTTGTAGTTTGCAGTTGATTTTAATGGTTTTACAATAACAACTTTCCAGAATACTCCATGATGTGACTACTTATTTTACCTTTTACTTTATTTTCACTTTAAAATGTCTAACAAGAGTTGTATTTGAATATTCTAAATAGCAACAAGAAGTTGCATGTTCCATCGAGCATCTTTGCTCAAAAGCCCAGTTTGGCGCGTATTGGCCGACATGTGTATGAATACGTGATATGGGAGAACCAAGCCGCGTCCTCATTTTCATGCGTTGTCTCGAATGTTCTAGAAACGCACTCAGGTCATGCCTTTGTCAGCCCTATATTAACTTACCCCCCCTTTTCATTTGAGGCACAATGGTACTCTGATGGTTGAGTATCCCTATCTCTTGGGTGTAGTTCATCTGAATAATTTTCCACTCTAAAAGCCCTCTACTAATTCTCTCTTTCTGTCTCTAGATACTTTCTTTTATCGAAAAAGCAAAACAAGAAACAAAACATGGAAGGTGTGTTTGATGGCGGTTCATACCGCACAAGATGTTTTTCTTGCGGCGGAAAGCTCCTCTGGCAAAGGAGGGAGGGATCTCTTTGACTGCTAAGTTGGTTCTTCCATTGCACCTTAGGCGCGGAATACGGTTGCACCAACAAACTTTATCTAATTACATATTTACAATATTGTTTGACTTTTTCACCTGTACTCATATTTATACAGCCTTTTCTTCATATCATACTTGTGTTAAACATGGCTTATACCAGTCTACGTTTATTTTATGGCAAATAATAATAAAAGTGATAATGGCTGTCAAATATATTGAAAATTCGATTTTATAACTAAAGCAAAAAGTAGAAGTAGTAAAAGGAGACACATTGAAAATGTGACCTTTAAATTATAAATACAGCTGTAGGAAATGGCAGCCTTTAAATCACCGACATGGCAATATTCTTTTAGGCCAATAGAGTTTTGGTATTTAGACATTAGTTTCACCTATTTAAGCAAGTGAGAGGTTTAGATTTATAGGTCCAAATTGATTTTTATTGAAATAAAAAAAAAGAATTATACTGCTTGAGCGTCCCTCCTCGCAATAGTATTGTAATTAGTTACATTGTCTCTTGCAAGTACCCTACGTGTCAGTTGCTAGGTTTCCTTAAGAACCCGGCGCATTTTTTTCTTACAGTGTATATAAACAGAGAGAAAAATTAGTGCTTAATTAAAATACTATTATAAAATACATTTTAAAGCTTAGAAAACTTGCAACTATTTCACTAAAACTGGCCTTTTTTTTTGTATATACAAAATAACCATAAAAATATTAGAATTGAAACAAAATGAAAAATGAGAATCATTACAAGTCTGAATAATTTAACAAAACGTTTCTTCCCTCCTTTAGTATCTTTATCTTTGACCACAGTGAAATAAACGAATGAGTAGATAAAAGCTGAAACAATTGAAAAAAATGTTGCTGCAAAATATATAGAGTTTATTATGCAAGTATCAAATCCAATTAATAATAATAGTAATCAAAAGGGATTTAAGGTGTCAGAAATCTGAGAAAGCTGTAAGCTCACATTGATTTATGCCTCCTCCTAAAAAAAGAAAAAAGAGAAAGTAAGTAATTCATTCAATCTGATTTTCTTTCTATCACACACTCCACCATAATATTATCTACTGTAGCCAACTACTCGTACCTTCTGGAAGACGTAAGTCAAGTGGCACTTTCCGCAGTACTGACGGTCAGTGTGCCAGGCCATGAAGACACCAGCACCGCAGGTGGCGCTGGGGCACTCACGACGGAGACGGGTGATCTTGCCAGACTGGTCAACCTTGTAGAACTTGAGGATGGCCATCTTAACCTTCTTTCTCTTGTGCTTGATCTTCTTAGGAGTAGTGTAGGTCTTCTTCTTTCTCTTCTTGGCACCACCCAACAATTCGCAGTTGAGGTGAAGAGTAGAGTTGTCCTGAACACCGTAGAGCTCGAGAGCCTGGGAATCCTGAAGGGACTTACCGGCGAAGGAAAGGCACTGGAAACCAGCATCGATACCTGAATATTATATATAGTACAAAAAGAAAAAAAAAGGTAAATTATGGAGTTTCCAAAGATGATAAGAAAAATCATATAGTGTATATTGTCGAGTGCTTTCTTTTTCTTTTATTTAGTTCGTGTTCGTTAATGTGCAGCTTGTTTTCTTCTTCTTCATCTTATTTATCTGACATTTCGATGTGTGATATACGTAGACTTTGGTTTCAATGATAATGATAATGGACGAGGTGGTGGCGATGGTGGCGTGGTTTTGTTTTCGGCGGGAAAAAAAGGACTAGAAAGGGTTCGTACCTTCACGAGCGGCAATCATGGCCTTGACACTCTCGACCGAGGTGGAGGAGGTGACATCGAGGGCGAGGGTGTTACCCGCAAGAGACTTGACGAAAAGCTGCATGGCAATGGAAAGAGAAAGAAAAAGCAAGCCGTTAACCCTGAGCGCCTTCTTATTGCGCCCACCAACGATGTATATCTCTTTAGAAAAGTTTTACAGTGGGCATAATGATTGGATGAACTGGCTGCAAGTCACATGGTTGGTGGCTTGTCTTTACTGTCCAAGTAATCTGTCAAGCCCTTTCAAAGGTACAAACCTTATAGAATAAATAAACAAGTAAATAAATAGAAGTATTTGATATTTGGTTATTGAATATATAAGAGAATACGCTCCAGCTTTAATTTTTTTTTCATTTACTCCTGTTCAAAACAGTATCAGATAATTGTCAACTTTAGTATTGACCATATATTCCTAAGTTAATTTTCCAGTGAATCCAGAGAACCTGTAGTCGTTACATTTTAATTCAAATACGATTAAATTTAGATTAGTTACATAGGTAATTGGATGTAGCCCAAAAACAGAGGGTCAAATTTTAGTTATATTAAAAAAAAAAAAAAAAAAAAAAAAAAACTATAGGTGAAATTGCTTTGTAAAATTGAGACAAAAAGATCTTTTTTTTTGTGCCTTTGTTGGTGGAGGCTAAATGAGTGTATTAAAATCAATGAGTACTTCAATTTCACCATGCTTAACAGCCTTATTATCATAACTGTCTTCATAAGGGCTGTCATAAAATCCCAAAAGAGAATTTCTTGCAGAGCTATAGTGAGTTATAGTGCATAATTATTTCTTTTAAAATAAAATAAAGTATTTGTTTCAATTTACAAGGTAATTTAATCTAGATTTTTCTCAAAACAAAAAAAAATGTCCTTTCATTTGCAATGCGGAAATGTCGTTCGAACTAGGATAACCATTAAATTTACTCCTTTCAATTACCCGGAGGAAATGCACTATAATCTGTTTAATAAAAGCTTGCAGCCGTCTACACTTTTTGTACATATGTAAGAAGGGTGGAGACTATAGTAAATTTTCAGAAGTCTTTTCAAGGGTTTAAGGGTTGTTTTAGGGTTTAAACTTGGTTAAATCTTATCTTTCCTCCATTTCTCTAATTATATATTACTTTTATAAATATTCATAACAGTATTTCTTTTTCCCTTCTGTCTTTCTTTCTTTCTTTCTTTCTGTCATTTTATTGACGGGGTTTATATTATTGGTTTGACGGGTGATCTCTCACTGCTTTGTTACGGGACTGCCCTTTCAGAAAGAAGGATCCATTTTGAGGGTGTGGGGTAGAGATTTTTATTGGCTGACATGGGAATGATGGCTTCCAATCATAGAATGGAGTTAAAACGCGATTATTTACTCTTAATGCATTTCGCGCGCGCGTGTGTGTATATGTGGATTTCAAGATGAATATTTATTTTTTCTTTGTAGCATTGTTGGATACCTTTTGTTCTATTCCGAGTTCTCAGTAATGGATGAAAAGTCACACACGCAAAGTCAAATCAGAGATTGTGGCTTATCTAGTATGCCCCTGGATTAATAAACACGCCCAAAGGGTACACCCCACTCTTTTTCTCTCCGTCTCCTTTTTTTTTGGCCTTCTTTTTCTTATATCTTAAACTTTCAATACGCAAAAATATGTTCCGCCCCACTCTTCTCTTCAACGTTGCCAAGGCTGCCTCCCTCTACAACACCGCTCCTCATGTTGCCTCCCGCTTCTACTCTGCCGGTGCTGGCCTCTCTAACGCTGATATCGAATCTCGCGTCCTGAACATTCTTCAGGGCTTTGACAAAGTTGACCAGTCCAAGGTATAGAATAATAATAAGCATAATCGTCATAGGTATATTCACAATCAGCTTCACACAAAAATGCTATTTATCTATGTGAATATTATGGGATCCAATATATATATATATATCTATATCTAATTATTATGATTTTGTGTGTGTGTGTGTGTATTTAATCTTATAGGTTGGCCTCGATGCTCACTTTGTTAAGGATCTCGGTTTGGACAGTTTGGATACCGTCGAGGTTGTTATGGCTATTGAGGAGGAATTCTCAGTTGAGATTCCTGATAAGGAGGCCGATGAGATCAAGACTGCCAAGCAGGCTATTGAGTATATTGCTCACCGTGCTGATGCTCACTAAGCAAAAAACAAAAAACAAAACAAAACAAACAATACATCATCCACTTCATTTATCCTAGACACACAAGCAATCGAATCTATCGCTCTTCTCGCTCTCTCTCTATTTAATTTAATTTATATACATATATATATATATATATATATAAACGTATATATGGACGTATGTGTCCATATCCATTCAGTTCATAATTCGATTTGTTCAGTTTCTTTCTACATCTTTGAGTTTTTCTTTCTTTCTTTTATTATTTTTATTATTAGTTGATGTATTTGGAAAAAAAGAACAAACAGATATATATATATATTCGAATTAGTGAGTTTTAAGGATGGTATGAATAGGAGCGAAAGAGATAAATAAAGGCATTTTTTTTATAAAAAAAAAAAAGGAAGAGGAAAACGTAGTAGTTGGTTTTATGCGGCACCGACGAGGATGTTGTTGATGGGAATGTGGATGAGCTGTATGATGGTGATGATGATGAGAAAACGCCATCTATTGCACGAATCCACCAGAATAAAATAAACTTACCTTGACAATATAACCCAACGCACCAAGAGCGGCAAATCCCATACCAACAGCCTGAGTGATCTTTAAGAATTCTATATGAGTAAGGACCAAAAGAAAGAGAAGTTTAATTGATTAATATACGCGCTTATAGTTGTTACTTTTGTTGATTATATTGTGCGCGTATTACCTTTCTGATCAGGCTTCTTGCAACGGTTGATGAATTGGATACCCTCCTTGGCAAACTGCTTTGGGGACTCGATAATGTCCTTGATTTGATCTTTTACGCTGTCGGTTCCAGAGGAGTTCATTTTAGTATACAAAGAGAGAAAGGAAGAAGAAGCAAAATGGTAAAACCTCAAGAATTAGAACAAAAGGTAATTTTGTAGGTCTGGGAGTTGTTGATTGGTCTGCGAACAAAGAAGCCAATCAGATACCACAACATTGTTAAGAGATTATTTCGGTGTTTGAATGTGTACTAAATACACACATTTTTTCTATCTATATATATATATATCTATCTTTTGTTTGTTGCATGTTTCTTTCTTATTTATGTATTTTCCTGTGTATAGAAACCACACTAAAATATATATACATATAAAATGTCTTGGTGACACAACAAGATACAGTCAGGCTTATGGAAATTGGCGTTTTCTAAAAAATAATTGGCCAAAAGTCAAATTATTTTTGGCACAAGTTGGTAACTAGAATTAGCCGAAGAATTGCATTTAATTGGCAGATGTTTTTGGCAGTTTTTTTTGTCCTTTTTGCTTCTTTATAAAAATATACACCTTTTGCCAAAATGATGTTGCGGAAAAAAAAGTTAAAGTGTCGCATTTTTAAAATAATGAGTGTTGTACGTTTTTAGAAAAGAGCGTCGCACAATTCAAGAAAAGAGTGTCAAGTTGCTCTTTAAACCTTTCTCTAATAATGTCATTCACCAGCGTACGAGGGAATTGAGCCACGTCATATACGATTCCGATTGTTATTCAGCATCTGTTTTTTAATTATTTACTAAAATACCCTGCCAATTTTTATTTTTTTGTTAATGATTTGTTTTATTTTGGCTATATAGAATGAGCTTTATAAAGTATGTTCGTTTAGTACATCCGTTTTTGTAACTAGAGTCCTTATTCTAGAAATTTTGTCAATTCCCTCGATGCAATTCCCTCGACAATTCCCCCGTACGCTGGTGAATGGCATAAATAATATTGTTATAGAATAATGCTGCTATGTATATATGAATATTGGGGTAAATATATCAATGTGAATAGATTTTAATGGTAAATTACTAATCAAACTTCATTTTGATCATAATTAGGCTCGAATCTTCTAAACTATTAAAGGTATAAATGCCCAAAATGAAAGTATGAGTAAAGTGTAGAAACCATCAAATATAAAGGTTTGTATTATTTTATGCTCATTCAATACCAATTGTATGCTATTTGAAATAAATTCTTTCAGAATGCAAATACTAATTTTTTTTCTTTCTTTCTTCTTTTTATTTATGTATAGGTTAAACGCCTTTCAGTTATTGTTATAGTTTTTCGGCTTGCTTTATACAAAGTGTCTTTTAATTAGTTAGAAATACTGCTACAAGTTGTAGAAGTACTTGTATGCATATTGTACCTCGTTAGTCCCGATATTTTCAATGTGAAAAATAAATAAAAATTAGCTTTTTTTTTAATAAATTTGAGTGTTTGTAACCTCCTAATAAGGATACTGATCCCTAGATATACATTAAAACCATTATAACAATAAAAAGCTATCTGCCAACGTTATTGGTTAAAATAAGACCTGAACCTCATTATTCTACACATCTGATTTGCTTAAATAGGTGAAACTGATTGCTATATACTGAAGCTCTATTGGCTCAGAAGAATGTTGCCAGGTGGCACTTTTTAACGATTTTTGCCAGGTCGGTAGTTTAATACCTGCCATTTCTTACAGTGTATAATGATTTGAAACATTCGATGCACACAAGAAGGAGATCGTCTGAAAATGGATGACGGCGATCTCAGTTGAAAAGGACATTAGGGACCTTGGACACATCATATAAAATTTATTTAGACGGAGATTGTGTTCTTAAAAAAGATTAGTGTGTTTCAAAATCGCGTTATTTTATATGATATAAAAACATGATATAAAATATTTTACATCATATAAAAAGATGACATAAAATATGTTGACCAATAATCTTTCGACATTTTATGTTGTTAAACTAACGATGACATAAAACTTGAAATAAAGAACGAATTATGTTTTCAAGTAAGCATATAAAGAAGTCCATATAGCGCCAGCATTAGTTTTTTTCCCCTTTATTTGCACAAGCATTCTACGTGTACAAATATTAATTAATATCTATTAGCTTTAATGTCTAAAAAATTAAACAGCTATTACAATTTGAGGGCAAAAAGTAACAAACTTTGGTTCGCACTAATTACATGATTTTAAGTTCGTGAGTTAAGTAAATTAACGGTCAATAAATGAAATATCTCACATTTTCATTATATATGGAAGCTTTGGATGTGAAACATGAGACCGTATAAAATTACATATATGGTTAAATGTTTCAAAAAAAAATTATATGATGTGTCCAAGGTCCCTATTGTCGCATGATGTGACGTGTACATACGTTGGTATTACATTTGTTTCAATTTCAAAATGTATTGTAGATAGAATCGAGAGATAAAGAATAATAGGGCTCGGTGTAGAACAAGCCAAGTAAATGCAAAATACAATGAAAACGGTAAATTTTGTCCCAAAATAAAAATTAATTTGTCCCTTTTCGTGCAGAGATTTTGTCCTATGGTGACCTAGCAGAACCATCACCATATAAGAGCATATAAGATTATGAAGATATCTATTGGAACAGTCTATAGATAATTGAAACTATATGTGTGTAATATATATACGCACACAGCATTTCCTTTTTATATCTTCCTATATATTTTATTTTTATTTTTTATTTTATAGATTTTTATTTTTCTGTGTCCGATATTGTTTCGATTGCCAAACAAATCAAATCGGCCCCTTATTTTTTTTCTTTCTTTCTTCTTTTTTGAATACACACTTCTTCCACCTCTTCTTTTCTTTGTATACTCTTTTTCCTTTGAACTCATTGCTAATAAAAACAAAAAACAAAAACAAACAAAAAGAACATGGCCAGCATTCTACAGTCACTCCTCGACTGGCTCCGTAGCCTCTTCTTCAAGGTTTTTATTATTTTACTCTCACTTTGCCTTTGTTCTCTATATACAATAAAAACCTTAAGCACACATAATACAAATAGTAAAACTTACCTTTTGTTTTTTCTTTCGTTTTACTTTACTCCTTTGGATGGCAGACTGAAATGGAGCTGACATTAGTCGGTCTTCAAAACAGTGGAAAAACCACTCTAGTGAACGTAATTGCAGTAAGTCAATCAGCCCAACCAACCAACCAACCAACCAACCAATCAATCAATCAATCAATTCAAAAAGAAAAACAAGAATAAATACAACACAATACAACCAATGTCGTACATCAATCTTTCTTTTGTCTTTTTTTTTTAAAAAAAAAACATTACTTGTTTAATTAGTCGGGTCAGTTTATTGAGGATTCCATTCCTACCGTGGGTTTCAACATGCGCAAAGTAACAAAAGGAAATGTAACAATGAAGCTCTGGGATATTGGAGGGCAACCTCGGTTCAGGAGCATGTGGGAAAGATATTGTAGAGGAGTCAACTCTATTGTGTAAGTGGCTGTGTGGTCTTGGCTGGTTTATGGATGTAGTATTGACCCTTTGTTTTTTATATATATAAAAAAGATTTGTGGTGGATGCGGCTGATCACGATAAACTCGAGATAGCACACAACGAACTTAAGAGTCTGTTGGAGAAACCCCAGCTTGCTAATATTCCTGTATTGGTCCTGGGCAACAAGAATGATCTTCCCGATGCCTTGACTGCTGAACAACTTATCGATGTCTTGTGAGTAAATCGGGCTGTTTCTTGTTTTCGATAGCCACTATGTATGTATGCCTGTGTGTATTTATCTAATTCTTCTATATTATTTTTAGACAACTCAAACTGATCACTAACAGAGAAGTATCCTGCTATTCGATCTCTGCCAAGAACCAAGTTAATATCGATTATACTCTTCAGTGGTTGATCAAGAAAGGAAAGGGTCAAAAGTAACTTTTGTGTATCAAAAAAATCCCGTGTTATTTATTCTATCTTATTCTCTCCTTCTTCCTTTTATTTTCTTGTCATCCCACTTGCATCCTATTGTGCGTATACCACCCCTTCCAAAAAAAAAAAGAACAAATTCTATTCTCACCTTATTTACACCCTTTTATTCTTTTATTCTTTTATTTTTTAATGTTTTTTTTTGTACCTGTATTAATGTGTTTTCTTTTTTTTTACTTGAGATTGAGACAAAGAAGGAATTTTTTAGACGAATTAGATTCAATTCTTAGATACTTTTTGAGACAAAGATGCTAAGCAAAATTCGTACTTTTTTTGCATTTTGGTGTCTTCAATCATGAAGAGAGATATCATTAGTTAATATGGCTTCCTAATGACCCTCGTTACACACTTTCATAACTCACTTTTTGGTAACATCAAATACATCTATTTTTTTCTTTTACTTTCAATTTTCATTACACACTTAAACCAGGCAATATTTTTAAAAAAAATCTATGAAATCATAAAGAAGATAAGAAATAGAAGCAGATCAAGAAACCCCCCCCCCCCCCCCGTGGGTGGTGTATAGTTTTACATATTTATGTGTAACTTAATGCATTCTATGTATTAGTGGAAGTCAGGTGCAAGGATTTCAACAAGCCTGGACATTATACAAAGAGAAAATTAGTCAATGCGAGCAACTTCACATCAACATCGGTATACGGCATATATAGATATATACACTCTTTTATATACATATATGCCTCAGAAGATTGAATAGCAATATCTAATACACACATATATATATATATATAATGATGTACCATGTTACATAAACAACTTGAAGTTACTATTTATGGAATCGGAGGTTTCAATTCAAAAAATGACCTCTCTAAAAATTTGTTAACAGTGTTTCTACTTGAGATTGAGACAAATTACGAAATGGTTTAGACGAATTAAAATGTAATTGTCTAAATATCTCAAAGAGACAAGCTAATCTAGGTACAGTAATTGGATTGTTGTGGTAATTGCTGCTGGTTTGCTCGCTTTTATCAGATCTTTGGAAAGTGGTTAGACTTTTGAATTTTGTATTTTTTATTTCTGCACAAGTATTCGGGTTCATTAAGAGCATCTTCAGCGGTTAGATTTCGAAAAACACTATATATAATGTGTATTGGGCACACCAAGAATTGAATACAGGTCAAAAAGAGATGCTCAGTTTGTGCTTATTCTATAAAAGAACATTCGAACTTTTTGACGAGCCAAATCCCCTTTCTTTATTGGTCTGTAAAGCCTGTAATACACTGTGGCAGCGAGGTGAATGCTGCAAAAAAAATAAGATGACATTTGCTTTGTGAACTTGGAGAGAAACCTATCGACCAGCCGCTTTCCAAAGATCTAATAAAAGCAAGCAAACAGGCAGCAATTACCACAACAGTCCGATCATTGTACCTAAGTTAGTTTGTCTCTTTGAGCCATTTAGACAAATAGATAAAATGTCTGACTAAATATCTATTTTGTCTGAAAACTAATTTCTCTATGTCTAAAATTACATTTTGATTCGTCTCAATCTCAAGTAGAAACACTGTATTATAAAAAAGTTGTACCCTATCTACAACGATTAACGGAGAGGGGAAATTGAAAGTTGGCTTTGGCTGTGAAAATAATAAGTGTATATAGCTGACAGTGTAAAAACTCAAAAATACCTTTATACCTTTAACCTTGATGAAAACTGAAATCTTGATCATTTGCCAGGACTCTATCAAAAAGGCTTAAAAAATATAGCTGTAAGTAATATAAAAATTCAAATAAATTTATATACCTGAGACCCTAGATGGATAATTGGATCTTGATCGTTGGTCTTTATTGTAGAAAGACTGCTAAAGTAAGATATATTTTAAATAAATATCCAAAGACACTTGTATACCGGTAACCCTGGATGAAGATCATAGCCTTTATTAGTTGTGTAGACTGTGAAAATGCTAAACATATACAACCGTCAATAAATAAATCCACAAAAAGACTTGTATACCTGTGACCTTAGATGGGCAGTAGGTCTGTGATTATTTTTCCTGGTTGTGGAAAGAAAACGAAAAAACTAGAAACCACAATCGGATGTAAGTTAATCCTAAAAAAGACATTCATACCTTTAACCCTGGATGAATGGCGGAGACTTGGTTGGAGGTCTTGCCTATCAAACCACTAGACAAATCTAACTGGTAAAAAGTAAGTTCTGAAAGAGGCTTGTATACCTGAGATCCTTGAAGATGGTGAGTCTTGATGCATGGCGTAAACTGTAAAAAGACTAGACAAATAAAAGCGACAGGTATTAACTGCTTAAAGAGTCATGTATACATATAGCCCAAAATGGGCAGTGGAATATTGATCGTTCGCCCTGGTGGTAAATAGACTAAAAAAAGAAAGCCAACAATAAGTATATGTTCAAAAAGAAATATATACCTGTGATCATGAATAAATACTCAAAACTTGATCGTTGGCTTAAAATATATAAAAAAAAAAGCTAGACAAAATAATAGTTGATAGCTAAATACTAAACGAGACATGTGTATCTCATACCCTGGATGTATGGTGAAACCTTAATCGTTGGTTTTGACTATGTCAAGATAACTAAAAACAACAACCAGTAAGTAGATGCTCAATATATATATATATACTGGAGAACTTGGACGGGCAACAGAGGCTTTATAGTTTGGCTTTGACTGTGTAAACACTAGAATAATCTAATTGATAGTAAGAAAATATTTAAAGAGCTTTGTATACCTGAGGATTTTTATGGAGAGTAAAACCTTGATCGCTGGTCTTTGCCGTAAAAAGTATGGGAATATACAGCTTAAAGTAACTAAAGGCTCAAAGAGACTTGTATGTCTATGACTGTAGGAAAATGTCGGAATATTAATCGTTGGTCTTTACTATGAAAACACTAGAAAAATACACCTAATAGTAAGCAAATTCTCGGAAATATATATATATACCTATGGTTGGAGATGTAGGTCAAAACCGTGACTGTTGACATGAGCTGTGAAGATTCTGGACATATAAAACAGGCTGTAAGTAAATGGTGTAATAAAGATGTATGCCTGTAGCCCTGGATGGAAATCGGACGCCTAATCGTTGGTATGAACTGTGAAATTACTAGAAAAATTAAAACTGATAGTAAGAACATATTCCAATAAAAAAACCTTGTATGTCTATAAGCCTTGATGGAGACTAGAGCCGTGAGGGCTAGCATAGAATGTAAAAAAGAAAAAGAAAAAAAAAAGATTAAATAGATAGAATCAGTAGTAAAGTAATATTTAAATACACTTATATATCTAAGACGTTGAATTAATAGCAGGATCTTGATCGTTGACCAGGACTCTAAAAACGCTTGATAAATGTCATTGGCTGTAAAAAAGTAATCTAAGAATCTTATATACCTTTACCCAATAATGTTGAGTGGAAACTTGATAATGACCAAAGACTTGATCAATGGACTTGAATGTGCAAACGCCAGAGAAATTCAGTCGATATTAAAAAAAATCAAAGATACATGGATATCTTCAACCCTTCCCGGAAAGCTGAAGCTTGATCGTTGGACTCGGATTTAAAATACTAATCAAATGTAATCGATAATAAATAAATGTTCAAAATAAACGGTGATACCTATGGCTCATGGTTGAGAGTAGGAAATTTACCCCTTGACCTATATATTAAAAGCAATAGGCAATAGCAGCCGGCAGTCCTAAAAGGGCAATTATACTTGAATGTCTGTGAACCTGGGTGGAGACTAAACTCTTGAACCTTGGTGTGGACTATGGTATGACTAGATAAATATGATGGATGACAGAAAGATATTCAAAGGAGGGTGTACGCCTGTTACCTCGACGAATAGCAGAAACTTGATCATCAGCGTTGACTGTAAAATTATTAGACAATTTCAACAAGCAATGATTAACTATTAAAAAAAAAGCATATATACCTTTTACCCTAGATGAGCAGCGGAATCTCAATTAGTAGCCTTGACTATGAAAAGACTAGACAAATATAGCAGACACCAAGCAAATGCTCAAAGAGGTATATATACCAGTAACCCTGCATGAACTATGGAATCTTGGGTGTTGGCCTCAATTGTGAAAAGACTACCGAACTAAAGCTGGTAATAGGTAAATACCAAAGATACTGGTATACCTAACATCCAAGAAGGAGAGTGGCATCTTGATTGTTGGCCTTTTCTGTGAGTAGACTAAAGAAACACAATTGGCAGTAAGTAAATACTAAAAAGTGGCAGTATATCAGTGATTTTTGACGGGGATTTGGACCTTGACTGTTGAATTGAACTGTAAAAAGACTGCTTCAAACAGCTATCAATATGTTAATGGGTAAAGAAAGCCACTTGTATCCCTGTAAATCTATGCGGAAATCGGGCTCTAGATCTTTGGTCTCGACTGTATAAAGTCTGAATAAAGCAACTAGTAGTAAGTAAATGCTTAAAAAGGCATGTATACCTTAACCCTATTTTTTGAAGTGCAACCTTGATTCTCGGCATGGACTGTCAAAGATTAAAAAGATTCAACCAGTGAAGAATAAATGCTAAAATGTGCGTGTGTACCTAGAACCTTGAATGGATAGAAAGAACATGATCATTTCGCCTTGACTATGTAAACGCTAGGAAAATCTAACTTTTAGTAAATTGCTTAAAGATTCTTGTATACCTGCGACCTTTGATGTAGAGCTGAGCATTGAACGCTTGCTACGGAGAAGAAAGGGTTAGAACAAAACAGCTGATAGTACCTAAAAAGTCAAAGAGACTTTTATACCTGTGAGCCCAAAAGAATATCAAAGCTTTGATCGTTGGCTTCGGCTGTAAAAACATTATGCAAATATATAGTAAGTAGATTTTTTGGCAGATTTGTATACCTGTCCCCCCCGGATAAACAACTCATATTAATTGTGGGCCTTTCCTGTAAAAAGACTAGAAAATATAATAGCTAGTAAGTAAAGGTTCACATAGTCATGTATACCTTTAATCCTTAATGGAGATTAAAAACCCGATTGCTGGCTTAAACTATAAAAAAGCTAGACAGAATAATAAGTGATACGTGAGTACTAAATGAGACCTGTATACCTCGGGCACTAGGTAGATAGTAAAACTTTGGTAATTCAGTTTGACTAAATAAAAATTACTCGAAACAACAAGCAGTAAGTAAACGATCAGGTATGTACATATACTTGTTACCCTAGAGGACAGTAAACCTGGATCGATTGGCCTTGGCTGTGTAAAATTAAAAAAATAATAATTAATTAATTAATAAATAGTAAAATAATACTTAAAAATATTTTTTAAACCTATGGCCTTAGATGGAGAGTAGATGCTTATTATTTAGCATAGACATTAATGAAATTAGAAAAATCAAACAAGCGTTATGCAAAGGCTAAAAGAGAATTGTATACCTGTAACCGTGGATGAAGAAGAAATCCTTGTTCTTCGACCTGGGCGGTGAAAACACTAGACAAAAAAAACAAGCGATAAGTAGAAACCCAAAGAAAAGTGTATACCTGTCATACTGGATGGAGATCGAATCCTTGATGGTTGCCCTTGACAGTAAAAACAATAGACGGATAAAAAAAGCCAATAATCAACGGCCCAACGAAAAATATATATCTGCAAGTATGGATGAATATCAAGTTCTAGTTCTTCGGCCTAAACCGTATAGGCACTAGACATATAAAACTAAAAGTTAGTAAAGACGCAAACATATTTGTATACCTGTCACTCTGGATAGGGCTCGGATTCGGAATCATTGGCATAGACAGTAAAGGCACTTGACAAAAAAAAAAGACACATTAAATAAAAGCACTTGTCAGATTTGTATACCTGTAAAACTTGATGGAAACCGGATCCTTGAGCGTTGAATTTGACTGTAAAGTCACGAGAAAAAATACAGTTTGCAGCAAGTCAAAAATCAAAGAGATGTGTAACACTATATCCCAATATGGAGACCGGGTTCTTGCTCGTTACCCTTGACTGCAAGGACACTAGAGAAACAAAAACAATTATAAGTAACGGCCCAATAACATTTTTATATCTGTAATTCTCGGCGGATACCAGATGATTGGTCGTTGGCCTTGACTTTAAGGACAGTAGAAAATTAAAACCGACAGTAAGTAAAATCCCAAAGAGAAGTGTATACCTGTAACACTGGACGGATATAGGATCCATGATGGCTGGCTTGGACTGTGAAGCCAGTAGAGAAATAAAGCCAACAGTAACTAAAGGCCGAACTAGATGTATATACCTGTCGTACTGGAAGGAAAACAAACTTTTCATTGTGTAGCCGGATCGTAAACACACTAGGCCAGTACGAAAGAAAGCATGTAAAGACAAAGAGAAAAGTGTGTACCCGTAACCTTGATTTGAAATCAGATCCTTGATATTTGAACTTTAAGGAAAAAAACACTAGAAATATATAAATGACAGTAAGTAAAAGCTCAAGAAGACTTGTTTACCTGTAGCCCAAATTTGAGTTTTGATCCTTGCTGTTTGGCCTGAAGAGTAAAAACAATAGTCATATATACTTCTAGGTTAGTAATGGCCAAGAACGACTTGTATACCTTCCATAATGGATGTATATTTGATCATCGTTCTTTGCCATCAAAAGAAAGTATAAATAAAGAGTATAGTTTGTTTTAAGTAAAGGTTTAAAGGAAACTTGGTTAGCTATAACAATTCATGAATATCGGATCATGATAATTGCCGTGGATCAGTAGACACTAGAAATATATAAAATCCAATGAGTAATTGCTCACCGAGTTTTTGTATACCTATAGCCACGGACTGAATCCGGATCCGTGAAGCATGATCTTGGTGGATTCAACACTAGAAATAAATAAAGCCGAGTGTGATTGCTCATCGATTTTTGTTATACCTATAACCATGGCGGGGAGATCGGAATCTTGATGCTTGACCTGGATAGCTGGAGACTAGAACTAGATTAAAATAATGAGTATATGCCCATAATGCTTTTTATACCTATACCCATGGCGGGGAGATCGGAATCTTGATGCTTGACCTGGATAGCTGGAGACTGGAGATATATTAAATCTAGTGAGTATTTGCCCATAATGTTTTTTTATACCTATACCCATGGCGGGAAGATCGGAATCTTGATGCTTGATCCGGATAGCTGGAGACTGGAGATATATTAAATCTAGTGAGTATATGCCCATAATGTTGTTTTATACCTATAACCATGGCGGGGAGATCGGAATATTGATGCTTGACCTGGATAGCTGGAGACTGGAGATATATTAAATCTAGTGAGTATATGCCCATAATGTTTTTTTATACCTATAACTATGGCGGGGAGATCAGAATCTTGATGCTTGACCTGGAAGACTGAACACAAGAAGTATATTACAGCTAGTGAGTATATGCCCATAATGTTGTTTTATACTTATGACCATGGACGGGCGATCTGAACCTTGAGGCTTGACATGGATGGCTGAATACTAGAAATATATTAAATCTGGTGAGTATATGGGCATAACGTTTTTTTATACCTATAACTATAGACGGGTGATCGGAACCTTGATGCTTGACATGAATGACTGAACACTAGAAATATATTAAAGCTAGTGAGTATATGCCCATAATGTTTTTTTATACCTATAACTATAGACGGGCTATCAGACCCTTGATGCTTGTCCTAGATGACTGAACACTAGACATATATTAAAACTAGTGAGTATATGCCCATAACGTTTTGTTATACCTATAACCTTGGCTGGGAGATCAGAACCTTAATGTTTGACCAGATGGTTGGAGACTAGAACTAAATCAAAACTAGTGAGTATATACCAATTTTTTTTATACCTATAACCATAGACGTGCGATCAGGTCCTTGACGCTTCATCCGGATGACTGAACACTAAAAATATATTAAAGCTAGAGAGTATATGCCCATATCGCTTTGTTATACCTATCACCATGGACGGGCGATCAAAACCTTGTTGCTAGACCTGGACGACTGAACACTAGAAATAGATAAAACTAGTGAGTCTATACCCACAACGTTTTGTTATACCTATACCTATGGCCGGGCGATCGGGTCCTTGACACTTGACCTGGATGGCTGAACACTAGTAATAGATAAAAGCTAGTGAGTAAATGCGCATAATGTATTGTTATACCTATAACCATAGCTGGGAGATCGAAACCGTGATGCTTGTCCTGGATAACTGGAGACTAGAGATAGATAAAAGCTAGTGTGTATATGTATATGTCCCTAATGGTTTTTTTTTACCTGTAACCATTGACGGGCGATCGGGTCCTTGCCGCTTCACATTGATGACCGGAGACTAGAAATAGATAAAAGCTAGTAAGTATTTGCCCATAATGTTTTTATACCTGTAACCATGGACGGGGGATCGGGTTCTTGACGCTTGACACGGATGGCTGGAGTTCACAAATAAATATAAAAACTAGTCAATATATGCCCATAATGTTTTTTATACCTTTAACCATGGGCGGGCAATCGGAACCTTGACACTTGACCTAAATGGCTGAACACTAGTAATAGATAAAAGCATGCGAGTAAATGCGCATAACGTTTTGTTATACCTGTAAATATGGTTGGGAGATCGGAACCTGGACGCTTGACATGGATGGCTAAACACTAGAAACATATTTAAAATAGTGAGTATATTGCCATAACGTTTTGTTATACCTATAACCATGGACGGGAGATCAGAATCCTGTTGATTGACCTGGATGACGGAACACTAAAAACATATTAAGACCAGTGAGTATATTTCCATAATGTTTTGTTATACCTATAACCTTGGCTGGAAGATCGGAACCTTGACGCCTGACATCGATGGCTGAACACTATAAATATATTATAACTAGTGAGTATATTCCCACAACGATTTGTTATACCTATACCCATTGCCGGGAAATCGGAACCTTGACACTTGACCTGGGTGGCTGAAAACTAGTAATAGATAAAAGCTAGCGAGTAAATGCGCATATGGTTTTGTTATACCTATAACCATAGCTGGGAGATCGGAACCTTGATGCTTTTCCTGGATGGATTGGATACTACAAATATACAAAAACAAGTGAGTAACTGCTCATCGAGTTTTGATATACCTGAAACGGTGGACCTTGACTTGAACCTTGAAGCTTGACCTGGATGGAATGGATACTACAAATATACAAACACAAGTGAGTAATTGTTCATCGAGTTTTGATATACCTGAAAACCGTGGACCTCGACCTGAACCCGTGGACCTTGACCTGAACCTTGAAGCTTGCCCTGGATGGAATAGATACTACAAATATACAAAAAAAAATGAGTAACTGCTCATCGAGTTTTGATATACCTGAAACTGTGGACCTTGACTTGAACCTTGAAGCTTGCCCTGGATGGAATGGATACTACAAATATACAAAAACAAGTGAGCAACTGCTCATCGAGTTTTGATATACCTGAAACCGTGGACCTTGACCTGAACCTTGAAGCTTGACCTGGACGGAATGGATACTACAAATATACAAAAACAAATGAGTAACTGCTCATCGAGTTTTGATATACCTGAAACCGTGGACCTTGACATGGGCCTTGAATCTTGACCTGGACGGAATGGATACTACAAATATACAAAAACAAGTGAGTAACTGCGCATCGAGTTTTGATATACCTGAAACCGTGGACTTTGACATAGGACTTGAAGCTTGACCTGGATGGAACAGATACTAGAAATATACAAAAACAAGTGAGTAACTGCGCATCGTGTTTTTATATACCTAATCCGTAGACTCTGATCGGATCCCTGATGCTTGACCTGGACGGAAGACACTAGAAGCATACAAAAGACAATGAGTATATGCTCATCGAGTCTTGGTGTACCTGTGGCCCTGGATGGAAACCTGTTCTTGATTGCTTGACTTTGCCTGAAAAGTCCCTACAGAAATATAAAAGACAGTGAATGATTAATCAACGAGCCTTTATATACCTGTAGGCCTGGATGGAGATCTTATTTTTATCGTTGACCTTGTTTGTCAAAAGACTAGACAAATATAATCTTCACAATGTGTGTCTTTGATGAATATCATATACTCCTTGAAATATAGTAAGTCCTGTCAGTTTATCTTTTGTTTCTGAGCGTGGATAGGCTTTGAGTGGATTGATGATCAAACCAGTGTTGGACCTCAGTATTTCATTTTTGCTGTGTACTGGTTTTGACATGTTGTCTTATATCTTGCTACTGACTGTTTTACATATGATAAAAGCCTGAGATTTGACTAGCAAAATGGATTTGTATTGGTCGTGATTCGTCTTTAACGTCTATGTTGATTAAAGCAGTTTGTGAGAGAGCAGTAAAGAAGTGTATAAAGTATTAATGGTATGTGGAAGAGAGTTGTTTTGACGCGTTCTGTTTGGATAGGTGTTTTTTTTTTATAAAACTCATGACGTCTCAATCATGAGTTACTGTTCTTTTTTATTATTCTTATTATGATAGTTTGATAATATATTATAAAATTCGGTTTTTTTCTTATTCCTTTTTCGGTTTTCTTTTATCTTTTAGCCTTGACAACATGTATATATTATTATTATTTTACTTCTTTATTTAATATCTATGCTTAAAATATGGGTTTTGGGTGTTAAAGAAGTATCACTTACATTCTGAAGGATGTGCTGTGCAGGCACTTGTTTTACTTTTTTTTCTTTTGCCTCTTTTCTTTTTAGTTCTTTTTATGTCACATAAGGTCCGTGCTGTCCGTGCAGCATCACATGTGTCATGGGGCTTAGAGGAGCATAGTAGCAATAGTGGTCCAGACTTTACTTTAGCATGAAAACATTTAAATGATGTCTTCCGATTGGTGGACTATATGCATGTCAAATTATTCAGTTGCTATGGACCCCCATCCCCTTTTTTATTCTACTTTCTGTTGTGATTCTGTTAACAAGGCTTATGCTTTTGAACAGCCACTTGTCGAGACACTATATATGCCTCTGTGTTCATTTTAGCTGTACTACTGATATACAAAGTATTAATCGGCTAGACGTTAAACTACAATAAAGAAGTGTAAAGTTGTGTTGATTATAAAGCTTTAATTAAAGTCTTGTGTATATTTATTTGTTTGTTTTCTTGTTTGTTTGTTTCACATGCTGTGACTTTATTAGTTTAAGAAGCACCCCCGAAAAAAATTGCTGCTTATATCTTTTCTTTTCTTTCGTGTGAAAGACTTCCATTTTTCTTCTAGCTTTTTCACCAGTGTCTTGAGTTAATAAACACAAAGTGTAGGAATACTTTCTTGAAATAAAAGTACTTTCAGTGCTTCAGTATGAAGGGATTGACAGCCTGACTATTGAAAGTCGTTGGTACCTCAAGTTAAAGCATCGTTCTTAGAGTAAAATAAAAGTAAAAAGAAGAACAGGGTCTAGGCTAGTGTTTGTCAATCGACCTTGGTTTGTACTACTTTATAAACCAATCATAATCCAACCGAGAAATTAATACAGCATAACCCAACTGCCTGAAACACTTTACATTTATATGTGTTCAAATATACACCATTCTATCGATAATTATAATTATTTATATAAGTTACATTATACACCATGAAAAAGTAGTGGTGCTTGCAATTGTGCTAGCCTGGTCACAGATAGATCAAGCTAGTAAAATGGCTATTACATATATATAAATCACCTTTTAAAGGCTCTGCTTATTTACTATTTTTTTCTGTTATTGCTCAGACTGACTGACGACACAATATGAAAGCAAAGAGACAATCTACTGATACTGAAAGTATAGGTTTTGTTTGGTTGGGAGCAAGACGCTATCGATTACTAATTATCGATTTATAGGATCTAGTGCTTTTGATATTTTGCGCTTGTATACCAAACTCAACTGGATGCACGAATAACCTAGAAATAATACTCTGTTGGATTAAAGGCTTTGATTTATAACTTTTGTTTTGTAATACAATATAATGCGCTACAGTACTGTATAGTATGATTCCACTTATTATTTTGAGGTTCATAGTCTAGCTTTGGTTCGCTTGAGACTATTTTAGTTTGAAGCACGGAGCCTTTGTATAAGTGAACCTTTTCTATGGTCGATTAAATATGAGTGTACTGGAAATGATATTTTTTAAGATTTCTACAAGCATATGCAAATGCACACCAATGGTAATCATAGCTTTTCAATTATAGAAAATTAAAAATCGAATCAAATAAGCAATGTTTTTTTTTTTGGCTTTAAGTAACCTGGTGAGACACATTGTGATCCACCTCTTCGAGGTTTATTATATTACAATTACTCGAATGTTGATCAAAATATCCGATTTTTTCACTCTCAAAAAGCATAGAACCCTGAAATTCGGGAAACTTGCACCACTTCAATAAGCTTTTTAAATGCCCAATAGCAAAAATACGAGTTGTTTCTAAAAGTACAATTTTTTTTTAGTTGAATACATAAACCAGACACTCCAAAAGGCATCAATTTGGAGTGTTCAAAAGTTAGAGATATTTTTTTTAAAGAAAAGAGAATATTATTTAGCATAAGAGACATTATAGAATAGCTATATATCTATATATGCTCTGCATAACAGAATATCAGCTTGTATAAACGTTTATATGAAGAAAGCCGTCCTATATTCTGACATTACAAGCATACGCTGGAAGCAAAGAGTGGAGTACAAATAGAGAGCTTTCTATCTGGATTTAAATACTGTATACCAAAAGTAGCAAAATTCTAATATCTGTGTTTAAATTATTCATCGACTTCGAATAGGGAGACGATGGTTGTGATGAGAGAGAAAAAACAACCATAATGACCTTGTTAACATACATTTTTACGAATAATTGGCCAATACAATATCTATATTAATATTTTCTTTATATATTATGTTTTGTTTCCAAGGGTTTACTGCTATTTAAGAAGATTTACGTTATATTTACTTGTATTTGAGCTTATTTTATTAAAATAAGCATATACAAAGAACAACCTACAGTCAAATCTCGGTATAGTGATATTCGATATAGTGATAATCGCGATATAGTGATAATTTTTTGGAAAATTTGGGCCCGTGCCTGCTTATTATCACTATTTTTCGATGTAGTGATAGTGATAAAATTTGAATCCACCAGTATCACTATATCGAGCTCTGAGTTTATTTTTGTACTATAAAAAAATAAATGTAGTATATATTTTATTTAGCATTTTAAAGCAAGCCCAGTTTCTTAGACAAAATACTATAAATCCTATTAGAAAACAGTAGTCACTCACAGCGGCATTAGAAATATCACTAAATAATGCGCGGAGTAAGAAAAAAACACGCTCGATATAGTGATAGTGATAAAATTTCTGTCCACCATCCATATCACTATATCGAGCTTTGACTGTAATATGTTTACCACTTCAATAATGCGCTTAAGAAAACATATACGTAAGATTCGCCATAAGTAAAAGTTTGCAGAGGTATAGAGAACATTTTAAATTATATAGCCAAATAACAGACACAGTTTAACACACGAGTTTACCCTTTTGATAATTGTATCCCAATCCTTTAGGACAGATACTCTGGACAAACAGTTGTGTAGAGGTCCGGGTACTCTTGTATTAGAGCAAGCTTATTTTTGGTAGTTTACTTTTTATATTCTTTCTTTGGCTTTAATGTTATACCATGCAACCTTCTCGCAGTTGACTACTTGTCTTTTTCATATGGAGAAGTGTAACTTTTGAAGATTAACTTCCTTTTACTAATTATGAGAGTGTTTTTGAGAGTGATGAAGATCATACTAGCTTATATAAGAGTAAAATAGGTGAAATGGAAGAAATTTAGCAAGAATGGGAAAGACAAATGCTCTTATTTACACTACACTCTTTGATGTGTTATGCTAATAATTGATATCATGTCAAATATAATGAGTTTTGCAAAGAACTAACTTATATTTATGGTTGCCGTTGTAGTACATATTAGCCAAGGGCCTCCTTCTATATTTTATGCTATGAAATTTGAAAAATATGAGGTGAATATGTCTTCAAGAATCCAGAGGATAAGGTTCAGCTTTAAAGGCTTAGATAGCCGTTAAATCTTCAGCGGATAGCTTTAAAGGGAAGTGAAACATTAGAGGTACAATGTTTTCACAAATTTGGGAATTCACTTAGCCTACGCCTACGCCGATGGTTTAACGGCTTAGATAGCAAACTGGCTAATTACACATTCCTCGAAGGTCGCTAATGTAAAATATAGTAATTAAAGTAATTTCAATCTAGTAAATTCAGTGTTCATATATCTCAAGTGAATGAAGTACAAGCAAACAGATGTTCTTAAACCTACCAAAGTTTAACCATCAGCTTCAATGTATAAATTAATATGAAAAACCAAATGTATTTTTTGATTTCATTTTTCAAATGTTATCTCTGCACCCTTTTTTTTCTGTTGTTGTGTACAATGTGGTACAGCGGGCCCTGGAGAAGCTGATGTAATCTTCCCAGGTTCCCCTCTTTTTATATATTTATACTTTTTTAAAATAATAATAATAATAATTATAGAGCCCGGTTCCCCGCTTCAATTGCTATAAAATATCCCGTTCGATCACGATTCCCCTTTCTTTCCTACTCTAATTACTTTAATATAATGTCACTTCGTTGGGGTATTCTCGGCACCGGAAATATTGCCACCACATTTGCCAATGGTCTCAAGCAATCCCCTCTCAATTCTCTCGTGGCAATTGGCAGTAGATCCGATGCCTCGGCCCAAGCTTTCGGGCAAGCCTTTGGAGTTACCAAAGCCGCTTGTTACGGTACCTACGATGCCTTACTCGCTGACCCCAATGTTGACATTGTTTACATCGCCACACCCCACCCTCAACACTGTGAGTTGGCTATAAAAACCGCAAAGGCCAAGAAGCACATGCTGGTTGAAAAGCCAATGGCCATGAACGAACGTGAAGTTCAATTGATTCTCGATGCAGCCAAAGAAAACGACGTGTTTTTGATGGAAGCTTATATGTACCGTTGTCATCCCCAAACTCAAAAGGCAGCTGAAATGATTAAGCAAGGTGTAGTTGGTGAAGTTAAGCTGGTTAAGGCTAGTTTCTCCTTTGAAGGTTATTCCCTCGGCCCTTCATCTCGACTTTGGCGCAATGAACTCGGTGGTGGAGCCCTTATGGACATTGGTGGCTGTGAGTACAGACAAAGGTTTTCTCTCTCTTCTTCTTCTCTCTCTAAAGCTTATGAGTATTATTCTGTTGTAGATCCTCTTTCCTGGGCACGTTTAATTGCTGGTGCTGCTCAAGGTTCTTCTCCTCTTCACCCCACAATTCTCAAAGGCGTTGGAAATGTTCAGAAAGATACTCAAGTTGATGAATGGGCCATGGCTTCGCTTGGATTCGAAAACAAAATTGGCGCTCAGCTGTTTGTGGGTGTGTTTGCTGATGCTGACTGTAGCGTGGAAGTAGTGGGTACCAAGGGTACATTGCGTGTACCCAACCTGTGGCGTCCTGATCTTGCTGTATTGGGTCCTACTCAAATTGAGGTGTCCGAACACGGAAAGGCTGCTGCGATAACACCTATTGTTCTTGAACAGACAAATCTTTTCACCTTTGAAGCAGAAGCTGTAGCAAAAGCTGTACTTTCTGGCAAAAAAGAGTGCGATTTTATGACTTGGGAAGATTCCCTGAGTCAAGTACGTTCTATGGATCAGTGGCGCAAAGAAATTGGCCTAGTTTATTCGGCTGATAAGCAGTGAGCTGATAATTAGCTATAGCTATATTTATAGATCTATTAATCTGTAATTTTGTTTTATATGATTATTGATATATAGATACATACATACATGTATGCATATATATATATATGTGTGTGTGTGTGTGTTTATATATATGTATATGTTTATAAACGTGTCTTGCTATGTTTTTTTCACTTATCTTTGTGAGAGAGTGAGTGTGAGTGTGAGTGTGAGTGTGTGGGCGTGTGGGTGAGTGTATAAATAGGTGTGTATGTAGTCGTCCTTTTTGGTTTGTTTATTTCTAAGAGTCTATTTATACTAGAAGAGTTCTTTTATTCTCTCTTGCCAAATTCCTCGCTTTGGTTTAAAACATCAATACATAGAGAAGAAAGATAAAATAAAAATATAAGTAAACAATAATGTCAGTATTAAGTTTTTAAATAACTTCTTACTTGTATTCACGCCAGATGACAGGTGCAGATGTACATGGAATCAAACCAACTTCAGTAACAACAAGTGTGATGTACTTTGATGGTGTAACATCATACAAGAGGTTGAGTAATCTTAAGTTGGGTTGTTCTCGCCATGAGGTAAGGACAGAGACGTCTGATGTGGGCTGGTCAAGGTGGTTTGCATTGTAAGTAGGCTTAGTGTTAACAAGAGCATCAGGGTTGCCGATCTCATTCATGACAAACGAATCGACCTGTGTGCGATTGACAAACTTGTAGGTCTCACAGCAGATCATAACTGGTATTTGCTTATCACTAGCAGCCATTGCAACCATTGCACTACCAATACGCGAATAAACTGCACCATTGTTCAACAAGGCATGCGCACCCATCAGCACTTTTGTAACTGATCTTAGGGCCACATACACACTCGACAATAAGTGGTACGAACAATCGATCCCTGCCGCTACCAAGCGACGAATCAAATGTTTACCCTCAAAGAGGGGTCGACTATCCACTACAATCACCTTAAACTCAATTCCTTTTTTCTTTGCTTCAAGTAACAGGCTTTCTACTACGGAAGATTTTCCATAGGTCAAGATCACTTCACCGTCTTGGATCTTTTGCAAACCATATTGCACAATCAGACGATCTGCCATTGTGATTCTCTCTCTGATAAAATGCTCAATACGATCCATAAGTCGATGGCGTGCCTAATTGGTTGGTAATATTTGTTCAATTTTCAAGGCATCTTAATGAAAACCAAATGATGTTCATGATTACTTACATCGTCATCGGAAAGAGGCGGATCTTCTTCAACAATATCTGACATCTCTTTCTTCAACCATCGGATACATTCACGCATACTGAGAGACATGGGTCGTGTGCTTAAGAGGTAGGCAATCTGAGGGTCCAAGTGTTTCTGAATGTGACGAGAGAAAGTTGCATCTGATGGAGGTTTGTGTTCCTCAATAACCTGGATAAAAGATCTTATTAGTTAATAATATAATTTACACAAACACACGCACTCTACAGAGACATACAGTAATTGCTCAAGAGTAAATAAAACACTTGCCTTTGAAAATGTTTCCAACATGGCTACACAGCGCGCGTTTGAGCCAACAATCTTAAACTCAGAGAAATACAATCCTAGAGTCAAAACAGCAGGATGAAGATCGAGAGTGCTGCTATCAGGACGTTTCGGAGTGTCGAGGTGGAGTAACCAGGGAACATCGTTTTCTTGGATCTTCTGAGTCTTTTGGGTCTTTTTGGCCTTATCGTCTTGATTTACTGTAGCAGCAACCACAGGCTTCTTGGGTTCAATTTCGGCTGCCTTTTTAGCAGATTTTGGTAAACCAGCATTGAGTCGCTGCTGTTTTTCCATACGCTGTTGTTCCTGCATCAATCGACGTTCAGCCTTGGTCATGTCCTTTTGGGACTTTCTCGGTGCTTCGGGTGTATCCTTGGGTTTCTTGGGGATATCTTTGGTTTTGTTGGCATCTTCTTTGGATTCTTCAAATTGTTTGCGTACAGGAACGCGATGTTCTTCGGAAAGCATCCATTGGTTTTCATACGATGAGTTCATCGGTTGGCCAATGTTTGGCGATCCTGAAGCCACCTTTTGGGTGACTTTGTTAGGAATTGGAAGTGGCTATATTATATTATATTATATATATACATAGTAAAGGTCAATTAAAGCTGACAAGCTAAAAAATCTAAGAGACTCTTTTTTTGGCATTAAAACTAAGTAGATGTCTAAGACAAAATACACTCAATTTTCATTACGTTGGATCGAATTGTTGTTTGTTCCATGGCTGGTGAGTTGCTTTCTCCCTTTTTGTCTGTTTGTAATAACGTGTATATATATATCTAGCTTATACACAAGAAGAAAGAAGAGAAGAGAAGAAAAATAGACTATTACAACGTCGGGATTGAGTGACCAAAAAAAAAGAGGGCAAAATGGTGTATTGTGACTTTGATTCCAGCACATTTTTTGGTGCGCAAGGGTTGGGGGGAACAAAGCGTTCAAGGTGGCTTTGGTCAACAACACTTTGGCAGCACTTTTTACCTAATGTCCATCATCGCACGGCCCTTTGCCCTCACTCGCCAGTGGGCCCAGATCCAGACGGTACGCTTTGGCTCGTTGTCGATTGGTTCATCCGGAGAGAATGTAACACGCTCGACATTTGAAGTACCAGTGTGGCTGGAACCCTTTTTGTGGGCAGCACCAAAGAAGAAGACATCCCACTCAAAGAAACGCATGAGAGCATCCAATAAAGGTCTGCCTACAAAGGAGAATGTGGTCGGCTGTCCTGGTTGCGGAAACAGCAAACTTCTTCACCATCTCTGCAAGCACTGTTACGGCGATATCAAGCAAAAGACCAAGGACAGTCTTGCCCAGGCATAAAAAAATACACAAATTTATACATAAAAACATGCAAACACACATACAAGAAAAGCAACTAGAATTGGAATGATATATGTATATAAATGTGTGTGTGTGTGTGTAATTTTCTTTTTATATATTGCGTATGTTCTATGCTTGGATATGGACTGATAAGTTAGAGAAAATAAGAGTGGATCAAAAAGCTGACAATGCAAGCCAAAATTGAACAAAAAGACATATGTGGAGATCATTGCTATAGATCAAAGGCAACCATCTGGTCTGTGTGCGTGATATGTGTAGATTATGGCAGATGACAGTGCTGAGGTTTCTTTAGACATCGGGAGAAACTTAGGTGTGAGCCTATCATTTGGAACATGCATCCAATATAAAGTCAAATGCCGAGACAGGTGATCCCGTGCCATCTTTGTTGTAGATAATGACATTAAAGTGGTGAAGTATATAATGAAAAGTAGTATTGTTCGATTGAGATGAAGGCCGATATGCTTAGTTCAGAATATTTAATATTGTTATTATTTTTGGTTCAAGAGAACCAAGTTCCTTAATTTACTTTATTTTAACGGTAAATTACTTTGATGTAATAGCCAGACAAGATTTCAATCAAACAATAAGCGAAAGAAGATGAAGAAGAGGAAGTTAATTATAACAACAACAATAATAGTAATCCAAAAAGAGAGAGAGAGAGAGATATTGTAATGGGACTGTGTTCTACTTCTAGATAAGAAGAAAGGGGGAAGGATGTGAAGGGAGAGGGGGTAAAGACACGGCAGAATATTCTTAACCTTTTCTACTTTCTTCTTCTTCTTAAAATGACCCCTTCGATGCCTATTAACAACAATTACAAAGCAAGTGTTTACCAAGATGGATTCCTTTAACTGGATCTATTCAACTAAACCTATCAAGTACAGTCATTTAGTGCCATGCCACCAACACCTTCCTCTTCCTCGTTGAGTATTTCCAGTCCAAGAGGTATATTGCCAAACAGTAAAAGTAAAGCTTGATCCTAGTAAAACTCACAGCACAGATAAATAAATGAATTATAGCTGTGACACCTTCAAACAAGACACACATCCAGACCTATGGCTCTGTACTGTCTACCCCACCATATCTTGGTAAGTAATAAGTACTTAATTATATACTAGAGTCCAATATAACCCCATCCCACCCCTGCATACTACAGCACATTACAGTGCAGAAATGTATAGTGAATAATCGTGATGAGGTATCTAGGACTTATTACTGACTTTAATATAATTGTAGATACCGAACATGTCTATGGTGCTCATGAAAGCCATTTAAATCTCGAGCATGCTTCTAGCTATACTACAACAGTAGGGCAAGATAATAATGACGAAGGTCTATATTTAATGTGGACTCATGAGCTCCTTCGTGAACGAGGATTTACACCCATATCGTGCCGTTCCGAAGTGGACGAAGACGAAGAAGATAGTAATGATGCTGGTCAGGACAGCGATTGCCAAAGCACCGACAGTAGCGTAGATAATTCACCTGAGTCTTATCGCCCTCAGTTCTTGTTTTCTCCTGCCCCTTCCTTCCTTGCTGAATCATCTAGTAGTCAGCATTATCCCCAAAATGAATATACTTACCGGGCAGCTATTCGGGGTAGTCAAGAGGAGGACACAGACCCTGTTTTTTCTCTGGCTCGACTATTTTCCTTATCTTCATTTTGCTGTTTTCGTTAAAGAGCTTTAGCTTTCAATAACATATATTAAAATACATATAAACACAAACTTAAATAAATTCAACCAGCCTGGATCTCCGAACCGACGGACCTCCACAAACATTTAAATGATGAAATAAAGAAACACCAATGAGTGTATCAATGGCTTGGTTTAAAACCCCTTCTTTATTTTACTTTGGAATCATGACAAATTTAGACAAAACTTCCCTTTATTTATCAATTATGATCTGCTGACTTGGAGTCACAACCATTAACTCCACCTCAACAAGTGACATCTATAAAGGATCGCGCTCAAAACTCCAAATTTCAAAAAATACTTCTTTTTTTTTCTCTTATCTATCTATCTATTTATCAATCCATAATCTATATATTTCACTATGGGATCCCAGCCTTCCAAGGAACAGCAGAACGAGTACGATGAGAAGCGCGCCTCAGCATCTACCGAATCTCCCTCTCCCTCTTCTTCATCGCTGGCCGATAAGATGGCCAACCTGAACCTTGGCTCTTCCACCCTGGGATCCGAAAGCCTGACAAGCCGCAGTCTTGAGAAATATTCCAACCACTTTTGGAGCGATCGCAAGAACCAGTTTGCTCTCAATGCAGTGGTCAACAACGACTATCGAGATGTCATCTATAACCACCGTGCCGTCCTTAAGGACAATCATGTATTCAATGTAAAAGTTCCAGCCGAGGCTCAGATTACAAACCAAAAGTCATCAGGCAGATGCTGGCTGTTTGCTGGTAAGATCAATTGTTATCTTTCTCTATATCTTTTGTACTAACCAACATATTGCATAATTCAGGTACCAATGTTATGCGTTTGGCTGTTATCAAAAAGTACAAACTCAATGATGACTTTGAGCTCTCCCAAAACTTCTTGTTCTTCTATGGTAATATATCTTGTCTTTTTTTTATAAAAAAAAAATGTATAGGATTCTTGACTAACGTTACGCGTCCTTAGATAAACTTGAAAAGGCTAATTGGTTCTTGGAGCAAATGATTGAGTTGGCTGAGACTGACATTGACGATCGCGTTGTCCAGTACCTTCTCCAGACCCCTATCAATGATGGTGGTCAGTGGGATATGTTGGTCAATATTGTCCAAAAGTACGGTGTTGTCCCCAAATCAGTTTACCCAGAAACCTTTGCCTCTTCCGAGTCCGCTCGTCTGAACTGGCTTGTCAAGGTCAAGCTGAGAGAATATGCAGTCCAGATTCGCGAGGCTCTTCAAACTGGTGTGTCTGCCAGTATCATCAGAGTAATCAAGGAAGAAATGATGCAGGACATCTACCGTATCCTTGTTATCTTCCTTGGTGAACCGCCAGCTAAGTTTGATTGGGAGATTAATGATAAGGAAGGCAAGGTTCTGTCCCTGTCGGGTTTGACACCAAAGTCCTACTTCAAGGAGGTCGTTTCCTATCCCGTAAGTCAATTTTACCCCTTAACCATATATCCCACAGTCAACTTAAAACCCTCTCGTTTTATTTTATTAGATTGGTGAGACTATGTCATTGATCAATGACCCTCGAAATACCTACGCTCGTCTGTATACCGTTGCACGTCTTGGTAATGTGGTCGGTGGTCAGCCGATTAGATACGTCAACACCACCATTAGAAACATGAAACGTCTTGCTGCAGAAGTTCTCAAGTCAGGCAAGCCTGTCTGGTTCGGTTGTGACGTTGGTAAGCTATATGCAACATATGCATGTAATATAAATTTTATTAAAATTTCCCTTTAGGCCAATTCAGTAGCTCCAAATATGCTACCATGGATGACAAGATCTTCGATTATAGCACTGCTTTCAACGTCTCGTTTGGCATGACCAAGGAGCAGCGTTTGCTTTATGGTGAAAGTATGATGACTCATGCAATGGTATTCACCGGCGTTCACTTTGACAAAGATGGCCAGCCCATTCGTTGGAGAGTAGAAAATTCATGGTAAGTTATGACGAACATGATCCAAAAAATAAATAAATAACGGATTGTAACACTTGTTTCTAAAGGGGGCCTGCTACGGGTGACAAGGGTTACTGGATCATGACCGACACATGGTTCTCCGAATTTGTTTATCAGGTAAAACAGGATAAACCATCGTTTGGTTTTGTAACACCCTAGCTTATTAAACATTCAATTTCATTATTAGCTTGTGTTGGAGAAGAGCGCCGTCTCCAAGGATCTTGTCGCCATTCTTGACACTGAGCCATCAGTTCTGCCCGCTTACGATCCCATGGGAGCTTTGGCTTAAATATTATAATCTTTATTTAATCCATTTAATCTTCCAATATAAATAAATAAACCCTTCATATATGTTATTATATAAATGTTTTTTTTTTAAAGAAAATGATTTGAAATCCAAGTATAATATATTTCAATAAAGTATAAAATATAAAATATGTATACATACATATATGTATTTCTTCTTTATTGTTGTCATGAGTCAACATAACATTCATTTCTATTAACAATATTTTTGAACAAGGCAATATCAACGGCCACGACTGCGGCTACGGCTATCGCTACTGCTGCGACTAGGGGATCTATATTGTCGTCTTCGTACAGGGCTACGGCTGCGACTTGAGCTTCTTTCACGAGCTCGAGCACGACTACGGCCAGTGCTTGCGTTACTGCTTTTGCTTCTACTTCTACTTCTACTTCTACTTCTACTTCTGCTTCTGCTTCCGTTTCTGCCTCTGCCTCTGTCTCTGTCTCTGTCTCTGTTTCTGTCGCCGATTCTGCTTCTGCTTCTGTTTCTGTTTCTGTCGCTGCTTCTGCTTCTGCTTCTGCTTCTGCGTCTGCTCCCACTTCTACTTCTACTTCTAATTTTGCTTCCATTTCGGCCTCGGCTTCTGCTCCGGCTCCGGCTTACGCTTGTGCTGCTGCTTGTGCTGCTGCTTGTGCTTGTGCTTCGACTCCTTCTACGTTCTGGGCCGCGACTACGTCCACGATCTTCTTTATCTTCAAGATCCTCTTCCAATGCACTCACACGAACATCTAGCTCATCATTTTCCTCCAGAATATGACGTGCAACCAGACGTGGCAGAATCACATCACATACACGCTCTTCCCTTAATAGCTGGTCCACAAAAACATCCATATGTGAGAGTATAAATCCATCTATGTAAAAGCATTAGTATTTCTCGTTTTCTGTTTTTTTTCTCGGCTAGATTCATATATTGCACAAATATGACCAAATTACCTCCTTGGCGAACTCGTAATTTTCTATAGTCATTCAACAATGGCTCCAAATACTGATAGATCTCCTTGGACCGGCCAACCAGTCTCAAATAAAAGACGCCCAGCGCACGCAGATACCTATTTGCTAACATAAGTTTCAAATGAAACACTCTTATAATAATCATATATATATATCTTACTTAAAGTCTTCTTGCTTAATTAATTCAATGACAATATCCTTTTCTGGTTGGAGCTGAAGCATCTTGAGTACCAAGCAAAGGAACTCTGTGGGTTGTTGATTGCCATATTGTCCACCGACAGCTGATAGTTCAACAGCCTTGTCCATCAACGTTGCAGCTTTAGAATTTTTGTGTTATTAGATATTATTATTATTTTGGATTTGATGAAGTTTATCTTTATGCGTTTTACCAGACAAGCCGAAGCAATGTTCTTTCCAGTAGAGTGAATCGTAGATGCGTTCACGAATAATCTTTTCAATGAGGTGTTGGGGATCCCGTCCGTGGACAGCCACGGCATCGCTCATTGTACGGTTCGCTGTAATTGTTAAAATAAGCCATGATGAATGTATTGAGATAGTAGATCCTTACACATTATGAGATGAGTTTATTATTCTGAACAAGTCTGAAAAATATAGATTTTTTTTCCAAGAAAAAGCGCAAACAAGTTCATCGTGTTCATGTATTAAAACACCGACAAAGGAGGCTACAGAGCGTAAGATATATAATGTGTGTGTATGTGTAAATATATAAATAAATATATATATATATGCATGTATTGATTGATTGATTGATTGATTGGATGAAACAGATGAGAAAATGAGAATTGTATGTAGGGTGTATAAAGATATTTAAATGATGCATTTGTACGTATGAGTGGTATGAAAGTTAGTGAATGATTGAGTGAATCAGAGGGAAACATTTTTTCCTCTCTCTCTCTCTCTCTTTTTGGGTTTATGATGTATTATAAAGGTGAATCGGGCTCATCTTGGTCAAAGAGGTTTTTCTCGAGAGGTTGTTTCTGTAATCGCATGAGTGGTAAATGTTTTCGTGGCAGATCAACAACTACAGAAACAATAAAAGCATTAGTTAAAAGGAAATCGATTCTGAGCTCAGAGATAATCATAATATGGAAAATAGAAACACACCAACTTTGTTACGTCGTCGGTTGTCTTTACAGACATCGCTGCAGTACCAAGCTGAAGTTGAGATAAGAGGGTGACATGTGAGGTGATAAGCTCTTGAACAACCACCTTCACATGGGACAAGTAGATTGTGGGATTGAGTAGGGTTCTGACAAGCTGTGCAGAACTGCTGGACAATAGGACGAGTCCTATCTTGTAGAGTTTCATTTGAAAATGCAGAGAGATCAAGGCGAGGTAGACGACTGGCGAGACCATATCCCTTGTAGTCGCATCCATGTTTACTACACAATCAAGTTAGTCTAATGTGAGGTCAGTAATAAGGCAATTAACTTACTTGCAAAGTGTGCGTTTACCCCATGGCCCAGGACGCCAGTTCACACCCTCGGTTGTGCCACAGTAACGACACCAATCAATATTGGCTGCAGTCAGTTGTTCAAACAGTGTCTTTTCCTGGTCAATCGTCAAAGGCTCTACTGGCTCTTCGCTGCTCACCCGATCCTTTTTCTGTTTCTGGTACTTTCGATATCGTGGTGTAAATGACCCGGCCCGGCCTCGCTTCCGTCGCCGTTGAGGAGATTGAGCTTTGAGACAGTAGTCGCTTTCTTCTTCTTCGCCCTCTTCGTCAGAGTCAGAAAGTTGTAGATTATGCATTTTTTGCTCTACACTTTTATGGTGGAAAGGTATATCGTCTTCGTCTTCATCTTCATGGAAGTCATGCAAAAGTGCAAGCCAGTCGAGATCGATTGATTGAGTGCTGACCCGACGGCAACGGCCTTGTCTAGGTGGCTTTGATGTAGACTCTTCTTCATGACGCTTGCGGCTCAGCAGGTCTTCAATGCCGCCAAACAAGGGTTCGTAGTACAAAAAACTCGACGGAGATGTAAGAGGAGACAAGTCAGGAGAGGGTGATTTGTGTGAGTCTGAGTCGGAAGAGGACAGAGATATGGCGTCGTCCGCATCATGAATATTGAAGGTGTGGGGTGGAGCGAAGAAGACGTCGTCTTTCATAAGGGGTAGACCGAGTGGGAAGGACAAAATCCAACGCAGAACAGGATCTGACGTGCACGAAGAAATAGAAGAGGTCAAGTCGTCTACCTGTAGGTTTCCTCCTATTGGCAAGATCCCGTGACACTCTCCTTCGGCGGGCTTCACCAGATCAAGCGAGGCCAGTTTAGTCCACCCAAGATCCTCTTCGGCTGGAGTTAAAGGGATCGGTGGAGAGGTAGCCATGACAACAGTATTATCCATATATAACAATGGAGAGCAAATAAGAGAGGAAGAAAGTAAGTGAGTTATGCAGAAAGGGAAAGCAAAGAAAGAGGAACACGCGAAGCCTAAAAAAAACGAGAAAAACAAGGGGGTTGCCAATCAATATCCGCCGCCACTCCTTATTTCGGACCACGCCCGTGCCCATGCATTTTGGGCATGGTGCTCCCCCCCCCCCTCTTCTCTCCTCTCCCCCCTCTATCTCCCTCTCTCTCTCTCTCTCTCTTTCACTCTTTTTCTATCGTTCTCTTTAGCTCTCCTTTATATTATATCCCTCGGAAAGGAGAATGGCATAACATTCAAAGAGATGCCTAGAGATTGAAAACCTTTTTAGTTTCATATATTTTATATATGACGTGCGATGATATATCATTCTTTATTCCTCAAGCTAATCCAGGAACACAATTGCTTAGTGGCTATAATAAAGTAAAATAAAAAATAAGCTATTTTTATCTTCATGGCAACAGACCACCTTTTGGATATTCAATAATATATATATATATATATGTGTGTGTGTGTGTTTGTGTGTGTATGTGCTTTGATGTGCTTTGATGATATCAAACTCCACATCCGAAAACAAAATATTCTTGACAACACACATACATTCTGATGAATTTCCTTTACCAATACCTTGGCGGCTCATCTTAAAGCTCAACGTCTTCAAAATATCTTTTCTTTCAATAATCAATCAAGAGAATTACGGTTCAACCCGGGAACTGCTTCATTAGATCGGATTTTCAATATTTATTCCATACCATAAAAGTAGGAATCAAGAGGGGCACTTTTCCTTTATCAATAAGATCAAGAAGTGTATGTACTGTGTTTTTCATTAGAGCAAAAAGGGGAGTCTTTATGTGTTAAACATTATTTAAGAGTAAGTTTCTTCATACTTTTTTTTCTTTGCTAGCTATTAATAATATACAGTCGTTTGCAAGAGAAAAAAGGATATCTTTATGAATCATCGGCCACAACGGACCGGGTGCTGTCCAATCGACCCACCTCAGGCATGTCTGTGATCAGGACCTGGTCAAGACTTGCATTATCATCTGCTAATAAATTACGATGGTTTCCCCCTAGCCCAGGCCATGAAGGCGACCCAGCAGACCATTCAAATCCATCTTCGTCGAAATCAGATACCATGCCCATGCCTTCTCCGCCAACCAAACTTAGTAATACTGGTAGAAGCACCAAGCCATGAAGAGCACCCAAGATAACAATCAACAAATCTAATTCAGGACAAAAAACCCATATTTCATCATATATAAGTAGGCAATCAATCAAAGTGGATTCTCTCTCTTTTTTTTTTTTTGGCTTACACATTCGGAAGTAGTACACTTCGAAAATCTTGGACCGCGTAAAAGCCAGCACGACAATGCCGGCAAACTTGGTTAGTGTAATGCCGCAAAATACCTATTGAGATTATTTCATGAGCCAGATGAGCTTGTACAGTTACACAGACACACAGATGCATAGATGCACAAAACACAAAACACAAAACACAAAAAACGCACACACACGCACACACACGCACACACACGCACACACACGCACACACACGCACACACACGCACACACACACAAACAATCAATCAATTCTCAACCGACTTACTGAACTGCCAATGTCAACCATACTCTTGCCAGCTCTTTCTTCTAGTGTACCTCGAGACACCATGAATCCACGAGCAATATGGCAGCAAAACTCCACACTAATGCCCACGCAAATTACCAGATTAACCAGGCTGACTGCGTTCAAACTAATATCCCAAATAGTCATCGCACCGATAACATCTATTAAAATCATTATCACTACCAACATCACCAGCAGTCCAGATCTTATGCTTCCCAGTAGTGTACTAGTCACCACAAAGATAGACAGTATAGCAAGAGTAAGTAATTGAACGGCCATAGTGACAATATATGTATACTGCTCAAAGAAAATATAGAACACCGAGTAAGGATAAACCTCCAAACCAAGCTCTTCCTGGAGATCTTTGGCGATCCGACGAGCTGATCCGTAGGCCTCAATAAAATCATCCTGAGTTCGCAAGGGAGTGTGATAGGTTCGGAAATGCGAGGTTTTGATGGAAATTTGGTCAGGACTGGCTACAATAGCATCCCCATAAGCAGCTTTTCCGGCCAAAGGGCAACTTTCGTCAGGTACTCGAGAAATCCATAAATTATACAGTTCCATAAATTGCTCTCCTTCTGGAAGAGTCTCCATGTTTGCCTGCCAATCCGCTTTACAGTCTTCACAATTGTCTTCATCGTCCCATTCTCCGCACATCTCTCGTTGAGATTTATTAAAAGATGACATTAAAGGAGACAACTTAACAGGTGATTGTTTCTTAATCGACTCTTTTTTGAAACGACAACAGCCAAGGTTTGGACTTAGCCAGTAGAGGAAATCATCGATCCACACACTCGTCGGCTCTCCAATATAAGACGTCTCAGGTCGCTTGCGTTCTTGCTCCAGCACATTTGCCACAGAGTGTTCATCACATACAGAGAATCGGCCGCAGACCTTCTTCTGTACCGTTCGATCGGTCAGATTCCCTTGGATAACAAAATATACCGGAGGGCCAACATTAAAGTAATTGCTCAAATCGTTAAAGTAATTTACAAGATATGAGTCTGACGGCAGAGCAATACGTTGGTCAAGACCAAGTGGTAACTGGGGAACCAAAGCCAGGCAAAACATAAATAGACCGAGGAAAGTAAGACATATGGGATAGCGTAACTTAGGGTGTAATATAGTCGGCACATAATAATTATTTGTGAACCACTCTAACCATCCTTCTTTCTCGAGAGCTGGTGGTGCGTTCACACTTATACATGGTATACAGTCAATGCGTTTGTTCTATTAAAGTTTTCTTGCATAAATTATTATCTAGTTTCGAAAATATTATTTATCTACATACCTCTGTTCGACGAGCATCAAGCACCATACAAGATACAAAGCATGTTACTTGCAGCAAGAAATCCACAAATACGGCCAGAGAGGCCACAATTGCAAAACTGCTAACAGCTGGCATGGTCACCAATGTGCCAAGACCAAACGCAATTGTCTCACTAAGAGAACTCAGCAGAATACTTGGTCCCATCTTTCCTAGAGTCTTTGCTGCTCTTTCCTCGATTGTCTCCTCGGTCTTGAGCTGCAGGCGACGCTCGTATTCATGACAGAGTATAAAGATGTTATCCACGCCCACCGCGAGCACAAGGAAAGGAATAACCTCGGCAATAATAAGAGTAATCTTCTTGCCTGTTAGAGAAAATATACCAACCGCACTTGAAACAGAGAATAAAACGATGAGGATGCCACAAATAGCCAGACTGAATTTTGAATCAACCACCAGGCGGCGTGGATTCAAAGACGCAAATCTACCCAGGGCAATCGAAGCATAAAGGAACATGACAATATAACTCAACAAAACAGTTTTTGCGTCGGTGTTGCTAGACTTGTTGAGCTCGGTTTCAAGAGAACTTTCGGTAGAGTAACTAATATTGACTCCCTTCCATTCAGGTTGATCATTTACATTTGCTAAAATGGTACTAAGAATAAAGCGTTCCCATTCTTCGGATTTTGCAGTCTCTGCAGGGTCGAGGGAGTTTGTCAAAACAAATGTCACAATCATTGCCTTGGCTTTGAGATATTCATTCCCTTTGTATCCACCGAGTACCATTTGGGGCTTGAGTGGCAATTGGAACTCTGGAAGACATAATGATGGTTGTGATGTACAAAGGCTAAGGTCGTCTTCAAAAGTTTCTGGATCAAACTGATCAATGTCACCTCCCCAATAGCCTGTTACTGATTGAAGAATGCAAACGTCACCAGTGGGGCGGAAACAAACATCCTGGAATGTGTAGTGTCCTGTTTCGGTTTGCGCATCTTTAATGGTATTTTCTAGTGCAAATAAACTCTCTAGATGGTCTGATGTCAAGATTTCGTCAGATTCACTAACAAGGAATATTTGAGTGGTGCGATAGAAAGGCGTAAAGTTGGTGTCAAAATGGGTTTTTTGGGCGAGAGCAGTCGAAGAAGGTGATACCCAGAGATGGACAGGATCTCTCTCGAGTGCGAATTTTTGCCATCCCAAAGAGCACAAAGTAACTGCCAACAGGCTAAGAATGATAACGGTATAAGGGTTGCGAGCGCACAAGAGACCTTGGTAATAAAACCAGCTTTGAAGTTTTCCATTAAGCCAGTATCGATTAAGTTCAGTATCGGGATCCAGTAATCTCTCGTTTTCTTCATCTTCATTCCCATCTTCCATCGCTAGACGCTCGTATACTCCACCAGATCCACCTCTGTTCCACAAAGATTCACCCCAGTTCTCAAACCACGCCTGCAATCGATGATTCTGTCGTAACAAGGTACCCAATGATATGAGAAGTATAAATGCGTATATTAAGACCATGCTAAAGCTCCAACACGATAATAATCCTATTTTGCACTCGGGCACCTCTCCGGGAGTTGGTGGTAATACTGGACACGTCTTTTCACAATCCACACAAGCGCATCTGTATGCTAAATCTGGGTCATTGCAGTCGCGTCCTTTTGCATTGTTGAACTCCATCCCATCTGTAGGTTCACCAACCGGAAAGTCTATCTGGAAGGGACTACCGAGTGCTGGGCGCTTCATTCCCATGTAAGTAACCATGTCATGCCAGTTTTGGGCACCGCCTCCAATAAAGTCCATTGCATAGCCATTGCTCGCCCCAAATTTAATATCCTTGCAACTGTCATAGAATTGTGAGCCAAACCCGTCGCCTACCCAATAATCAGCTTGGGTAACCATTCCATCCCTGCTGGAAGTAATGTTCACCATCGTAGACTGATTAGGAGAGCATGTAAATGTGCACCAAAAGGACAAAAAATTTGTCCAGCATGCAGGACAAGATGACATGATAGGCTCCGCTCGTTTGACTTGTTCAATAAGGTCGTTAAGTTGTTCCTCGCTACAGCATGCTGCAGTTGAAGCATACTCTGCGCCACATGTGTTTATCAATAGCTGCTGAAATGAACCGGTGGGTTGTTTAGCAGGCTCATCAGAGACACACGGAAGAGTGGAAAATCTTGTATCAGGGCAATTGCCATACATGGCACAATAACCTGGCTCGTGAACGGCAACCACTGCTTGGGTGGCCAGCCAAAAGGCCCACATGTATAGTGGGAATAAATGTAGTTTCATAATATAGCGATTGCGTGAGAAGATACAAAGACATTCTCACTGGGATTCTTCATTTTTGTGTGCTATGTGGGTCACATGATATCAACCTCTTGAAACACATGTACGTCACAGGAATAGTGAAGAAGTTGTCATCATTCGCAGGTCATAGGCTTATATACCATGATAAGGGGTTTTCTTTTTCAGATATAGAGACTCTTGCAATTATCAAATTCAGGCTAATAACCAGTTTTTCTTTTCAGAGATAATAACCACAAACAAATAATGGAACTGTCGTAGGCTTTACTTTTTCCAATCAAAAGGGATTTTGAAATACAAAACCAATTTCCCTAGATAACGTATGCTGAGTGCTTCAACACACAATCTTGTTTAAACCTGCCACACCTTCGAGAAAAGTCTCATTTAAGCTTAAAATAAAAATATACCAAATATACTGAAGAAATAGTTATTCTTATAGCAAGAACTTATATATATGTATTCGATTAAAAGTAACATGATAAATAAATCACCCTTGGTCTCCAACAATACGGATTTTCAGTATGAGAGAAGGTGTTGAGTTGCGATGATTTCAAGACTGCTAAAAAATAATTATTTGTAAAACCCAATCAAATATATATATATATAATTCAGGCACGGCTGTGAGGATTTATGCTATGAAAACAGCAATACTAAAAAATGTAAAGAAAATGAATCTTAATAAACTTGGCTTTCCGAGGCTTACATTATTAAGTAATTATATATAAAAGATACTTGGATATCGTACGTTCCGTTTTGAAGGGGGAAAATCAAACTGAATTTTTACTAGAAATTAAGTAATAATTTAGAGCGAAGATTTGGGGATTGCCCTAAATTTTTGCCTCAAATCATCACGAAATGCCCTCCACGACAAAAATTGTTAAACAATAATTGGACATTAATTTGCGGCTTAACACAAGAATTGGCAATTTTTTGCCATTCCCACTCGACAATATCTCTATTATAAAAACTATTTTATTTTCAGTAATTTTAATAATAATATGTGCCTAGAATAAACAGAAATTTGGAAAGAATAAGATTCGATATATATTAAATAGAAAAGGCGTGAATTTCTAGTAGCTAGTTGCTCTACCACCTTAGCAATTGCTTCTTTAAGTCTATTGGTATGCTGGCCACTAAAGTCTTCAGAACTTGAAGTGGTATATCTAACCATCTTTTATGGACTACCACTTAAAGTTCATTCACTTGCGTTGCTCTTTCTTGATTATTGTGAAGTTTCTATGTAATATGAGTTTATTTTTGCTTAATAGAATTGAGGTTCGGGCTCTGGGAAGCGCAAAAGTCGACGCTCTTCAACAAATGACTCTCTTTCTTATACCCTGTGGCATAAGCGCCTGTGTTACATGTTACACCATTCTCTTGAAACAAAAACTTTTGACATTGTCTGTGAACAGTTCCTTGTACCAAGAAAGAAAATGATGGGCCAAACAGTCAACGTACCTGTCCTGGTCAATGTTTCCTTTTAATGCCACTAAAAGTACAAGATTCTCCCTCCACATGAACAACCCCAAAACATGACAGAATATTTTTCAAACTTGCATGTATCGGCAAGATCGTTCTTTCTGTATATCTTATATTTCTTCTTGATGGCCCTGTTCCTTCCATTATTTCCGACTACTGAAAACCTTGACTTATCTTACAAGACAATCGATCCTCACTACTCAACCGTTCAGATCATCTTGTTGAGGCACCGCTTTAGTAAGGCTTCTTTGTGTTAGTGGGCGCGTTTTTTTTTCACTCAAACCCTCCTTATGAGCTGATGGATGAGAGACGAAACCAAGAACGTCAATGTCCTTGCGAAATGTGGTTAGAGATATAGAAATTCCCACATTTACTAATATATGTTTCTGAACTGTACTTAACATAAATAGTTTTTTATGAAAAGATAGCACCACAGCAGCTTGTGATTTCTTGGTAATCTTCAGTTTTTTCTGTAGATATGATGATGTCTCGAAAACACCTTTATTTCTGAAGGCTTTGTAACATCAATATTATTCTTCAGAATGTCAAGGGCTATGAGATCTCTCCATATATAACATGATCTTTCTAATTTACTTATAGTTCGGCCCCTCATTAATGCATTCAAATATTGACTTTTGGGTTTTATGGTACCAATAAGTGGCAGAACCCTTTTTTGCTTTTATTTTATTTGATTAGGGGATCAGAGTAGGTTCATAGAGAAAGCAACGTCTTCATGATGCTTTACAAAAAAAATGACAAATTTTGTGCCTGATCCAATCACTCATTAGTTTTTACTGTGAATGCACTTATTTTAATTATAGATGAGAAAATGTGTAATACACCGATTGTATCTATACTTCTTTTTGCGTCGATATCATTACAAAGACATTGTTTATTGTATCTACAATTCTATAAAAATTAATACGAATTGAGAACGTGACTGGATTTTAATTAACACTTTTGTAGAATTGTAATCTACTGATTGCAACATTCTTATTTTAGGTATCGATCATTTCAAAATGTCTACTTCACCTTGGGCTAATTCCGAGATACTTGGCATTAAAGACAAAAAGGAGAGGTAAATATTTGTTTCTATTATCTATCTCTTCATCTCACATCTTTAGACATCCCACAGTCACGCATACATGTACTGATATAATCACAGACTCTCAAAGGAGATCCTTGCATTCACAAACTACATTGCTCCTACCAAGCGCGAACAGAAAGATAGAGAAATCCTTATAAAGACTGCCAAAGGCGCTGTAGAATCTGCCTATTATCGAGACACTAAATTTGAACCGTTCGGTTCTTATGTCACTGGCCTCCTTTTGCCTGGAAGGTACACAAGAATTACAAAAAGAGAAACAAAGAATTCTACTCATTAGAGTTCTATTGAATTTTTTAATTTTATGTATATTTAAAAAGTGATGTTGACATTAATGTGACAACCTACCAAGATTCTGGAGATGCAAGAAGAGTTCTCGGCCGTATTAGAAAAGAATTAATGAGAATGTCTTACGATTGGAATGAACTGCTGTTTATTCGCTCTGCACGCGTAAGCCAACATTTACAATATAGTATAGTAACTATGTTATACTATACTATATATGAAATAAGCATATAGTATCCACAAATACTAATATCCTTACGGAACAGATTCCCGTACTAACCATTGATGACAAGCGTCTTGGTACATCTTTGGATTTGACCGTCAATAATCCGTGTTTCAGCTCTGACCGTACTGTTAAATGGCTTGCTGAACTTCCTGAACTCAAGCCCATATTTTTAACTCTCAAGCACGCCTTTTCCTCTTCAAAGCTTGAATATATGAGATCATTTGAACTCATGTCCTCAAAAAACAGTGGTTTCGCAAGCTACACTATTATTTGTCTGATTGTTGCATACATAAAGGTAACTTGCTCAAAATTTCCAGTCTATTCAATCAAACTTCGAACTTTAACATACTTAACAGACCCACAAACCAGAAAATGTCAAGAAAAGTACTCCAACCTATTATTCCGACCTATTGATTGGATTTCTTCACTTTTACAGCACTTTTGATTTTAAGAACATGTGCCTGGATATGAATGAGGATGGAAAAATCTACCCAAAATCTGAAAATTATATGCCTCGTCTTCAAAATGAAGAAGTTATTATTGTTCTAGATCCCGATGTGGAAAACACGAACGTTGCGCGTAGCTCATCTAGAATCAGAGAAACCATATTTTCTATTACAGAAATCTATAATACTCTTTTAACCCGAATAGACACAGCCAGCACAGATGAACCTGAGTCAATACTCTCTTCAATAATAAAGGTCATACCTCACAACCCCAGAGATCCACGTCCAGAAGGGAAAAAATATGAAATTAAGGAACGGACCATTAAATACGTCGATCATACGGAGGATGATGAAGATGCTACCGACAGCTACAACGATAGGAAGCCTTGGGACAGAGACTACAATCGCAAACGTGAGCGTGAAACAACACCACCATCGCACTCAAAATATGTCTCGAGATCATCAAAACATGATAGCTCAGATAATAAAAAGAGGAAACGTTCGAGATCAACAGAAAGCGACATCGCAAGTTCATCGAAGAGAGCACACAAAGCAGACTGATCTAAAGGCTATGGTTTCAATAACTGATAAATATTTCAGAGTATATTTGTTATTATCCTTATTATCCTTATAATGCTTATATATGTATATGTGCATTGGAAGGACTTTACACTATTATTTATTTATTAAATATCAAGACAAACATTTTGAATATTATTAGACAAATGTCAAATAAAATATTGCATACACATATGCTATTTTGTATTTTAGTATATTTAATATTAACTACAAACTGTTTCTAAGCTAAAAATTATTGCAATGTATTTAATAGACCTTGGACGGGCAGATCGAAATTATTGATTAAAGATGAAACAGATATCAGAATGAACTTATCTTGGCAAACTAGTGTTTTTTTTATATGTTTTCAAAAAAAAATTAAAATTAAAAAAGTCATTTGAAAATGTATTCTTTATATTTTCTTTGTCAATAATTCTTATAATAAAATTGCACAAAGCAAGCTATGTAATAACTTAAATATTATTTCTACATTAAACTCCATGCATATAATACTTCTTTAGTAATTAATGTATTTGAAGGATTGTTCATAAGAAAGTCCTCCCTGAATAATACGAGATTCATGATTATCATATCAATAACCAATTAAAAGCAATTCTGTACTCTGAATAATATGATATTATACTTTATATATTTCCAGGTTTTTTTTTTTGACTTTTTGTTTAAATGAGATTATATGATCTGTTTTGATAAATTACTCGTGAATTTCAAACAAGACAAAGAAAGACAACGATGATAATGAGTTTATAAGCTAATTAATGAGTTAATAAAAAATTGCTATGGAAAATGGTGCGATGAAAATACATGAAATGCTTAACATAAAGAACTTCTAAGTGGTATAAGTAATAGTTTAAAAATATTGTACTTAATTTGAATTAAGGGACTGCTGGTGAACAAGAGCACTGTAAGCACCGTTCAACTTGAGCAACTCCCAATGTGTTCCTTGTTCAGCAACTCGACCGTCCTTGACAACACAGATAAGATCAGCCCCTTGAATTGTAGATAAACGATGAGCAATGGTGATGGTAGTACGGCCACCCTCTTCCAAGATATTATCAATAGCAGCCTGTACAAGCTTCTCTGACTCTGAATCCAAGGCAGAAGTTGCTTCGTCTAGAAGCAGCAACCGAGGCTTACGGATCAATGCACGGGCAATAGCAATACGCTGTTTTTGGCCACCAGACAGCTGGGAACCCTTGTCACCGACGCGAGTATCATAACCAAGAGGAAGGCCAGAAATAAAAGTGTGGATATTGGCAGCACGGCAAGCATCTTCAACCATTACCTGAGTAATAGGTTTGGAATCATCGACACCGAAACGAATATTCTCCCCGATAGTCATATCAAACAAGACAGGTTCCTGCCCGACCAATGCCATATGACCGCGAAGATTACCAAGTGAATAGTTCTTGACGTTGGTGTCATCAAAACGGACAGTTCCAGAGACAGGATCATACCAGCGTTGTAACATACCGATGGTAGTAGACTTGCCACACCCGGAAGGACCAACAAGAGCAATAGTCTGACCAGCCTTTCCTTTAAGATTAAATTCACCGTTGAAAATAGATATATCAGGACGAGCAGGGTAGCGGAAAGTGATATTTTCAAACGAAATGTCACCAGAAACCTGAGAAGATGCAGGCTCGATACCTTCGAGTTCAGGGTCGATAGCCGGAACACGGTCAAGAATTTCCAAAGCTGAAATTGCAGAAAACTTGGCTTTCGCAAATGTGGCTGTGAATACACTCGCCCGACCGACTTCTTGGGAAGTAAGCATAATAGTAAGTGTAGCAGTAAACATCTGAAGGAAATCAATCTTATTGTCGACCATCAAGCGGATACCGGCATAGAATGCAACAGCGTAAGTGAACTGCGTAATTGCCTGCTGAAGGCCGTAGCCAATTGAGGAAGTCAGAGCCTTGCGTTGAGCAAGCTTATGAGGACGTTCTGTAGCCTTGAAATATTTGTCTTCAAAATAAGATTGCTTGTTGAGGGCAGCAACTGTACGGATCTCTTTGATAGCTTCGCCAGCTACCTCGCCACTTTGTTCATTAGCCTTCTTGGTTTTATCTTCAAAGCCACGATGAATCTTAGACTCGTAAGCAGTGGCGCCCATAATAAAGGGAGTCATACAACAGATAATTAAAGTCAAGGTCCAGGTCTGAGAAAAAGCAATAGCAAGACCTTTTATAAATACAATGTAACGCTTTAGTAAAATATCGATTAAATGGTCGGCTTTCTTTTTTCATGTACTTTACCAGTAATTGCAGTGACAATAATCTGCGCAACATCACCCCATGTTTTGGTAACCATCTCGTTTACATTTTTGGAGTCAATGGCCAATCTCGAAGTCAATGCACCAAGGCTGTTTTCAGGATTATCATAAAACCCAATTTCTTGCCGTATCATGGATCGGAAGATCATCCCCCGGAATCTTTCTGTAAAACGCTCGCCCGCAAGTTCGAAAAACACATTTTGACCTGCAAATCCAAAAAATGCACCGACACCAATGACAACAAAGAGAAAGGCATACAAATTGGCACCTTGGAAAGGTCCTGGAGCAATATTACCATCGAATGTGAGTGTAGAGATAGTACGAGAAAAGACGAGTGCAAAGCAAGGAAAGACAGCACCAGAAAGTGCAGAACCACAGACACCAAGAGCTAACAAATGCCACTCGGGACGCATCATGTCAACCACTCTTCTTACAGGTGCAGACTGTTTCATCACGGCCTTTTTGTTTGCCTTTTCGTTGCGAAGCTTGAGTTCATAGGCATCGATAGAAATGTTGGTGCTGATTCTAGAAAGTGCAGTAGATTTAGTCTTTTCCAGGAATGTGCCCATTTCGTTTTGAGCCTCTTGGTCCTTTTTGAGTGCCAATGTTTCTTGTTTTAAAAGAAGTTCCTCATCAATATCTTCATCAGTAGTCCCAACTTGGGTAGTAGCAATTTGTTGCTTGGAAACGAGCTCGGAATAAATACCACCAAGGGCAAGCAATTCATTGTGAGTACCCTGTTCGATGAGATCGCCTTGCTTCATAACAACAATCAAGTCAGCGTTGCGAATGGTAGAAAGACGATGGGCAATGACAATTGTAGTGCGATTAGCAGTAGCTGCATCTAACGCCTTCTGGACTAGTCGTTCAGATTGGGTATCAAGAGCAGAAGTAGCCTAAAAGACATGCCTTTGGTGAGTTCAACAATGAATAAGATTGCTAATTATTTAATGCGTACTTCATCCAGTAATAATATCGACGGATTTTTCAGGATAGCACGGGCAATGGCAATGCGCTGCTTCTGTCCGCCAGACAACATACCACCATGTTCACCAACAAGAGTATTGTAGCCTTGGGGTAATTCAGAAATAAATGAGTGACAGTTGGCTTTCTTGCAGGCTTCGACCATTTCTTCCTTGGAAACCTCCTTATTTGCACCCATGGTAAGGTTTTGTCCGATAGTCATGTTGAACAGAACAGGCTCTTGGCTAACAACGCCAATCTGTGTGCGTAACCATGCAACATTATAGGATTTAAGGTTGTGACCATCGAGGAGAACCTGGCCATTGATGGGGTCATAAAAGCGTTGAAGAAGCTGGACACTAGTAGATTTTCCAGATCCGGAAGGACCAACAAAAGCAACAGTCTGACCTGAACGGATCTTGAGATTGAGACACTTGAGAATGGGAACGTCGGGGCGTGTGGGGTAAGTGAATTGAACATCTTTGAACTCGATATCGCCGACGATTTTAGGAGGCTGAATACCTTCAATTGAATCAGCGTCAATATCGGGAATGCGTTCGATAGTTTCGAATATCTTGTATGCGGCGCCACTTGCTGTGGTAATGGCAGCAAAGTTTGGAGGTAGTTGCAAAAGGGCCATGGCACCCATTATCATGGCAAAGAAGACGACCATGACCATTGGACCAATCATTTCGCCACTCATTACAAGCTTTGCACCATACCAGAATGCAAGGCCATATGTAGCAAAAAGGAGAAACATAAAGACGCCCATACCGACACCGAATATGATTCCTCGCCTGACGCCGATTTCCTTTGCGTTCTTGAGTTTGATGTTGTAAAGATCAGAAAATCGATTTTGGAGAGAAAAGGCATAGACAGTACGAATACCCGAGAAAACCTGTTCTGCTATAGATCCGGCCTCAGCATAGGCGGTTTGTGACTTGAGAGTATATCTTGTGGTGTAGTATCCCATTAGACCTCCGACTCCACCCATTAAAGGCATTGTAGCCAACATGATGATAGCTAGCTTCCAACCGACAGCAAATGCAACGATGAATCCGATAACGAACTGGGCAATTGCTGATACGAGCAGTCCAAATTTTTCTGAAATACCATCTTGGATCATTTGGGTATCAACGGCTAAACGGGTGTTGAGAGAACCATCACCAGCCTTGTCAAACCAGGCCATGTCTTGACGGAGGATGGCGTGGACGTACATTTGACGAATTCGACGTGCTTGATTTTCACCACTAAGGACCCACAGGGCATTTGAGGTATAGGATACAACTAGAGCCGCGATTCCAATATAAACAAAATTGAGGATCATTCCCAGAGTAACATCCAGAATTGATGCATCATCGTCTTTGGAATTCTGGAGCTTTTTTAAGAAGAGACCGAGAACGACAATAGTAAGTGGTTGCATCAGGCCAACGATGAACGAGCAGATACAGGCAATAAAGATCATGAATTTGTCGAGAGCAGATGCGTATCGAAACATAGACCAAATTGCGACTGTTGGTTCTTTTTGCTTCTTGTTCTTGTTTAATTCATCGTCTTGAATAGTTTTGTTCGAGTAGACTTCTGAGCAAGATCCGAATTCCGAAATATGGTGTTTTTCTTGCATCCCTAGCGATGTGGTGTGAGTTACTGCTTTGACAGTAGCTGCTTGTGTTGAGAATAACTATGGTCGATAATCGTCAAAGGTTGAAACAGTTGAGAAGGGAGAGTGTGGAGGATTATTGAATAACCGAGTGAGAAAATTCTTCCGGTAGCGATAAATGAATGTATTATTTGACAAGTTTAGAGCACAAGATAGAAAAGGTATTTATATAATTTCTTTTCTGTTTTCTTTTTATTCTTTATTTTTATTTTCAGTTTTGGGATTTACTAAACTGTAGCTAACTCCTTGACCAATTGAGGTTATTACCAGAGTAAAAAGAAAAAGAAAAAAGAAATTGTAGGAAATTATTCGGTTGTTATGACTTGATCAACCCAGAATTCCTACATGTGGGACAAGCAAAAAAAAAACAAAAAATTATAACAATTCCGCATTACTTGTCATTGAAGCTGTAGCCTTATAATACCCAAATATACAATTTCCCTGGAGAAAAAGAGAGATAAATCTTTTGGCCTGTGTAGCCTGAGAAGCTCTGTACCCTGTGTAGCTTGTGTAGCCTATGTATCACATTCCTTTCATGGTATATATAAAATGAATAATGGTGTTCGATACATGGTATGTTTAGCTACATTATTCATAATGTACCATTGAAATGGTTCACGTGTGGAGAAACCCTATATGATTGATTTTACTTGACATGGGTGTCTATATTGATTTTCTTTTATTATTATTAAAGAGTAGATTTTTGATTTCATGCTTCAATTCTTCTCCTTTTCGTTATTTTTATTATTATATTGGAAATTAGATGCTTATAGTGCTTAATATTTGGGCAAGTAGTTTTTTTTTGTTTTCTTCCTTTATTTGTGCATTTATTCGGCCTCATTATGTGCTTTGGCTGATATGCCCCAAAGCACAATTACTAAAAACAATGATCAATAAAATTATGGTGTATTCTTTGTGGAAAATGGCAAGTTCTTTTTGTTTCATTTTATGTGCATGGGCTACTTTGGCTCTGGTCAATGAATCAATAATATTGGAGCTCATTTTCTCTTTGAATATAATTCCAACATGAACAATGACAGTTTAATTTAGATACTTTTTTCATTGATATTTATCATATATGAAAGCGACATTATTCTTCAATATTTAAAGCAGATTTTTGTAGTTAAAATTTATACTCCAACAATAGCCACTTTATTTATCTTATTTTAGATATAAAAATAAAAATATCAAATCAAGAAACGAAAATGATGGGTGATACGCATAACAGGATTCAATCAATTGTTACACTCTCTATTTCTAACCATGACCCAAAAAACAAAAAACAAAGTGTCAAAGATTTGTTCGACCTCTTATCCGGGAAAACATACGGAAGCTGTGTTGCCCCAAACTTTCTTGAACTATATCATTAACACATTTCTTTAATTTACTTTACTTTACTTTACTTTACTTTGAATTGCCTGCTTGATTGCTTATTTATTTCTAATAGGGCTTCAATATAAAGACCTCAAGCCACCTTTGTTTTTCAATGTCTTGTTTTCTTTTTCTTCAAAGAAACATAGTCAAAGTCTTTGAATTCCTTATTCATTTTTTTTTAGAATAATAATAACATTTATTATAATAATAAAACATTCGATCCCAGAATATTACAGTGAACGCCAAGCCCTATTATAAGTTACATGGTTAATTCAAGTGCCTTTGAGATGACGAATATATCTTTATCGAGAGTTTCTTCTTAAGAGCCATACTTGGACAATCAAAGAAGGAAAAGAAATCTTTAATCAAACCATAATTTCATGGTAAATGTAAATAGCGTCTTTGTTCGTAAATTTATACTTTCTCTCTCTATCAATCAAATACACGCACAATAAATCTGGTTATACAAAACGGATACAGCCGCCGAGATCAATTGTGCAATAAGCAGCAAGAAAGAATGGCAATCAGATTTGATCCATTTTTTTAAAAAAAAATAGGGTTTAATTATATAAAATATTTAATATAATCAAAGTATATTGTTCAAAAATCATGTCAATTGAATTGTACCAAACAATTAATGTCAAGGCAAAGGATATATATACAAAGAGCTTACGTTAAAGTCATAAAATTAAACCTGTAAACACCACACTTGTATACAAGACCAAGATTATCTACCCATTAATTATCCATATAATGTGACTCTATCATTCTTATTCCCTTTTTAAAAAAAAATCTTACAAAGAATTGAATTATTTTAAGTTCATTGTGCAATTGATTTATAAATAAATTAATAAAGTGTGGTTTTAATGACTTCAATATTGAAATGTATCTATTTCTTTTTAATGAATCCAGGAAAATGAATTTCAATTATTAGAAGCGTAATTGTCATTGACAGTGATCTGTGGAGAATTCTTTCATTATAAATATATATAATATAAGAATAAGAAAAGAGAGGGATTAGAGTGTAGTATAATAGTATTAGAGCATCAGACACCTAGTACTTGTTCAGAAACATATAGAAATCAGATCAATAGAGCTGTACCTATTTATTTTCATTTTCATCATATTAATTAACATATGTATGAGACTTCTCTTTCCAGAGCAAAACGAAACAAATGAATGCGTCTGCCCAAGACTTTTGGGTCCCACTTCGCTATCTACTAGCTCCGTTCATGACAATCCATTGTGTAGACAGTCACGTCTGGTCTGCACCAGCACTAGTATTAGTATTTTATTTGGAAACCAGGCTACTTTAGTTACCTATATTATATTATAATTCAAACAAACTTGTGGTATTCGTATCTGAATCATTATTGAGTGTATCGAGCCACTTGTGATTTATGACTTTATTCATCATAGAAATCTTTAAGAAAAATCCAATTAAAAAATCGCGTGTTTACTTTAATAAACTAAATCTTTTATCAATTTCCCTTCTTTTGATCTTTAGTTTTCTCTTATTTTATGTTTCTTTTTGTTTATAAGTTATTGTTTAATCTGTAACATGTACTCTGAGGTTTATTCAAAGTCAAAGACTACATAAAAAATACCAAGCAAAATATATAAAGAGTAGGCTATAAAGTCATCAAGACATAATCCGATGGTTGGAAGAATAAATGAAAATAAATGAGGGGATAGGGATATAAGCAAACAAAAAGTGAATGCTTATTTTTATTACAAGAGATGGACCACTTTGAAGAGTTGGATCACGTGAAGGATAATATATTTTTCTGAAATTCACAACAAAGCCACTATACTCGCTGTCACACTGTTCTCTGAAATGCAGGAAAATAAACGAAAAGTCACAGTATGCCAAAAAGGACCCCCCTTTTTACCCACTTTTATTCCTAATAGCACATCATGGCACCTGTTAAGAAGGACGATTCACCTCCCCAATCACCCGTAGAAGAACACGAGGACATGGTTGAAGAGGATGTTGATGCTGAAGAAGAAAACTCTGATGAAGAAATGGAAGAGGATAATGACATGATTGCAAATGCAGACAAGGTCGAGATTGTAAGTATCACCAGCAAATAAGTGACAAGTACCGGAACAAATAGACGGGCAAACGAATAAGCAAGAATTCTAGTCAGGAATCTTATTTTGAGTGTGCAGATTTCAGGTGCAAGCAGCGACCAGACCGCCATGACTTTCTGTTTCAAGGAAGAAGACCATACTATCGGAAACTCATTGAGACACATGATCAACAAAAAGTAAGCTCTTAAAAAATAAAAGCATATCAAGTCCGAGCCATATTTAAATTTTCTCGCTTAATAGCCCCGAAGTTGACCTTTGCGGTTACTCTATTCCTCACCCTTCCGAAGCTAAATTGCACCTCCGTATCCAGACCACAAGTAAGTATCGTGATATATATATATATATACATATTTATTTATGGTGAATATTAATATTCTATTAGACCGTACTACCGCGATAGACGCTCTCAAGAAAGGTCTTGAAGATTTGACTGATATGTGCGATCACATCTTCAAGACATACGAAGACGAGCTTGCCAAGAAAGATTATGAAGTGTGGGAGGAAATATCATAGACTGCTTTTAAATTGAATGCATAGATTAAAGAGTGAAAGAGAAAGAAAGAAGGAGAAAGAATAAGCATGAGAGCATGAGTGGTTTTAAATAAACACATTGTAAATTTCACATACCCTTTGAAAGTTGTGGCCAAGCTCTCTTCTTGGCTACGTCACACATAATGTGGATTAACCAATGGGATACTGCAACATCCCGTACCTTTCTTACACCCGCTTCCTTTCTTCGATATTCCCTTTTTCGAGATGAAGCGATCGGTCTTAATTTTCTTTTTACTTTTACAATGCATTTTCTCGGTGTATGGGCAAGCAGACGCAAAGAAAGACAAGCTTTTGAAGCTCGCAAAGGAGAACAATGGTCTTGTTAAGTTAAACAGCAAGACATACAGCCAGTTCACAGAAGGAAAACGAAACTATGGCCTCGTTGTACTATTAACCGCCCTTAATGACCGTTTCAAATGCATCCCATGCCGGTATGCACTTTAAATCGCTTTTGATTGCTCTGACTTACGCGTAAAACTCCCCGGTTTAGTGAATTCGATTCCGAGTACAAGTTAGTCGCCTCAAGTTTCCAAAAAACACAAGATCCCAGCCGTGTTTTCTTTGGCTATCTGGACTTTGAGGATGGCCAGGCTATTTACCAGCAGGTTAGCCTCGGATAATACAAGAGTGATTTAATTGATTCATAACACTATATGTGCACTTTTCTTAGCTTGGCCTCCAAACCGCACCCAACGTATTTTATTTCCCTCCGTCCAAGGCCAGTGCAAGAAGAGAGCCAGAGCGTTACGATTTGGCAAAGAGGTATATTAGCAAGTCTTCAGATCCCAAAAGCAGATATTTACAAATCTATATATGTACAGTGGATTCTTGGCAGAGACCTTTGCCAGCTTCTTGTCACGTCAGATTAATGCCCCTGTCCCAGTCAATCGCCCTATTGATTTCTTCAAGTTGGGTATTAAAGTTCTGATAGGTTTAGGTGTTGTAGCTGCTTTGAAGTTGCTTTACCCCTATTTTGGCTTTATTATCCAGCACAAGAACACCTGGGCTGCTTTCTCAATTGTAAGTATTTCACCGTAAGCGTTAAACTTTAGACATATATTTAAATGAAATGTTTAGATTACTATCTTGGTCATGACTTCTGGCCATATGTGGAACCGTATCCGCAACCCTCCTTATGTTATGCCTGGTCAAAATGGGCAGATCAATTATGTTGCTTCAGGGTAATAGTTAAATTATAATGGTTAATAACAGGTCGCTAAGATATTGTTTCTTCTCCTTCTTCTTTCTATCATGAACTAGTTTTCAACAACAGCTAGGAATGGAATCTCAGATTGTCGCATCCATTTGTAAGTATCAAAATAATTAAAGTAGAAGGAAAATACTAATTTCCATGAATTATAGATGGAGTATTGGCTTTTTCTGTCGTGTCTCTGGCTTATGCTGTACCTTCTTTTGATGACAAGTTCCGTCAGCGTTTCGGTGTTTATGTTTGGTCAATTGCAATCTTTGTCGTGTTTAGCTGTTTGGTGAACTTATTCAGACTTAAGAACGCCGCATATCCTTTTAAGATCCTCTTTTAATCAATAGAGAAAATAAAAGATACAGACAATCAATTCTGTAAGAATTAGAGAAAGAGATTTTAATCATATTTCTTTTTTTTAAAAAAATATATATATATATAGTATAATTGAATGATCCAATGAATATCTATTACAGTGATAGTGAGTGATTGTGAGAGTGTTTGAGAGATATGGTGTTTGAATGAGAGGGTATCTGTGCACTTTGCTACAGCTTCACGTTCTTTGTCTTGTTTTCTTTTTTCTCTTTTTCTTCTTCCTTATCGTCGTCATCCTCTTCTTCGTCTTCCTCATCGTCTTCCTCATCGTCTTCCTCATCGTCTTCCTCATCGTCTTCCTCATCGTCTTCCTCATCGTCGAAATCGCTTCCAAAGTCGAAATCGCTATCCTCAAAATCGTCTTCCTTGATATGAGAGAGGTCCTCTCCCATCTCAAGTTTTCTCAAGTAGGATCTTCGCTGACGCAATGTCATTCTTGCCAATAATCTCTCAAGTTCAATTTCTTCTTTGATAGTTGAGGCATCAGTCTTGATTTCACTCTTACTTTAAAGACAAATAAATAAAAACCGAGGTTGTTTTAGTTTACAAAGTGGTTTGACGATATCTTTTTTTATTATTGTTATTATTGTTATATGATTACTGCACTTACTCGACAATAATTTCTTTGCTTTCTGTACATTTTGCGCACACTTTCTTGGTTGTTGCGCAGTTATTACAAAGAACATGATAGGCCTCCTTAATTGTCTTTTCTTGACAGCATGTGCTAAAATAAAATAAAAACCATGGTAAGTATTTTTTCCGAGATCCCACTAAAATCTGCCACTCACCATCGCTTTACTGCTGTCAATGGCTTGTACTTTCTGTACTTCTTGCGCCACATAATAACATCCGTACAACGCTGACACAATCCGTAAACTGGCAATCCATTGATTTCCTTTGTCTTTTTGGAATTCTTGTTGGGCTTCCAGCTAGTTGTATTTTGATGCTTCTGACCCTTTTTGGAGTTGTTTCCCTTTCGGAAGGTTGATTTACTTTCATAGGTCGACATGGTTGATTTACTAAGAACTGTAAAAAAAGTAGCAAGACAAAAAAGGCATCCCCTTATTTTCTGCCGGAATGAGTTTGAATTTTTGAAGATTTATAGGTACAAGTGACGACTTTTACTTTTGTCAATGCCCATACAATCATGTCTACTTTTTTTTTAAAAGAAAATATTTTATTATTTTAACTTCTTTAAAAGACATTCCAAAGTATATAATAAATTTACTCCTATCATTATTGGCTATTAATATTTCAAAGGTATATATAATTTCCTCGACTTACATCGTCTAAGCTGGTTAAAAACATTATTTGGCTTTACCAGACCTTCAACTATAAAAGCCACCAGCTCATATAATCTAAATTCTTTCTGACATAAAATGAGATACCCTTCTTTCTCAGTATCAGCCACAAGGAAACGCAGTACTCTAATGAGCGGAACAAGAAATATATGTGTCTGTGTAAAGTTTGCACCACACAAAAACTAAGTGCATAAAAGCACAAAGTTTCTTGAGCTACTAAGGTGGGAAGAAATTATTCAAACACGACGATTTCCCCCTCTTTTCGGGTACAGTGATTATTTTACAAACATATTTTGGGACATGATACTTACAGATAATATACTTTATATATGTTATATTTAGATATTTAGCTTTATAATAGGTCTAGAGATAAAATTAAACCATAAAAACTATTGTATATGTAAAGAAAAACGTTTTTAATATGAATTAAAATGTTTATTTTGTATAAAACCGACTTTATTAATGGAAGAGCCACCACAGCTGTTAGGGACATAATATAATTTCTGGACGCCGTACCATAAATTATCCACAAACTCGGAAAATAGAACACATCGGTGCTTAAAAAGAACTCTATTTTATATAAACATCGTGTTCAGATAGTTAACATTCGGGGGGAGGTCAATTAAAAAAAGTCTAAATCATACGGCGAATTAGCCATCTCTATATAATATTATGTTTCTTAAACATAATTAACTCACAATACCATGAAGAATAAAAGTCTGGCTGATCATTTACACTAAGCTTGTTTTTGAACTTTGTGTTCAAACTTCAAGGCTTGCAAAAAAAAAGAATCCAATAATATCCTTAAATTGTAAAGTTTCCTCGACCTTTTTATTTTTTTTTAAAAAAAAAGAATGTCTCTCTCTCTATCACTATTATTACTATTACTATTATTATTATTATTATTATTATTATTATTATTATTTTGGTCTGGAATAAAGAGATATATTTGCAGACGAAGAAACTGAGTCACCGAACCTCTCATTTCTTCCCTTTATTTTGTTTAAGAGAATATCTCGAAAGATCCTTAAACGAGAAAAGAGAGACAGACTTCGCCAAGCAAACTTTTAATAGTGCTGAACTGAAAACCAGTGACCGGGCCTTTTGGCACCTTAACAGCCATCATAAGAGAGTTCTTATAAACACTACACACTACCATCTAAAATCCAGTGCATCTTATGCAACCCTACACAATTGATCTATAAACCCATTATGTCTTTTTTAGTTTCTGAGATGGACAGCCATATATCCACTGATATCGAAACTCTTTAAATCACTCCTTCGCCCAATAGTACAACGTACGTGCCTTGATTACTATTTTTCCAACCATTTTATTTACTGTTGTAGAAATAACCAAGTTTGCACTCAATGGCTGTTTTTTTATTTACTCTCTTTTAATATTAGTTTTCAATTTTTAGCTTTTAATTAATGGTTCTAATCAACATTCAGATACGCTAGATTTGTAATAAATCATATATACATTTTTCTGTTTACTATATTGCTTTTAAGAGTCTTTTTTTTTTGTTCTTATACACAAACTTTTTTTAAGCAAAGAACTTCTATTATATATTAGATCTTATATAGAATATTACAAGTCTGCATTTTCCGAGACTGTAAACCCAATCTACAGTCTTCAATTTGCATGTATATATGTATGTACGTATGTATGTATGTATATTATTGATGAGTGAACATTTATATTGTAATCGACGTAAAGAAATATCTTAAAGAACTAATTGAAATGTTCATACACAGTAGAGTGCGTTTTGTTTCAATTCCACTCTTTTGTCTGTACGGTAAAGTTTCGTTTTTCTTCAGTACAGATGTAAGTTTGCGTGAAAAATGAGACTAATTCTTGGTAGGTTTCTTAGCTGTAACATACAGCATAACAAAAATACATAGTTAGTTATATACATTGAAATAAATCAAGCATACATTAATACTTACTTCCGTATTTTGATCGACTAGTAGTACGTGTGGCAACACCCTGGAGATCAAGTGCACCACGGACAAGATGGTAACGCACACCTGGCAAATCAGGTACACGACCACCACGAACAAGAACAACCGAGTGCTCTTGCAAGTTGTGTCCCTCACCGGGAATGTAGGCTGTAACGACCTTGCCGTTAGTCAACTTCACACGAGCAACCTTTCTGACAGCTGAGTTGGGTTTCTTTGGTTTGGTGGTGTACACTTTGTTACAGACACCCTTGCGTTGATAGCAGTTTTCAAGGGCAGGGGTTTTACTCTGCTTAGTCTTGGTCTTACGACATTTGCGAATGACCTGGTTCAACGTAGCCATACCGGCCTTCTGCTGTTGCTGGTGAAGGGGCATAAGTGACTGGCGAGTAAAGGTCATAGATGTAGGCTTCAAGCTGCTAAGAATAACGCTTCGTGAAGTGGTTGCCTGTGTAATCAGAGTTCGGGTGACCATTCCCTTTTGGGCAAATGGCTTCCATTGGGTGAGGAGCGATCGCAGGGCCAGCATGGTTAAAGTCGAGCGTTCGTTTTACCGTTATGGCAGGGGAGATTTTTTTGTTGTGGTTCATGGTTAGATCACGTGTACCAGTCACATGCAGATGCAAATGCTATCTTTCGTATTTTTATTTAGAAGAGCTTTCAAACGTTTTGCCTAATTTATTCACTACCATTTTAGCAGTGGTTTCGATTGAATATATGTCTGTATCAATCACTAAAACATTATCCACAACTTTGTGGTCCACTTCAGAGTGATCTTCTCCGACAAACAGATGCTTATTCCATCGTACGAACTGCGGCCAAACAATTGCATCAAAATATCCTGGAGGATCTGCCCAATATCCTATAAAACGTCCGCACATACTCAATTTCTTTGTATATACTGGATTAACCTACCTTCTGCAGTGTTATATCCCTGGCGATTCTCTCGGCGGTACTTGAGTGTATCGTAAGATGCAGTAATAAATATGCGTGCATCAAGCTCAGCGCACAAAGCGGTATCCCAGTAAAGCATAAACCCATCTACAAGGACAAAGTAACAGTCCTGACTATTTAATTCTTTCAATGCGTTCTCAAGGGATTCAAAAGTCTTTGATGAAACTTGATTTGAACCATCATGAACATTGCTAACTTCATTGGAGTGATAATCTTTTGGTAATTGACCCTGGTGATTACGAGCATGTTGAATTAAGGCAACAAGACCATCTGAGTCAAGTGCATCAGGACAGTCCCAGTTGGAAAGATTTGTTTCCGGATCGATGGGAATCTCATCATCAGACTAACCAACAAATTGAAATAAGAATTTGAATAACAGGATCCTAGTTTGTTGAAAGGATTGAAGTTACTTTAAAAAAGTCGTCCTGATAGATAACGACTGAGTTCTTCAAGATTTTCTGAAGTATGCGTGTGAGGGTCTAGGATCAATTTATGAGAATTATTTTGATTGTGTAGATTATAATGTCTTACTGTTTTTCCTGAACAGGATGGACCACTTTAATGATAGCTGGTGTCAGATAGTGAATTAACTCAATTTTTTTATATATATAGTATTATTATTTTAAACATATTACATTCAATATCATCGAAGCATGATTTAAGAATGATTTTTGTAGCAAGTAAATATGATCCTTGCCTTATGCCAATTGTATAAACTGAAACCATATGTATAAACAATAAGAACAATCGAAAAACCACGCAGTACAGCACAGATAAGCTTGCTCATATTCTGAAAATAAAACAGTCACGGCACTGCAGTAGAATGTTATTTAAAAGAACAAAATTGAAATGAAATAAAATGTACATTGTGGTAATAAGCTATGGATGTTTGTTTGATAAATTCGACCAATAGACCCGCTAATATGGTACGTAATAATACACAATAATAATTATTTGAGAACAGGGCTGGGCTCTCGGAAAGGAGAATAAGAGCGAGGCGGTGGTGTGGTTCGATATGATTCGTCAGGTGATGCTGCGTGGGCCGTGAGAGGATGATTTCCGAGTGAATGTGGTCTACGTACGACAGCCGAAAAGAGTATATCCTGAGCCTTTTGGCGGGTCGGTGAAAATTGTCGAAAGGGATTTTCAGCCAATGTATTCGTTTTGTTCAGTCCAAGTGCTACTCCTGTATCTACTCCCTTAAGTTTTTCTCCTTCCAATGAAATCGATTTCACTGATTTGATAATAGCATTGATGTCAAGTTGGCTATTGCTCAACTCTTCATTATCACTTGCATGAACTTGATTCCAATTCAGGAGGACCTTATTCCCGTATTGTTGCAACTCGTCAACATTTATAAAAAGGGAATAGTGATTGAGATGCAAGAACTCCAATTCAAGCGTATTGAGTTCGGCCACCGGAAGTCCTCCGACCTAACGCAAATTTAAATATACTATTATACACAAGTCGAATATGTTCTATGTAGTTTACCTTTGCATAGCGAGTGTTGGTATAAAATACGTCTGAAAAAAATTTGCTAGATACCATAATCCCAGCAATAACCAATCGATGAATATTATAAGAATTAATACGAAGAGAGGCTTGGTTGGAATCATCGACAGCCATACGATCAAAATAAACCAACAGAGCCAAAAGACATTCATTGGCGCACGGACAATACTTTAAGATCCTGACTAAGTAAGCCTGGAGAGTTATGGTAGGGATAGACCTCGCATGAAAACAAGTGTAAGGTGAATGTGATACCGAGAGAATATCTTGGCTGGAAGACCCCGCTGTATGGTGGTCGTTTTCAGTGGCAATTTTCTCGAGCAAGCAAGTCAATAATTTGACAGTGTCTTTAGTAGGGTGATTAGCCAAGTCAAAACAAACGACCATTAAGAGAGAGAGAAAATTTGTAAAGGCTAACAAGAAAAGGTGTAAGACAAAGAGAAAGAAAAGAGTAGTCAATCCGATAGCGAGAAAAAGAGAAAGAAATAACCAAGGACGTCATCATACAGTCTCTCATCTGTCGGGTGATAAGAATCAAAAAGGACCCTTCCATAATGTTGGTTCAGCATGGTACTGTACCTCCAAAAACATCAAATAACCCCCATAAACCCTCAAAACAAATGTTGTAATTTTCTCTTTTGCCCTACTCATTCAGTGAACTTTAATAAATCTGAGCCTGTCACAGCTCCATACAAACAAAAAAAAAGTACTGTACCTTGTTTTATCAATTTGAAATTAAAATTAGCCTTATAAAAGCCAGATTTATGTGGTCAAAAATATAAATTTGCGATTTTTGATAGAAGAATTAGTAAAATAAGGTAAGTTCTATGAATATGTTAAAGCTACCTTTTATTAAAGGTGCCATCACCTCAACTAATCTTAGCCAACAGTAAAGTGGGCCGTCAAAGTGCAATATCTAATAAAACACGGCATTTTACAAATACAACTCTGGTTACAAAACTAGATAATTTTTCACAGTTTCTTCTGATAGCTAATGTCAATACTAATACTTATAATAATATCACTGTTAATTTAGAATAATCCCATTGGCTTCTTTCATAGTGCTGATCTTTACATTGCTCCGAGAATTCGCGAGAAAAGACGCGCCCCAGAAGAGAAAATAGATGTTGATTCGTGTAACAAAACACATAGCAACAGTTTATTGGCTGTATGGGGTAAAATGGCGTTCTGTGAAGACAGAATGAAAAGGTTCATTATATGAAGACGGAAGACAGATAAATAACGCTCTAAACATATGCCACTCTAATGATGAAGAGCTCTAAATCTAGTTGGTACCAAACAATTCCTTAAAGTAATCACCTAAAAAATAAAGGTAAGATAATGCTCATGCCATTTTAAAGAGTACTTACCTAGTGCAACCATGCACACTGTTTGCCAGATTCCAAGACCAATGCGAGGCACGACACCCTTGAAAAGGCCACGAGCGCCATGTTCAGAGTAGATGTATTTGAATGCCTTTACAATGGTAAGGTTTTTGGGACGTCCGGGTGTCTGAACCTGGCTCTGCATCTCAATACGGATTACTTCGATTGGCTGATTCCAGCACGACAATGCACCACCAGCCACCGAAGCCAGGCCCTTATCCAGAGCAGTAGCCTTCTTGTGGGCATCAGGTCCTTCACCATAGCGCGCTTTGATAATAGCATCTTGGGTATAACGAGTGATACCGAAGCGACTGGCCCAGTTGGTGCACTGGCGTACAGCCACAGCATTTACACCCTTGTTTATTCCCGCAAAGCCCTCCTTCTTAAAAATATCACTGGCGATCTTCAATGTAGACACTTGAGCACCAGCTTTGGAGCGAGTGACTTCAACAGTCTTCATAAAAGTGCAGAAACCCATAGTAGAATATGCTTGGGCAATACCACCTGTCATGCCACCAAAAATACCGGCCTATAACCATAACCCACATTAGAATCCTTTTACTGTCTAGTGTACAAGGAATGTGTTTGGATGTACCATGAACGGAGAAGCACCAGCGGCTCTGGCATAGTACTCAGACTCAGAGGCAGTAAACAAAAGAACTGCACCCTTGGTCGATCCTGATGGAAGTAGAAATAAATACAATTATTTAACACCGCGTGTATTATAACAGCAACAAATAAACCTAAATTTTACTCGACTTTACCTTCAATCCATGCCCAGGGAATCAGCCCTTGATAGAAACCGAATACTCCACCTCTTTGCCAAACAGACTTGATAGCAGTCAAGATAGACTGAGATCTGTTTGCCGCCATTTGAGTCTTGAGAACCTCAAAGGGTTGACCAAGAGATGATACCTCGAATAGGTTCAAGGCTGAATTATATATTTATATATATATATTAGACAACGGATAATATACTCTGTTCTTACTTGACTACTACTTCATACCTGCACCTAGCGCAAGGTTGTTCCAAGAGATAGGCTTCTTGACCAAAGGAGCAGAGGGATCGACAGGACCAGATGTAATAGGGGCCATTGTATAAAGAAAGTGGAGAAAAGAGCAAAAGGTTACAAATTGGCCATCTTCCCCACTCTTGTCCGGGATACAATGTTACGCAACAGTCTTGCTTAAACTGGCCGTATTGGCTCAACCCGAGTGTAACATGTGAAAATAAGGGGGCGAGCGTCCTTAATGATTACCCTAGATATCCTGATCACCCAAAGATTTCATCTCTGGCTATACATCATGTTGGCTGAAACACCTGCATTATCCTTGGGATTATTTTTCATTCAAACTATCACTTCCCCTTAACTTCGTTTTGACTTTAAGCTATAATGACTAATTTTGTATGATTAAGCAATGCTTTACAAACAAGAGAAGGTATTCATATTTAAATAGCGCCCCGGTTGAAATATCCAGAACCCCCCAATCTACGTGCCTCCATTTTTTTGGGGGGTTTTCTAGTGATCTTTCTACACTGGACTGTCTTCTAACCAGTGTCGTCATTGGACACTTGTTTCCAAGTATAGACAAGTATCCATTTTCGCCGTCACATCGCAGTCGGTTTGCTATTGATTGCTTGGTGTATACTCTTTTCGAAGACAAGTTATTATAATTACTCTTCATTTCTCATGGGAGTCCCAGCCTTCTTTAGGTAGAGACGCTAAAACAAAGCCTAAAAATCTACTAATTATTATACAGATGGCTTTCTGATAAGTTTCCCAAAGTCGCAAGTCAAGTAGTTGAAGAACAGGCCAAGATCGTCAATGGCGTAACAATTCCTGTTGATACAACTAAACCAAATCCTAATGGCGAAGAATTTGATAATCTTTACTTGGATATGAATGGTATCATTCATCCTTGCTGTCACCCAGAAGACAAGGTACATTCCTTCGCACCAGGTTGCAATAATCGTCCAATAACACTAGATCTTACATGCGTCAATATATGCATTTGCGATCCTCCTTTTAGCCTGCACCAGAAACAGAGGATGATATGATGATCGATATTTTTGAATATCTTGATCGAATTGTAGACATTGTACGCCCAAGACAAGTGCTTTATATGGCTATTGGTAATATATTTTACCGACGCGTATTAAATTATCACTGAAGAAAAAGAAAGATGCTGACAATATATATTTACATACACACACATATATATATATATATATCCTTATTTAAGATGGTGTGGCACCTCGCGCTAAAATGAACCAGCAGCGTGCTCGCCGCTTCCGTGCTTCACAGTTGGCAGCCATTGAAAGAGCAGCAGCCGAGAAAGTTGCCAATGAATTACGAGGTACTTAATTTTGATCTAAATACTCAATTGATATATAAATGTGGGGCTCAATATAATATTGATAATGTTTAAATTTTTATCTAGCCATTGGACAAGCTCATCAGCTACCTCCTGATAAAAAACACTTTGATTCTAACTGTATTACTCCTGGAACACCCTTTATGGCTCATTTGGCCACTTGCTTACGGTATCATATAGCTGCCAAGCAGAACAGCGATCCTTTGTGGAAAAACGTATGTTAAATAATTATATATACACGGAGAGAGTCGATGTTAAGGTTCCAGAATAACCAAAAAATATATATTTCAATCTACCAATAGCTTAAGGTAGTTCTATCCGATGCCACAGTGCCTGGTGAAGGTGAACACAAGATGATGGAATATATTCGTGCCCAAAGAACTCGGCCTGAACATAACCCCAACACATCTCATGTTATTTATGGTTTGGTAAGATAGTATCTCAAAAATAAGGCAAACAACTAGAATTCCAGACAAGAGCTAAACCAAATTGTGGTCTATTGAAATAAACTTAGGATGCCGATCTTATTATGTTGGCCCTCGGAACTCACGAACCTCATTTCAAAATTCTTCGCGAGGATGTTTTTGTCCAACAAGGCAAGAAGATGACATGTTTTGTCTGTAAGAAGCCAGGACACACCGCCGCCGAATGTAATGGTAAGCATAAAATAATATTCATATAGATTAAACGCTTTTAATAAAATGATTTATATCTTACTTGTAAAGCCAATGCACGTGCTAGCGGTGCCGTCGAACTACCCGAGAAAGAAAAGAAGACAGAACAGAAACCTTATGTGTTTCTTCATGTTAATATATTGAGAGAATATCTTGAACATGCGCTCAAATTTAGTGTACCTGGTGTCAATTGGGATCTCGAGAGAGCTATTGACGATTGGGTGTTCATGTGTTTCTTTGTTGGTAACGATTTCTTACCCCATTTACCATCCCTGGAAATCAGAGAAGGTGCCATTAGCACTTTAAGTCTCCTCTGGAAACAAGTAATGCCTGTAATGGGTGGATATATGACACATAACGGAGAGGTAAGATACTTTTAAAAAAATAGATAAAAATAAAAGAAGAAAAGAATACTTAAATTCATGAAATATATTTTATTTAGGTTGACTTGAAAAGAGTTCAGATTATGGTTCATGAACTTGGAAAGATGGAAGACAGTATTTTTATTGAAAGAAAAGAGAGTGAGTGAGATTTTGAAATAAGCTTAAGCTATTCTGATTCTAACTACGTATAATAGAGGATGAACGACGTGCCAAAGGTGCAAAGCGTAGAAAATTAGAAGGCGAAAGACGTAGAGAAGAGGAAGCTCGGTTTGCTAGAGGCCCCAATTTTGGGGAAATGACAGCTGTGCCTGTCAATAATCCAAATTCTGGAATGTCAAACAGTGATGTTGTTGCAAACCGTGCAGACATTCGCATGGCAAACCAAAATGCTTCTGCTGCTGCCGCCCTTCGTGCACAACTTTTGGGAACACCTGTCAGTAATGAGACAGTTGAAACACCCACTACTTTAGATACTCCTGTTGAATCGGATGATAAAACAACTGATACTGAAATTGCAAATGATGCTGAAAGAGGCATAAAGCGAAAGGCAGATGAAGTTGAGGGTGCAGAAGCTACTATTGAAGATACAATATTAGATATTGATGAAGATATTGACGACGGACCTGCGAATGCTGAAGAAACCGACCTTGAAGCCGTTGGAAAGGCTATTTTGGAAAAGGTTGCTTCTGACAAAAAGGCAGCAGAGGACGCAGCCCGAGAGAGAGAACCCGATGATGCCGTGCGGTAAGTGTATTGTTATTATTATTATTATTATTATTATTATTATTATTATTATTATTATTATTATTATTATTCTTTTTTTTTAAAGAAAAGGCCTAAATGACGGTCAAGGGTTGTTTTGTACTGTATGACTTATCTTTTATTTATATAAAGTCTGTGGGAAACTGGATGGAAAGAACGATACTATAACCTCAAGTTTGGTATTCAAGCAGATGATCACGAAGCTATTCAAGAGTAAGTGACTTTAGTAATAAGAGGTCTATTGTCTTTGACTAATATGAGTCAATTTAAGCATTGTAAAGTCTTATTGCGAGGGTCTTTGTTGGGTATTCAAATACTACTACAAGGTAAATACATATATGCAAGGCAGTTTGTACACATGAAAAGTATACTTAATATAATATACTATATGTATATGTATTTATATATAATTAGGGCTGTGTATCATGGTCTTGGTACTATCCCTATCACTATGCTCCTATGGCATCAAGTTTCGGAAATATGGACACTTTTGATATCAAGTTTGAATTAAGTGCACCTCTTAAACCGTTCGAACAACTTATGGGTGTCCTTCCAGCAGCCAGGTAATATAAAATATGTTCAAGGTCTATAAAACCAATTTTCTAAACATATTTGAATTTATTTCTTTAGTCGAGATCATATCCCTACTGCCTTTCATTCATTGATGACTGACGAAAGATCACCTATAATTGACTTTTATCCAACTGATTTTGAAGTTGATATGGATGGGAAAAAATGGGAATGGCAGGGTGTAGTAAAACTTCCATTCATTGACACCGGACGCTTAATCGATGCTATGAACACAGTATATGATCAAATATCAGACGAAGAGAGACATCGTAATTCTGAAGGTCCCTCCATTTTGTTTGTTGCTGAGTCTCACAAACTATACGACTATATCAGTACTGTGTACGCGATAAGAACTACTACCGAGCCCCTTAAGCTCGACGCTCGTCTGAGTGACGGGATGACAGGTTCAGTAGATAAAGACCCCGAATGTATTCCACGTAGCACTTTACGTAGTCCATTGCCGGAGCATAATCTTGGAGATATTGCTAATGATAAGTCCATCAGGTAACTAAAATCGTTTTTTTTACTCCAACATCTATGCAAATATAAATATAATAGTTAAACTAACCCTTTCTTCCACAAGTGTTATATATATACTTCCTGAAATTCCATCAGATTATGTGTTTGTCACTCATTTGTTACGAGGCATTAAATTGGACAAACCTGCGTTAACCTTTGAAGATATTCAGCAAGCCACTTTTGAAAAAACTGATACACACCGTGGAGGGTATAATAAGCGTAGCTGGACTCCTCAGATACAACATCTTGAAGAATACCGTGAACAGTAAGTCTATCATTTCCATTTCTGAATCAATGAACGTACATTAAGTTTTTCTTCTTCTGTTAATCTAACCATGACTATAATGACGTTTGTAGTAATACCATCCGTCATAGCAATCGTGGTCGTGGTAGAGGTGGTTATGGTGGAGGAGGTTATGAAGATGGTGCACGCTACCCTATTGATCCATTCTATAACCATGGGAATCAAGGAGGTGGTCGTGGCGGTCGTGGTGGCGGTCGTGGCGGCTACCAAGGCGGCTACCAAGACCATTACGCGCAAGGACCTCCTGCACAACAGCAGTGGGGCTACGGCGGAGGTGGTTATAACCAAGGTTATGGCGGCGGTGTAGGAAACCATGATGCTTACGGCTATAATAGTGGAAGGGGTCACTATCGAGGTGGTGGAAACCAAGGCTATTACAATCAGCAGGGAAATCGTGGAGGTTACCAGAATAACCAAGGTTACGGCGGTAATGGAGGCTATAGAGGTGGAGGAGGGCCTGGAATGGGCCGTGGAGGAGGAAGAGGAGGAAGAGGGGGATACAATGGTAATAATCGTGGCCAAAGTAACTTTTATCCATACTAGTTTTATATTGTAGTAATTGTAATGTATAGTATATTTTATTTATACGTACACACACACACACACACACACACACACGCACACTCGCACACATATGCATACACACATCCATATTAAGACCAACAAGAACAATTCAACACACGCACATATATATGAATATGTATATGTATACATGCATTCGCATATTTCAAAAATATTTTTATTTGCCTACAAAACTATCACATCGTACCTCTCATATATGGTCGTCTCTGATATACTGTTGAAACAGGCATTGCAAATTGAGATGGTATTCTCCAAGTGTGCATGGGATGCCCAACCAAAGGGAGTGTGTACATTTGTGGAGGCCAAGACTGATGTTTTGAGTAGTTATGTGTTAAATAGCGATAGTCTAAAGGGTGCTGTATAAATGAATGAAAAGGGTATTCTGTGTGACGAGGGGACATAATATGAGTTGGTTGAAGAGGGTGTATAGGGTAGCCAGAAATAGTAGAAGGTCGCGAAGGAAGATAGCCGGTCGACATCTTGTATGATCGTGGCTGTTCGTGTCTTATCCTAGGTTGTGGCATTGGCATTGGCATTGGCATTGGCATTGGCATTGAAAATGGCGGGTCATAGTTGCGCTGTTTCGGAAGTTGATTTTCTTTTGGTGCTGCGGGTTGTAATACAGGCGACTGTGGTTCATATTGGTTTTTGGATTGATGTCGAGATAAAGGATTCCTCTGTGGTGTTGTTAGTGGTCGTGACCGATGACTTTCAAAAGGTGTGCGTATAGGTGGTATCCATGAAGATGTTTGCCTAGTGCTTGTGTTAGGATTTGTCCTTGAAAAAGAGTATTCCTCGTCTTCGTCATCAGAGTCCTCGTCGTTGTTTCCGTCATAGTAGGTTTGTTGTGAGTTGAATTGTGTTTCTTGAGGAGAACCCTGGTAATTCTGGCGAGCATAAGGTGTATAAATCGGTCTGGGAGGAATATCTTCTGTGACAAAATCTTGTTGCAGTTGCTCTATTGGGTTCCCACCCTGATATAAGTTTCCGGAAAGATAGTCTGCCGGCTGTACTGGCCGGTTATCATTCCAATCTGGTAGATGTCTTTTAGGATATTCACTGGATTTGGACCGAACACGCCTTTGAATAGGAGGAGTATGAACAAAACCAGCACTAGACTTTCTACGCCATCTTCCACGTTCATGCATTTGGTTTTGAGGGTGCAATATTTGTTCTGGATAAGGGTTGATGCTTTCTATTCTACATTCGGCCAAGACATGTTCTAGTTGGGCTTGCGTGTACTGTATCTGCTTAAGCATCGACTGTTCCCGTCTCTGATGCTCGATCTCGATCACTTTCCATTCTTGTCGCTCTATTTCCCGCTGCTGTTCCATCTGAGAGACTTGATATCGAAGTGCTTCTAAATCCATTCAAGTTGGATATTATAAGGATATATAAATATAGGGGTAGTCTCTTTTTTTTAAAAAAAATAAAGAAAAACTTTTGGGAGAGCAAGCGAATAGGAAAGAAAAGACAGAACCAAAACAATGGTGAAAGAAAGGAAATCAACTCTGGGGGAATATTCTAGGTATTTTGTATAGGTCTTGTGAAAGAGTGGTTACACTAATATTGACCAAAATGACCAAAAAATATATATACCAGTTGTAGGACAACGTAAAAGCATAAAATGGGTGCTTACAGTTGAAGAAAATAGGTTGACCCATTTCAAAAAAAAATAATAAAATAAACAAGTAACATGGATCAATATCTCACTATGCCTTTTCATCATCGCCCCGGAACAGATCTTATACCTAAACTCATTCTATTAGAGAATTCTATAATCAACACAATAGAATCCACTTTAATAGTCCAGGACTTAAAAACATAAAGAACGTGAAAAAGAAAAGAAAGCTGAAGTGGCATCAATAATATTTGTACGTGACAAATCAAAAGATTAAAGCAATCCTTAACCAACAGAATGACCAACTCGAACAGAATCTGACGTGATGTACTTGTCAAATCCCAAAGAAAATCCACCAATATCAATGGGAATACAATATACGGTAGTTAATGATTTTTTTGCTTCGTTTGATTTCATGTAGTATATCAGCTATCTGACTTCACAGCACCCTGCCTCTTATCATTATTATCTTTGCCGTTTCATCAATACTATATAAGGTGAAAAAACGGACAACAATAAACAAGGGCCATCGTTTTCTATTGCAATGCCTATGTCAACCTTGGGCTCAACAGTATTGTTTTATCAGTGAAGATAGCATCACATTCAGCATGAAACGGCCACTCATTCCTTTTGTTGCGTTGTCCATGTTTCTGACTAGTCAACAACCATATTCGTTAAACAATCTATATATTGGTTATATCACAGTGCAACAACTCGATCTTGAAAAATAAATTTTCCAAGTTTAAGTTTTAAAACAGGAAGATGTTTATGATTATTTGAATGACATATGCAGTGCAACAGAGGCTTCCATACAACAGTAACTGTTGAGCATTGGTCAAGATGTTGTAAATCTACAAGAAAAGTCCCAAATGGAAAGTATTTATCAAGACATACTATTAAAGGCTAATATCTACGAAAAAAATAAATAAAAGAAATACGGAGGATCACCGAAATAGTGGCCAACAACTCCCTCAGAGCCACAAATTAGTCAATTATTATCTTTGCATGTGCCCATATCTAAACAATAGCAACATGATCCCACACCAAGCAGCAGTAACTGGAACTATCTCAATATCATTCTTTCTCACGATAAGGACGTATAATAGAAGACAATATAACCAAAGAAAAAGATATAGTTATTTTGAAAATTATTCAAATTGGTCTAGCATGAAACTTGCATATCATAGGTGGAAAAAATAAGCATTAAAGAAAGCTTACTTTTTAGTGTTCGATATGAAGTTTACGGAGTTATAAAGCATAAGTAAAAGGCGAAATCTGTAACCAATGTTCAAAGATGTGGGGTTTCTTAACAAGTTTAACACCTTTAGCTCGTTTTTTAAAATATACATCCCTCGCATTTTTGTAACAGCTGTCGAAGTTTCTTTGTGGCCCAACCTATTTCTTTCATCTGTAAGCCAGAGAAAAGGTTTTACAGAGTATCTAAAATAACTCATGTGCATTATTCATTGAGTTGATTATCGGGTTATTTTTAATTAAACTGTCAAATTTACATTAGAGAAAAGGCCAGCTTTTCCATATGCTTCAAACGATAATTCTACCTTGTTCATAAAATATAACACGACCACAACATTTTTTTATAGTCAACATTTTGTATCTTTACGCATTTGTCTTTTTTGTTATTTTTAGACGAGAGTAATTACAGTATTTTCTAAAATGACATAAAATAAAATCAACAGTGCAATTTACTGGCCGCCCATCTCCTTGGCGAGCTCCTCGGAACGCTTGATGACATCGTTGATATCACCCTGCATGTAGAAAGCTGTTTCGGGAAGACCATCGTGCTTGCCGTCCAAGATTTCCTTGAAGGAGCGGATGGTATCCTGGAGAGGGACAAGACGACCCTCGTAACCAGTGAAGACCTGGGCAACAGCGAAAGGCTGGGACAAGAAACGCTGGATCTTACGGGCACGCTCGACAACGAGCTTATCCTCCTCAGACAACTCATCCATACCAAGAATGGCAATGATATCCTGGAGAGATTTGTAGTTCTGGAGGATCTGCTGGACCTGGGTGGCGACCTTGTAGTGCTCGTCACCGACAATACGGGGATCCAAGATACGGGACTTGGAATCAAGGGGATCGACAGCGGGGTAGATACCCAACTCAGCAATGGAACGAGACAACACAGTGGTGGCATCCAAGTGAGCAAAAGTGGTAGCGGGGGCGGGATCGGTCAAATCATCAGCGGGCACGTAAACGGCCTGAACAGAGGTAATGGAACCGTTCTTGGTGGTGGTAATACGCTCCTGCATACCACCCATATCGGTGGAAAGAGTGGGCTGGTAACCGACGGCAGAGGGAATACGACCCAAAAGGGCAGACACCTCAGAACCGGCCTGAGTGAAACGGAAAATGTTGTCAATGAAGAGCAACACATCCTGACCTTCGTCATCACGGAAGTACTCGGCAATGGTCAAACCAGTAAGAGCAACACGAGCACGGGCTCCTGGGGGCTCGTTCATCTGACCGAAGACGAGAGCACACTTGGACTCACCCTCGAGCTTGATGACACCAGTCTCCATCATCTCGTGGTAAAGATCGTTACCCTCACGAGTACGCTCACCGACACCGCAGAAGATGGAGTAACCACCGTGGGCCTTGGCGATGTTGTTGATCAATTCCTGAATCAACACAGTCTTACCGACACCAGCACCTCCGAAAAGACCAATCTTACCACCACGGGCATAAGGAGCCAAGAGATCGACGACCTTGATACCAGTCTCGAGAATCTCGGGGGTGGGGGATTGGTCAACGAACTCGGGAGCCTCAGCGTGAATGGGACGGGAAGACTTGGCGTTGATGGGACCGCGCTCATCGATGGGCTCACCAATAACGTTGATGATACGACCAAGGACCTCCTTACCGACGGGAATGGTAATGGGGGCACCGGTATCGATGACCTTCTGGCCACGGACGAGACCTAGCCATTATAATGTTAAAAAAAACGGAAGCGAAAAATGTAACAGCAAGCTCTTATTTTTTGTGTTTCTCTTACCTTCAGTACCGTCCATAGCAATGGTACGGACAGTGTTCTCACCCAAGTGCTGGGAGACTTCAAGGACAAGACGTCCACCAGTGTGGTCCTGAACCTCAAGAGCGTTCAAAATAGCGGGAAGGTTGTCCTGCTCGAACTGAACATCGACAACGGCACCAATGACAGAGCTGTAGAAACATTACATTTAGTAATCCGTTTTTGGAAATGAAGTTCTTGTTGGTTTTTTTTTTGGAAAAATAAATATATTAAGATCTAAAAAAAAATATTATGAAACAATTCATACCGAATCTGACCGGGAGCAGCAGCCTCAGTGGCATAGGCGCGGGCTGGTAAAGAATAAACACGTTAATCGAATTGTTCAAATGTGGATGCCATAACTGGACTTACCCTTGACAGCGGCAGGCTTAATGGCAGCCTTAGCAAGGAAGGCAGCATTGGCTCTCTGAGCGCGAAGGGCGTTCTGGGAAGCCGTTCCAAGGACACGTGTAAAGTGCATCGTAACTGTGATTCTCTCGACGAGGTGAGATGCGAAGAGGGGAAGAACTAGGGGGGGTTCGTTATTTGCGCCTACCTTGAAAATTTTCGCAAAAGCCCCGCTTGCAGGGGTTGTGATGGCCGCACTCAATTTGCTATACACACCCCGTCCTCCCATTGGCAATCACGGTTGCAAATAATAAATGACGTAGACATTGTCGTCCCCTTCCCTCTCAGTTACCTGTCACGGTGACTGCAAGAAGAAAAAGCGAACACGCAGTAGTTATGCCTTTACAGAATATATATCAAAATTCAATTAGGTACGATATGCATAATATATATATATATATTTGTAGAATACGGGCTTAAGGTGATATGTTTGTGTATTAGCTTTAACATATTATAAACTAAAAAGTGGGGCTCATAGATTTCCTACTTGTACTATGATCTATTTTCAAGGACAAAAAAAAATTGAAATTAAAGGTCGAATTTATCTAAAGCTGGAAGTTTAAACGCTGTAATTGAGCTTCTATAATTATCAGATTAAATAGGTACATAAAGATTTTATAAGTGTGTCTTTCTTTAAGCCAAATTACATACTGAAGATGGCTACATATACAAAAATCGGATTTTTTGTTCATTGCTATCAAGTGTCTTCAAAAAATGAGTATTCTAACAGACGTAAAAATTCAGATATATTGGAAAGGGATATCAACATTTCTTTTATCAGATCTTAAACCTTGCAAATATATGATAAACACTATTTGCTGTTAATGTATTTCAATAAATGAATAATTAAAAGCCATTAAGCCATGCTTCTTTCTAGTTCTTTCACTTTGAAGATAGAGAAATGGGCATCAAAATTTTGAATAGTAAATATAAATTAATAAATTACTGATACATATACATATACATATATTAGATTCCAAGATATTTCTTTTTAGTATAAAGACTTACTATGAGTTCTCCAATATCAAATACACATATTATATACTTCATACACTAGAGGTTTTATGTACTTTTAATGAATAATCCCTGATTCTATTAGAGGACACTGCTTCAAAAATTACTTAAACTATTGTTTTTTAAGATGGCGTAAAAAATTAACAAGTCTGCTTATATCTGTGCCTGTGTCTGCGTTTTAGTTTTTACGAATTCATTCGTTTCAATTTCTAAAAGGTAACTATAGGCTGTTCTCCGGTTGCTCTTGGTCTTCCGTTGAGGAATTCAACTGCGGCTTTCTCTATGTTAATATCGAGGTAAATAATTTCCCCTAATGACCTGTGTGTGTGGAGGTCAAAAACAGTTGTGGATGCTCCATGCTGGAGTAAAAGTTCGGCCATAGGAAAAATAAGATTTCTACTTGATGATCCGGAAGCTTCTGCGTGACGACCATATAACAAGGCTTTGTGCAAAGGATGGTACGACTCACAACATTCTGGTGGGGTTCTTTGATCTACAGCCAACCCTATACCTTGGGATGTCCTCGACGCAGAAAGTGAATCTGGCGTACTATACCAAGCTGTGTTAAAGTCAACTCCACGCGATATTGCCCGCAACGCAGCAGGAATGTCATCCATATCTATAGCATTCATAAGTTCTTGATTTGGAGAACTGCCCGCACTGCAAATATAAGCCTTTGCTGTATATTTGTCTTGGATGTATCTGGATTTTTCTTCGTACGTAGAAAATGGTCTGGGTCTTACGATTGAATTGCTTGAAAGATTTTCAGCCGGACGCTCGTGTGGAGCTATATGCTGCAAAGGATCCCATATATTGTTTGAAATATCATTTCCAACAGATATTATAAGTTCTTCGATGTCTGGTGTATAAAGATTAAGATCCGTTATTAATGAGATAACTCCTTCACTATTAATTCTCTTGTGAATTATAGAACAAACTAAGAAAAAAAGAGTGTTACGACATTATACATATTTCAGCGACTTAATCAATTACTTACCGTTGCAAACAATAATTCCAAGGTTTACACAGCAATTAGTGGGATCATCGAAACCACATTCTGCACATCTTTTATTTGAAAGATCGCGACGCAGAATTTCTAAACTGGGCGTGGTTATTCTCATTTTCTGTGGAGCGGAAGCAGGAGCGGAAGCAGGAGCAGGAGCATGGTTTGTATCATAGGCCAGTCTTGGTGTAGAAATCCGCTTTATACAGCTCCCTAAAAGGTTTCTAAAGTATTCCAGTGGTCTATGGGATGGTCGAGTCGCTATGGTAGATGAACTAGTTTCATTATTGTGTTGAATAGAGTTATGTAAATCCTCTGTGGCTCTAGAATTCGGAAAAATTGCACTAAAGATACTTTTGAAATAGGATGAAATATTCCTCTTTGATGGTTTGTTAAATAGGCTCTTGATCTTGGATTCTTGCTCTGGATTGTCTGCCAGCTGATGTCTTGACTGGCCGTTGCTTGTCGAGGGTTGATTACCTAGGCTGATTTCTTCTATTGAATTGCGGATACATGCCACCCATTTTTTTCTATCCTCGTCGGTGAGGGCTTGATAAACTCGTCGCATATGCGGTGTGATCACTTCAAAGCAAAATTTTCTATCCACATCATCTATCTGATGCACATTGGCATTAAATAAAGATATTGGACTCATGTGGAGTCGAGGAAGTGTTTTCCAATCTCGAAATTCACTGATCTGATTTTCGTCAAGAACACACCAGTATCTTTTACCATAAAAGTATAAGTTAAGGATTTTTGACAAGAGAAATCTGATTATCAAATGTTTACTTACTTGTGCCAAGTACCACGAGACTTGAGAGCTGGGTCATCTGAATTATTAGGCTTGGATGTAGAATATAAAATACCCTCCATTGTCTTTCCAGACCTAAGTAAAAGATCCCGGTCTTCTTCTTCGTCTACGCCCCAATAACCAAGTACAATAGTCAACATTTGGTCTTTGTTTTGTTTAAAAGGCTCTTTATATATGCCTTTTTATTATTATCTTTGCTTACTTGTTGCTAAATTTTCTTCTAAAGATGATACATTTGCGGAAGAAGACTGTCCTCCAATTACTGAATTCATCATATTCCGAACATGCCTATTGTGAGAAGAGTACACAGGATTTCTTATTCGAATATGTTCTTCGTCAAGAACCGTCTGTATTATCGAGTCTTCTTTCACCGCCATCTCAATCGCGCTTAGTTCGTCAATACCCGGGACTTTGCCTTTTGTTACAAGATCGAAGAATTCGGAATTCTTGTGTTGCTCGCTTGCCAGATTAAAGAGAATCTTGTTTTCTTTTATACCTCTATGTAAGTTTTGGAGATAATTGAAATAGTCAAAACGGACCATATCGAATTTGCTTTTCCGCGCAATATTTTTTGATCCTTTCTCAACATGCCCTTTATTTTTCAAAAGGTCTTCTTTTTTAATGGATAGATATTTTGCTGTATATCTATAATACTCAGTACTAGCTGCTTGAAAGTCGCGTTTCTTGATATCAGTATCCTTTACAACAATGTCATAATGCTTTTGTAGCTCATTGAGAATGTGGGTTTTGATGCCTTTTTGAAGTCTGATGTTTTGTTCATGAAAGATAGACCATGTACGGTCCACATAGTCTAGTAAAACCGGGATTGTGGAAGGTATTCTTTGGAGGACAGACCGCAACTTGATTTCATTAGACATGTGAGCTTCAAGAGTAGTTAAGAATACTTTGGCAATTTTGAGGGTACTCTTTGTGCTTGCTTTCATTTTGACAGTCTTTTCTTCGAGTTCGGCTATTTGCGCTCTAAAAACTGGGCCATCGACCAAATACCCATCATTGAAGGATGTGCTAGGTCTCAGAATCTCCTCGTTTTCTTGAGACCTGTTTATTAAAAATACCTCTTGCTCAGGTTCTTCTGGTAAAGCGGATGTATTAAGATCTTTAGGTTCTGATGAGATCGTGCTGGTGGATGGATCTGAATTCTCGGTGTCCGAATTGAATCCAGCTCGGGCTACATTTGATACATCTGTGGAGGATCCACCGATTAATGAATCTCTTTCTGCGGTGTATGAGCTAAAACTGTTTTCTGTGATAGTGTCTGGATCTATCCCATTCGCAATATATATGGATTTTATGAATTTATCTACGGCCTCGAGATCTTCCATGTCGTCTTCTGATTGAATTTCAATATCATTATTTAGAGGCCATTTCCCTTTCTCAGCTCTTGACTTTCGTAGACGTTCTAGCCGTTCACTTCCTCTATTGGCCATTGAATGTAAAATGGTAGAAAGAGATGTGATTCTGAATATTATACTTGGTGTTTTGTCTTTACTCTGGTACTTTTATTTATACCCTGGGGTTGACCAAGACCAACACACCTTTTCTTTTTTAGAAAAAAAAAGAATAATGATAGGAATGATAATGAGGAGCTGAAAACACACTTACTATAATAATGAAGGCTCCATTATTTTAAATAGACTGTAAACTTATTTGAGTGAGATAGACTTTGATTAAAATATTTAAGAAAAAAATCGTAAATACAAAGACTTTTTGCTTCGTTTTGTTTTTAGTGTAATGTCTCTTTGACTTTCAGACGACAACCTAAAATACCAGTACAATTTTCCTTGTTTCGTAAATCCCTAATTTAATGCGTACATCTGTGCTCATTATATGAAAAATATACAAAGACACGTTAACTTATGAAAATAGCTTTTATACTATTAAGATCCGCTTGTTCTCACACTAATTCAACATCTAAGCACGCAATGTACTTTTAGAATCCAAACGTCTAAATACTATAGCAAACGATTTTTTTTTTGAAAATAATACAAAAATGGAGTTTTTTATAAAGTAAAATAAAAATTGCCGCAGATAAAGTTTCTTGGAATAGTTTAATACATAGATACACACATATATATAAGACTAGAGAAAATACCTACTATGTATATATCAGAAAGAAAGAGAAGACATACACAAGATTAAATACCATGGTTACATGTGGCGCCTTTTAAATCTAAAGAAATAATAAACACAAAAGCGGGACAACACCCAAGCAAAATAACGTAAAAAAACTAGATAATAATTTAAATATCTTAATACTGATATTAAAAGATACAATTGCTTTTATCTGCTTTCATATTTTCCAGAGTTCAATTCAATTTAAAGGTTCTGGTGCACTGCTAAAGTAATAATTCTCTAAATTCATGTGTTTATTATAAGATTGAATATATGTTTCAAACAGAAGGAATTAATACTAAAGACATACTTGATATTCACTCATACTACTAGCAATAGAAATACAGGCAAATAAACATATTACTTTTTTTATGTGAGGCAATTAATTACGTTTAGACGATAATGTATTATTCTTGTTATAGGAATAAAAGATATAATGGTGATATACAACCTTTATTTAAAAACAATGAAATAATCCAAAGGTCCTGTTTTAAAAGGCAAATAAAATATGACATTGTCTATATAGTGAAACACGACTTCTTGTCCAGCCTTTACTGCTGTGAATGATCTATCTCACCGATTATAGTACTTCTAGAAATATTTATGCAATATAATTACAATTTTTCTATTATATAAAAATCATCTTAACACATATCTAATATCAGGAAGCAACTTAGTATACTTCAATTGACAAGAGCAGATTTCTATATAATGACTCTAAAGGTTAAATACTACCAGCTTATGACATGGTTTAAATAATTTGGGTATTCAAACAAGTGAGCAAGTCTATCAGAATTGGATAAAATAAAAAATAAAAACTGCATCAAATTAAGCGATCTACAGCCTGTTTTTACTAATTTTGTGTACTTTAATTCCTATCAGTATATATTAGCCAAACGTTATGTATTAGTTGCTTTCTATATTATTGCTCTTGTTAAAGAAGAAGAAGAAGAGATAAAATCAGTGGGGATCCTAATTTCTCTTTCAAACAAATAGAGTTTTTGGCTGGTTGTTATTTAATTTCTGAACAAATATAAGGCGAGCTAAAGCATATTATACTTATAGTACAATACTTATATATTTTCTTGAATATGAATGTATGCTTCATATATGTAGGAAAAGGGGGTACTAACAAGTATCTATGTATATCTAGAACTGGAAAACAATTAGTGAAAATACAACAGCAATTAAATTTAATACTGATCTATTGTGTTCTCATCAAAATTAGCTAGTGTGCATTAGGATTAGTGAGAGTTATATTCCCACCCCAAGGTAAAAGACAGTCATGCCTCCCCCCCCCCCCCCCCCCCCCCTTCTCCTAAGAACTCGAGATCAATGCTCCAAAAAAGGTTTTGGCATATCCATTGAACATCTCTCTATATTTTTTTTCACAGTAATGGCTGTGAACTTTAATCTTATTTAGCTTCCATTATGATAATTTATATGTATGTATATTCTTAATTGAGAGCTAAGTGGTTAATATAAAGATGAATTTAAAAGGAAGTAAAAATATTAAAAATTGTTTATTTTCTATAGAAAAATAAAAATAAAAGCTTATATTTGATAGTATGTTAACAGTGTGCTCAAACACCTGTATTTATGTGGCTTTAATCTCTTTCTCTGCAAATTAGCGAATATATTTATGTCTTTGATGTGTATGTGCAAACATGTGTGTGTGTGTTTTTTTCATTAAATTGGAACAACAGCAACAATAGCACATGTAAATATTATATATATATTGTGTAATATAGAATGTATGATGTATGATGTATAGTGTGAAATATAAAATATAAAATGTAACATGTATAATATGTAATGTGTAATATGTAAGGTGTAATGATTATTATTATTATTATTATTATTATTATTAATAATAATATTAAAATCCAATGATTTGTAAGAATAAAATTGATTAATTACAATGTAAATAAGAAGTGTAAAAAGCAGATGTTGCAATTATAAAGAAGCACAAAATGATATAAGGAGTTTGATATAAAGAGAAACAGTATTTACTTGTATGTGGCATCAATGAATGAGTGACTTGGAATAATAGGCATACTTGCACGGAATATTTGAGGTTGTCCACGCGCTGCATTCTTCAGGTTTAGGTAGGCAATTGCATCATCCTCGACAATACTGCCAAGTCCAACGATGCTAGCAAGAGTGTTTCCTGTTTCAGGGTCAATTATACCAGCATCAGCACCATTTTGAAGCAAGAATTCAGCCATGGGGAATAGCCGATTTCTATCCGTCATTACTGAAGGCAAAGTCCGTCGCCCATACAACAAAGCATAATGAAGTGGATAACGCACAGTCGGGTCATCAATTTTATCACGGCCAGTAGTATTCGTAGCACACAAATTATTACCAGAAGAAAGAACAATAGTTGGAAGGGGTATAGAGTCTTGGCTATTTCGAGAATTCTGGCTACCATCTTCATCGCTACTCGAACTGCGTGCAGAGGTAAATGGCCACGAACGGTTGAGATCTATTCCAAGAGCCACAGCATATAATGCAGCCGGAATATCGTCATTGTCGATAGCATCGAACAAAAGGGTATTGAGGTCTTTGTGGGTGTGGTACACAAATGCCTTTTCGACATATTTTTGCTGAATGTACTTTAACTTGAAATCGCGTGTGTCGCCTGGAACCGGTCGCCTTAGTTCATCAACTTCGTCTGTGGTCAAGCAATCATCATCGTTTGTGGTCAAGCACCGTTTGGGATCCCAGACGGCATTTGACCGTGCATTGCCGATAGACCGCAATAGTTCAACTATATCAGGTGTATATGAAGCGCTATCAAGTGTGAGAGATCGTACTTTGGATATGTGGGTCCCTAGGCTTCGGTGAATCCCAGAGCATTCTATACATAACAAGATGCCGAGGTTGAGCGAGCACCACTCTGGATTCCGTTCGCCACAGTCTGCGCAGAGAACATTTGATCGGTCTTCTCTCAGTGTGGTCAATAATTTTGTGTTAACGGTAGCATCAGGGCTTGGCGAGAATTCATATTGGCCGACTGCCCCAGAGTTCTTGGCAATATGACCATGGCCAGCACTACCATTACTATTACTAGTAAAGCTAAAACCAGACCATCTCGAACGCTCTTGATGGGTAGGAGCCGCAAGAGATTCTCCACCGTCACTAGAGAATCCACTCTCTTGTTGTTGTTGTTGTTGTTGTTGCTGTTGTTGTTGCTGCTGCTGTTGCTGCTGTTGCTGCTGTTGCTGCTGGCCCTTCTTTGAATATATATCTTTACCCGCTAGCCCACGGCGGATTGCTTTGCTAAGAGACCGACTATGCCCCTTCTTTGGTGATTGGTCGTTATTGGTCTCTTCCTCCTTGATCAAGTGGTCTGTTTATGAAGATTAATATAAATAAATGAATACATGTATTCTTTGGTTGTGAGCATTGTATAGTTGTCAGAAGAAGAAAAGTGAGTGTACCTTTTATAAGGTTAACAGAACTTCCGGTACCGTTTAAAAGACTTTCGATTGCATTACGGATGGTAGCCATCCAACTCATCATCTCTTCTTGAGAAATGGCCTGATACATGCGCCGAAAATAGGGTGTAATGATCTCAAAACAGAATTGTCTATCTGCATTGCACGCCTGGCGTACGGTGGCATAGCGTAAAGGAATAGGATCAATGTGAGATTCGACATGTCTTTTCCAATTACTGTATTCGTGTAATTGGCCACCACTCAAAACACACCAATACCTAACATAAAGAGATATATATATATTGATCATTAGAGATAAATTCTTGTGAGTTACAGGTGTGGCTTACTTGTGCCAAGTGACATTTGACCCTTTTTCAAATGCTGTTCCTTTGGATGGTTTTGAGGTTGAGAATAGCACACCTTCCTTTCTGCGACCACAGGCCCACAACATATTCCGGTCCTGGTTTTCCAGATCGTGGATACCTTTAAACCTGTTTTCAGCCGAGCCTGCTGATTGAGAAGGTTCGGGCAGACCAGGGTCGGTTGATATGGGATTTTCTTCCACATCACTTACATTTGCACTTGTCCTGAGTGAGGTTCTTTTGAGCTGTGCCTGCTCCTTTATGTATTCTGTCTTGAGCATATCTTTTACATGTTGGTTGTGACGGGTGAGCATAGTGCGTCTTTTTTCACTCCGTTCTTTATAAAACGTGTCTTGTTCGCGTGCAGCTTCTTCCATTAGGGTGGCTACATTATCAAGTGCTTCTTTGTGTGGAATAACTCCCGAAGAGATGAACTGGTAGAAGGAAGACTCTTCTTGTTGGTTCCGTACAAGATTAAACAGCATTTCTTGTTCTTTTTTACCCCCGTGAAGATCAACAAGGAAGTTGTAGTAATCGAATCGGATCAGATCGAAAGCACTTTGGCGAGCAATGTGTTTTTGCTCTCGCTCGGTACGTTTCTTGTCTTTGGACAGCGTTTCTGGTTTAATGCTGAGATATTTTGCGAGATAACTGTAATAGTCTTTGCTGGCTTCTTCAAATCGACGTCTTTTGTATTCGGCGGTCTTGATCTCGTAATCATATCGTTTTTGGAGAGGATCGAGGATTATGTCTCGCATGCTTTGTTGGAGACGAAGACGCTGTTCATACAATATCGCCCAGGTGCGGTCCATATATTCAGTGAGAGGTGGTGTGGCGGAAGGGATATCACGGAGAGCGTCAAGGAAATTTGTGTCTGCATCCATAAGAGCCTGTTGTGCTTCGACGGACGCTACAGCGGTCTTGAGAATGCGTTTAGTACTTGCTTTGAGAGCACTAGTTTTATTTTCGAGCTGTTTGATTGTCGCACGAAAAAGAGGGCCATCCTCGAGATCTTGATCATCTGCGCATGTTCTGGTGGTAGAGATGGGTTGGGGTGAATCTTCGTTGAATGCAGGTCCTGGAATGGTCTGCAATGGCCTCGTTTCCAGATCTGCCATGATGATGGTCAAAAAGGAGGAAGAGGAGAATATATACGGGAAAGAGAAAGGGAGAAAAGGGCGATATATTCACACACACACACATATATATATATATATATATTAATATCATTTTCTGGTATGTTTTTATTTTTAATACTAATATATATATATTATATTATATTATATGTATATTTATTTATAAATCCTATTTCATTATTAATACAGAAAATGGTGCTTTAACTTTAGTATATTTTTGTATGTATATATAAAATATGCATATGTATATTGTAGAGTGTAATAACCTAAATGATAGCTATACCCGTCTATACTACTTCTTTAATACCATTTTTTCTTTATTGCTTTATTTGCTTATTGTTCAGTCATATTATAAGTTTTTTGGAACACAAATCTTATTTCATAGAACGTGGATTTAATTTAAAAGTGCACAAAAATCATCAAAAAGTATCCAATAACATGGATTGTGAACACAAGAATAAATAAAAAAGGAAACAAAGAAAGCAAGTTTTTATAGAATGATGAATGTTATGTGTATGTTGAGTTGATAAGCGTAAAATGTCTACAAGTTATTGTACCTCGGATATTTATACACACATAAATAGGCATATTATATACATATATATTGTGTGTATAATCAATTAGTTAAATAAATACAAAAAAAAAGAAGAAGAAGAAAGCTACAGGTTCGAAGAGATGTTTTCCTTGATCAAGTTGAGAGCGCTTCCTTTCTTGAACCATTGGATCTGGTCGTGACTCATTGTGTGCTTGGCATCAATGCTGAATTTGGTACCGTCTTCCTTGGTCACAATAAGCTGTACAGGCTTCTCGGGTGCAATACCTGCTACACCTACGGTTTCAATCACATCACCACCAGAAACCTTTTCCCAATCGGCCTCATTAGCAAAGGTGAGAGGTAGGACACCTTGCTTCTTGAGGTTAGTTTCGTGAATACGAGCAAACGAACGGGACACGATCAGAGGGCAGCCGAGGTAGCGGACCTGAAGAGCAGCATGTTCGCGTGCTGATCCCTCACCATAGTTATGCTACATGCGTATAAATTATTATTAGTTTCTTTCATTCTTCTTTTTTTTTAATGACGACTAAAAAAATAAAATAAACCATTGCCTTTTACAACATATCTATTATACCAGACTAATAACAATAACAACATCAACGATACTTACATCAGCAACTACCATCCAAGGCATATTCTGACGCTTGTAACTCTTGGCAACCTCAGGGAGGGGTTCTTCCTGGTTTGTTGTCACATCACGGACCATGTTGATTTTCTGATTATCTGCGTTCAGGGCACCGATCAAAGTGTTCTCGGCAATGTTCTCAAGGTGACCCTTGTACTTGAGCCAAGGCCCAGCAGCAGAGATATGATCTGTTGTGCACTTTCCTTGCACCTTTACCAATACACGCACATTCTTGAACTCCTCTCCATTCCAGGGTTCAAATGCATCAAGCACTTGAAGACGGCTAGACTCAGGTGACACGGCAATATCAACACTGGGATCAGGTGTAGGTGTAGGTGATGGAGGTTCATAAGTAGCACGTCCAGCCTCAAAGCCAAGGCGAGGAAGATCGTCTCCTTGGGGTGGGGTGAAGTGGAAAGGCTTTCCGTCCTTGTCCAGCAAGGCATCAGTCATAGGGTTAAAGCTCAATTTACCGGCAAATGCCATTGCAGTGACGATCTTATTAAAGAAGAAACCTCGAGTTATTATACCATCCTCTACTTAATTCCAAACTTTGTCTATTACTCATATACATATACACACATATATATATATATATATGCCTAAGTAAATTACCTCTGGAGCGGCCAAGAAGTTCATGGTGTTTGGGTTGCCATCGTTACGGCTGCGGAAGTTACGGTTGAAAGATGTCAGAATGGCATTCTCAGGGGCGCCCTTTTCTAAATCAGTCCGCTTCCACTACAAGTAGACAAACATGAGTTTTTCTTGCTACTATGCTGTATTCAGAATCGCACAAAAACTCACTTGACCAATACAGGGACCACATGCGTTGGCAAGAACCTGGGCACCGGCCTTCTCGAACACAGCCTGCTGTCCATCGCGCTCAATGGTTGCTCGGATCTGTTCTGAACCTGGGGTGACCAAGAAATTGGATTTCACAGAGACACCTGCATCAGACGCTTGTTGGGCAATTGATGCAGCACGAGACATATCCTGATAAGAAGAGTTTGTGCAGCTTCCAATCAAACCTGCCGACAAATCATCCTTCCAGCCATTCTCCTCAATAAAGCTCTTGAACTTGCTCAGGGGAGTGCTGAGATCGGGTGTAAAAGGACCGTTGATATGGGGCTCGACCTTGGAGAGATCAATCTCGATAACCTTGTCGTACTCACAGTGCTCATCAGCACGTAAGAAGTTGGCGTTGGCATCAGCAGCCTTGGCAACCTCAGTACGTCCGGTAGCGCCAAGGTAAGATCGCATGCGGTGAGTGTAAGGGAACAAGGAAGTAGTGGCACCAACCTAAACAGAACCCCGGTTGATTAGCTTTTATATTTGTACACACGCACACACGTCTAGTTTGCGTATTTACCTCGGCACCCATATTGCACATTGTTGCCATGCCAGTGCAGGACAAAGCATCAACACCTTCGCCAAAGTATTCAATGATGTGACCGGTACCACCGCGGACGGTCAATTGGCCAGCCAACTGGAGAATTACATCCTTGGGACTTGTCCATGGATGGAGCTGGCCGGTCAACTTTACACCAATAACCTTGGGGGCCTTGAGTTCCCAAGGGATATCAGCCATGGCATCCACAGCATCAGCACCACCGACACCAATCGCAATCATACCCAGACCACCAGCATTAGGAGTGTGGGAGTCAGTACCGAGCATCAAACCACCAGGGGCAGCATAGTTTTCGAGAACAATCTGGTGAATAATACCACTTCCGGGCTTCCAGAAGGCAACGCCGTACTTTTGGGCAGAGCTCTGGAGGAAGTCAAAGATTTCTTTGTTGTTGGCAATAGAAGAAACGACATCCTTATCGGCACCCTCGTGAGCCACAATCAAGTGGTCACAGTGAATAGAAGAAGGTACGGCGGTGGTCTTCATTCCTGAGAGCATGAACTGTAAAATAGCCATCTGAGCAGAAGCATCTATACATAAAAAAATATCGGGTTTAAGCATTCGTTTTTTTATATAATTTTATTCTTCTTCTATTATTGTACCTTGCATAGCAACGCGATCTATAATAATAACGAGGTTATTGATATTATTAGTATTGGTTTCTAAACGGATTTTATTTTATTTTATTGTGTAAGTTTCTCACCAGGAGATAGTTTGAGGTAAGTCTCGCCACGGACGGGAATTGTTTCCTCTGGGTTTGTAAGATGGGAGTAGACGATCTTTTCGGCTAAGGTGAGAGGGCGGTTGTTCAAGATACGCTGGACAATACTCAGGTTCTTTGTCAGTTTGGCATAAGGAGGAGTGATTGAGCTGCAGTCCTTTTCGGTAACAGGGTTCTTGACGGTGGCAAAGGATCTTGTTGCCATTGTGGAATGAGCAGACCGAGACAGTCTCACAAACTACATAACGCAATAATGGTGTCAATAAGATTTTGTTTTGCGCACGTATTTGTATGTATAGGTTATTACCTGTCTGGCACTCTGGACCAAATATGCAGAGACCATTTAGTGATAATAAAGAGAGAAATGTAAAGAGAGGGGAGTTGCTTTTATATTTATATAAAAAGGAAGAAGTTCAGAATTTTGGATTTCTTTCCCTTTTATATTTGTTTGTATTCCTTTTCCGCAAACAGATAATTGTATCTTCATCTACAAAGCATAAATATTTTATATATATATATATATTCAGTTTTTTTGATTGACAGGCCCAGTAATGCTTCTCCCACAAACAACCTGATGGTGAAACCTAGGCAGATCATCTCAATTGAATTACTAGATCGGGTAGGTCGGAGATGGAGGTAACAAAAAAAAAAGAATATATATATATGGTAAATCAATGGTATAGAAATTTAGACCGGCAAAATGAAAGACAGAGATGGTTTAAATTATGTGGTCAATCGATAAAATTGATTTCTTTTATATATTTATATATATATGTATGTATATATTATACTTGGTTATGAGACACTATATACAATATACAATATATATTTATAGAGAGAAAAAGAGAAAACAAGTAAAGTGTAGGATAAAGAGGTTAAAGAAGAAGAATATGATGATGAAGAAGAAGAAGAAGTATTTTATGAGGTTTTGTACTTTTTTCTTTGTCTTCGAATAGTATAAAGTAATAATAAAAAGAACAATGATAAAGAGGAGTGTGTGGAAGATAAAGGTGGTCTCTTTTTTGTGGGGTTTACAAAGGCTCATGCTTTAGGTTCAGCATCTTCAGATAGCGACATCGGTGCTGCTGTCGACTGTACTGAAGTAGACGGAGGTCCACTCGACCGAGAAGACTTGGAATGCCCATTCTGAGAACTAGAAGCGGCAGCAATAGCTGCTGCTTTTTGACGTTTTCGTTGCTTCGACTCAAACTCATGCCAATCACCATTCACATCTAATAAACTATAAGCATAGCAATCAATATATATATATGTATTAGACTAAAAATATACCATCAATCCACCAACAATAATATCCTTAGTAAAAAAGAACTTACTTTGCTGGTGGTTCTGGTGCAGGTAGTTCGGTCTTAAGATAATCGAATTCAAGTGCTTCAGCAGCAGTAGGGCGTTTCTGCGGATCCATGGATAGTAAAGCCTCAGCCAACTCAAGCGCGCCAGGCGAAAGTAGACTTGGTGACAAACAAAATTTAATTTTTTTTAAAAAAATTTTACAAATCGTTTAGGCTTACCTTGCATATGCTTCTTTAAATCGATTTGGATACTGTTCTTTGGGTCTAATGAGCTCATACCACGGTAGTGTAGTAACAGTTGGCCATGTTTCTACTGTAGGTGTTCCCATAGTTTTATAAATACAATCCAATTGAGAAATTTCATCGGTTCCATTGAAGGATGGTCTTCCAGTGAAAAACTCTAGCATAATACATCTATTGTTTCCGTAGCAGACCAAATAAAACAAGAAAAAAATTAGTACACCATTTCTTTGATACTTCCAGAAAGAAAAACAATTTACCCTACGCTCCATATATCAACAGCAGGTCCATAGGCTGTTGCACCCAGCAAAAGTTCTGGTGGACGATACCACAATGTAATAACTCGATTGGTATAATCATGGGTTCTGTTTTTTTGAAATACTCGAGCGAGACCAAAGTCCGCAATCTTTAATTCACCCTTGTTATTAATCAATAGATTGGATCCTTTGAAGAAGAAGAAAAATCAAATAAGGTCGCTTGATTAAAGTATTGGTTTAAATCACCCAGGAACCCCACCTTTATATTATTACCTTTTATATCGCGGTGTAAAATACCCATGTGGTGAATATAAGCAAGACCTTCTAACATTTGCTTGACAAGCGATTTTGCATGCGAGGCTTGGAATTTGAAATTCGGATGGCCCAATATACCGGCCAAATCATGGTCCATATATTCAAGTACCATATAAACTGAGCCTAGATTATCCACCTCTATTAATACAGTTCAATGTATATATTTGTATATAAAGTTTAATTTACCTTTGGCTACCATAATCTGTTGTAATTCTATAATTCTTTCATGTTTCAATTCTTGCAATAGTTTGATTTCTCTCATCGCAGTAATAGGAAACTATTTTTTTTTAAAAAAAGTAATAATAAAAAATGTACGTGTAAATATAAGAAAGCAAGGCTCCCCATATTAACGCACGTAAAGCTTTCTTCTTATTAAACTCACCCCGTCTTTCTCAGTCTTCATTCGGATTCGTTTTAAAGCCATGAGATGACCAGTCTTGCAATTTTTGGCTTTGTAAACCTTGCTGTAAATCATTTAGATTAGTTAAGCATGTCTTCTTTTTCTTTTGGCTAACAAACCTTACCCATAAGTTCCTTCTCCAATTTGCCCAATTTTTTCAAACAAAGATGCAGGGTTCTCCTCGGTTTGAAAAGGGTACCCAACATCATCCAGTACTTCTTCAGGAACAGCCCCAATTGATCCCGAAAATGTCTGACGTGCTAATTTACTTCCAGAACTTTCTGCTTTTCCCATCTCAACATCGCCTGATTTAGAATTTTGGACAGGTGTGGTCTGAATAGAGTTTACTTTCCCGGATGCTGATGAAGAAGATTGTGGTGCGGACGGAATAGTACTAGCGTTCGTACCTGAGCTTGTATTTGGGATTGTCGTGAGTGGTGGGGGAGGAGGAGGAGGAGGAGGAGGGGCAGGCGTGCTGTAATAAGATGCTTGTTCTGCTGTAGTGGGATATCCGTGATAGTAAGCTCCGTCTTGAGATTGGCCATAGTATGCTGCATAATATTGTTGATATTGTTCACTCGTCATATTAGCATAGTGCGCATTAGCTCCAGCGTACTCTGACCACCCGGCAGCATTTGCCTCGTAATAAGACCACGCCTGTTGCTGTGATGTTTGGTAGAAGGCTGCAGGAGCTGTCGGTGGTCCAGCAGCAGCAGCAGCAGGGGTTATTGATGAAGATGAAGATGATGAAGTGGTAGGTAAAGCAGGGGTGGCTGATGATTTTGTAGTTGTAGCGGCTGTAGTAGTTGTAGTAGTTGTTGTTGTGGTAGAAGTGGATGGAATAACAGATGGAGCAGTAGATCCAGATACCGAAGTACATGCTCCACTCCGGCCATTGGAGCTATTTACCCTAGACCCACTGCTTCTTACACTAGATCCAACTGTATTACCAGTGGACGACGGTGCTACAGAGGATGAAGGTATACTAGGTGCGATAGGGGTTCCAGAGGATGCTGTTACTGTCGTTGACGTTGACGGTGTTGTATCTGCTTTTGGTCCCAGGGGTGGTGCAGTTGAACGTGAAGAATGGCTGCTATTATGATCATGTTTGCTGTGGCTGCTGTGGCTGCTGTATTCCTTGTCTCGTCGGTGGTAATCATTGTACGATCGTGATTTCCGACTACTGCTACTACTCTTCTCATTCCGGTCTCTGCTCGATCGTCGAGAATATGATCGGTGTCGGTCGTAGTATTGTGAATCTCTTCCGCGTGAGCGACTTCTACTCTCGTAGCTGTGTCGTGAGCTGTCATCGTACGTTCGTCGCTTTTCGTCTCTTCCGTAACGATGATGCGATCGATGGTGGTCGTAATCATCCCTGCTTCGTTTCTCACTTGTGGATTTGCGTTCTGGACTGTATCCACGGTCAGGTGAATGGTGAGAATGGTCTTTGCGATTTCTGGATGACCCTCGCTGGGATCCAGCCATGTCCCTTTTTGAAGACTTTGTCGTTCCAGACTCTCCCTGAGTATGTGACGATTCGTTGTCCATGAAAGACGAGGTTGTCAATATATATATGAGATATAAAACAAAGAGGAATGACCGAGGAATTAAGGGGTGCGATTGCTGGGATGTGACAATGAGAAGGTCGTCAATTATTTATGATAGAAATATGTTTGTATACACATGTACACTTGTGTGTGTCTGTATATATATATATAATATATATATATATATTATATTTATATGTATTTTTTTTGTGCTGTGTTTATTTTGGACCAAAAGTCAATCAAAGTATCGATCACTGGTGGAGTTCCTAATACATATATTTGTACAAAATCCAGCTGCCGAGACAAGGCTTTTGACGGTAAAGGTCTTGCTAAACGCGTGGCATTAGAATATATATAAAAAAAACCAAAAGAGAAATCGTGACCGTTCTATAGTACAATGACGCGCAGACTGGAGTTCAATTTATACTTGGATCTTCATCCAAGGTAAAGAAGTCGAGCCTTGTTGAGAGATCTGGCTATAACGCAAAGACAAAACTATATCCGGAAATTCATTATGACAGATAAATAAGTAAATTAGTGTGTGGATACTATATTATTATGTCTTTAGTATTTATCTAATGTTTTTAGAATAAACAAAGTCCTTTAAAAAAGTATATATAAAATGTACAATAATTGGATAAATTTGCTTTTGCACAACTTGAATTTAGGATTGTCAATGCAACTCATACAACCAATATAATTTACTATATATATATATATATTCTCTTTATCTCTCTACCATCCGCCGCCACCACCTACAAATGTACATAAAGAAAAAAAATGGTATGATTAGATTTACAGGCAAATTAACTAGCTTGTACAACGTAGTTATACGTACCATGATGACCTCCATGATGGCCTCCGTTATGGCCTCCGTTATGACCTCCATGATGACCTCCGTTATGGCCTCCGTGATTTCCTAATAGATAGTCAGGCACATAATTACATTAGATCGGGAACAACCCAATACCAATATAATTTGAGAGTGTACTTACCTCCGGGAGGACCATATTGTCCTTGGGGAGGGCCATACTGCCCCTGAGGTGGGCCGTACTGTCCTTGAGGTGGACCATAGTTTTGATAACCGCCATAACCGCCGCCGTAACCGCCCATAGGAGGTTGCTGGTTGTGTCCCTATATCAATCAATCAACAAAGTAAATTAGATAAATATTACCTTGGTGTATATATATATATATATTTCTTTTTCTTCTTCTTTCGTTGTGTACCTGATTGTGACTTCCTCCGCCAAACATTCCACTTAGCATGCCCATAGGAGAGCTTCCACTGCTGTTACCGGATGAATTACCGTGTCCACCAAATATCTTGTTAGCAGCAGCTCTAAATAACAATATATACATTTTTTCTTAATGTCCATGATTTGAATTATGTCGTACAGTCAAGTAGATATATAGGTATTCCGCCAATAGCTTGGCATTCCGAGGGTTTTTCACCTCAAGTTCGATGCTTTCACGTGTCTTGTGCTTAACTTTACCCAATCAATGCGCCACCCAATGCGCCACCAGCCAGTTTACCAGCTATTCCGCCTACACGGAATAATAAAACCATTGATTGGTACAAGCTCTTCCTTTCGTGTGATTTACAAAAAAAAAATGTCAAGATGTATTATTTTTCTGTTTCTCCTACCTTGATTTTGTTGCTGTTGCTGTTGCTGTTGCTGTTGATGACCACCTCCAATTAATCCAGATAACATTGTACCAAGACCGCGATCCTGTTCACCTCCCTGTTGTGGTGATTGTGATGTTGGTTGTGATGGGTGAGGTGAATACGATGACTGAGATGGTCCTGGGCTGGCTCCACTCAAATAACTGCTTGCTTCGCCTCCGCCTGTTGACGGTGTTGGCTGGCTGTAGGGCATTGTGGGAGCATCCCACTGAGTTTTTCCGGTTGCTGTTTCAGCAAAATAGTAGCGCTGGGAATTTTGATCCCATACCGCAACCCTACATTACAATGATTAGCTTGATCTTACAATCTGGCTTCATTAATTTCAATTCATTCTTATATTGGTTACCATCCTTCAGGTAGTTGTGGGGGAGGATAATTTCTTTGCTGTTGGCTCATATTAAATTCGTTATAAGAATAATGTGAAAATAAGGAAGAAGAAAACGAATTTTTTTTATGTAAAAAAAAATTAAAAAGAAGATTAATATTAGACAAAGAAAATATATAAAGCTGTGCAATAGGGATTTTTCTTTTTCTTTTTTTTTCTTAAAAAAAATAAAATGAAATGAAATGAAAATGAAAAAAAAAAGTATTAATGTGGAAAGCCAAGAATTGAGCTATTTCAATCCAAGACACGCCCAATCCCCCTCTTTCCCCTAATTTGTATTTTGTTTTAAGCAGCAGACAAGACATGTGGGATTTCTTTCTTGGCAACTGTCTCTACCAATGCATCCGAATCCTCTTCTCTTACATACACGAGGAAGTATGGGTTGGCAGTCGATCCAGACGTGTCACGGAAGAGTTCGGCTTCTTCCACCTAAATTATATATATATATCAGCAAAAAAAAATAAGAAATCAAGATCCTGCAACATTTACCTTGGTGACATGAGAATCATTGTACTTCCACCATTGATCTGTTGGTTTATCATACATGTACACCCAATAATGACCGTAATTGGCTTGACCTATTAACATCAAGTTTTCATATATATATATATATATATTAATATATAAACGTAAAACACGCAAGAGCTAGTACGAGTCTTTTACAACTTATATTCCGTACCTTGGTGAATAAATACAGCGTGTATCCGATAGGCATCTTTTGTCAGGCTACTGTACTGGTTCTTGATCTTGGATCTCAAGACCTCGATAGCACATGTACTTTCTATTAAAGTAACAAGGCAAAATACAACGCATTAAAATCCGGATTATACATTCTTTACCCTCGTTACCTTGAATAGTCTCTCTTGCCTCTCTTGCCTCTTTGAGCAAAAATTGGATTGCTGCCTCATGCTGCTCGGCGTTTTGGGGTTGCTGAGCCATCTGTATTTCAAGAATATTCGCAGTTGCTTCTAACATGTCTGGTACAGGGATTTGATAAGCCTAAAAAAAATCACCGGCAAAAAATAGCCCTTTTCTGTGTTAATGAACATAGCCAAGACTCCCTTTGTTTTCACAACTTTTACTTGCCTTGTTATTTATCAATTCGTCAATCTTTGCCTTGTGAATCTCCTCTTCTTTTCTCCAGTTCGTTACTTCCGCGCGCTTCTCAGCCAAAGAATCAAAGTTACGATCGGCATAGCGATCAAGATAGATAATTTTCTCAAATTGAATGAATGCATTTGACTTGTACACATTGGCAGTAGCTCGATCAAATTGCACGCGCTTATACCACATACACGCATTAAAGAATAAAAAGAAGGAAAAAAAAATAAGTATCAGAACCTATTGTGTATATAGACTATCTTGGCTTCTCACCTGAACAATGATTTGAAGTACAGGAGGGAATGTACTGACAGTAACCTCGCGTGTAGCTTCTCTTCCGCCCTGGAAATTCTCTACTTGATCCGCAAAGAAATATTCATCCAAACCATCGTACAGATCCTTGCCTTGAGCTGCATCAACAATGAGATGCGAAAACTCCTCTTCTTTAATTTTTTTGATATTTTGGGATGTTTGAGTATCTTGATAGGTGAGAATCTGGCGGGCCTTTCCATAAAACAGATCTCGCACCATATCGCGCACTTGTTCACCATCTTGTGTCTCGACAGGTTTAAGAGCAGCCTCGATCAAATAAGTAACATTATCCATACATTCTAGAAAACATGAATATAAATATATATATATGTGTGTGTGGGTGGGTGGGTTTAGGTTTTTGTTATAATGGAATTTATAAACTTCTTTAGCTTCTTTCTCTTTTGTCTTGCTAGTTTTCTCACCAGTAACATCTTGTTGTTTTCCAAACATCATGGTGGCGGGGTTAGGGGGAGGTCTTTTGGCTGTGATTGGTGGCGGAACCTTGTTATTCTGAGGGGCTGGTGTACCTACCAAATCTTCGTAGGCAGGTGGCATGTCAAATTCAGGCAAGGATGTATCGATCTTTTCTATTGGGTACGCCTCGTCGATTACGTCCATCGGGGTAGCTTCGAGGCCTGGCTCTGTATAGCCTTCCAAGAGAGTATCGACACCAACACGATTTGGTTGGGATAATATCTGGGATTCATTTAGACTATCTGAACTCTGAAATGGTTTTGTTCCAGAACCTTGGTTTGGGGCTAGAGCAGAATCAGGAACGAGTGCAGGGGCTGTGTTGTCAGCAGGTTCGGCCTCTGGATAAGGCACACCGACAGGGACAGGCTGATCTTTGTTCACAACCTGTTCAATATGTGACATTGACCCAGAAATTGTGTCTTCATCAATCTTAACAAGAGAAGTTGTCGTAACAGATCTAGTATCAGAAAATGCAGGTTTTGTTCTAGGAGCCTCTAAAGCGTCTGCAGCAATAGTGTGTTTCGGTATGCTATTGAAGACATTAGCCTCAGAGACTGGGATAGATTTGGTGGTTTGCTCAGCATTATTATCTCTTCCTGTTATATCCTCAAATTTTGCTGCAGAAGTCACTTCAACTTTGGCAGCTGGTTCAAAATTGTCAACATCTTTTTTAGCTTTAAAGAGTGGTCCGAGATTTTGTTTAGATCCAGTGCCAGTAGTAGTGGTAGTATTTTCTTCTTGAGGTGACATATCGGTGTTAGGAAAAGATGAGTCCGTACGGGGATCAGACAAATCGACCAATGGAGGAGAATGTTGGGAGTTGCTTGGACCTGCTACATTCTGCTGATCAATTGTTTGTAGGGACTCAATTGGCGTGCTAGATGCTTCTACTGCTGATGCTGACACTGATGCAACAGCCTCTGCTGCGGCTTCGGCTGCGGCTTCTTCGACATCTTTTTCATTTAATAGAGCCATGTATGCCAAGTCATACTCAGGGGAAATGGCCCTTTGGGATGTGTTTTGGAGATTGATAAACAGACTTCGCAAAAGATAAACAACTACATCAGTAGAAATGTATAACATATCAATTTAATAAAATTTCCTCATATATATATATATATATATCATACTTACATTTTTTGGCACGTCGAACTTCATGTTGGTCCACAGTAATACCACCAATCTTTTTTGGCACCCAATTTGGATCATCTTCATTTTCAACATAACTGTCGATGTTTAATACAGTTTTTCGAAGAGGCAGGAGAGTAAAGTAGTACTACACAAAGATTACACGATTCAGATACCAATCTTTTAAGAATGTAATTGCAATGGCTGGATGTGTGTATGTGTAGAATTTACTTGAAGAAGACTGTTGAAATAGCAGGTATTTCCAATATTATTCAATCCAACAGGTCTAGTGGAATAGGAATGATAGTAATAATAATAGAGGAATAAATTGGAAGCAAAGCGAATAGATTAATATTTCTTATACCAAAAAAAAGGATTTATCTCTTAATATATACACTTACATCTCTTCTGAATTTGTATTCCAATCTGTAAAATCCATCAGTACAATATCATAAAGCTGTCATCTTGGTCTCATCCTCATCCATTCACTTTTACTCGCACTCTTATACATACATACATACATACATACATACATACACACACTTTCTCTCTTTATTACTATCTCAAGAAAAGAAAAGAAAAGAAAAACATCAAGTAAAAGAAATACCTTGTGTACCTTGGGTGGCTGTCCCATCCTGATGTATAAGCTTTGGCATATCCGGGACTTCATCTTTAAGGAAATCGTAAAGGGCTTCACTGCGTCTAGCGATTGCAATGACTTTGAGATGGTCCCGATGTTTGTTCTTATTGTGTGGTTCATCCGAGACTTTGATTCTGTAAAGCTCTGTGAGAAGTCTGTCATCCACCGCCACGTCTTGTTTGATGTCAAAGTTCTCACAAGCTTCCCGGATTTCTTTGTATCCGACCTTTCCTCGACTACGTTCCAGGGCCACCTCGGTCAGCAACAGGTTGCTTCTGGACAGATTGGCCGCATCGATCAAGCAGTCGAGGTACATGGCAGAATCATTGGGGTGTTCTTTCAAAACCATTTGATACAGCCAAATTACCAGGTCGTCTTTCGCAGTAGGAATTGTGCCAAATAGACGAAATGTTTCGACTTGTCTGCCTGTAGTTGGCTCCAAGATTTCGTTTACACCCACCCACTCGGCGATCAGAGGGTTAGCTGAAGAAATATCCAAAGCTGTGTTGTTGGTCGGCGAACGGCAGGATTCCAAGAATAGGGCAAGTTCGTGCTGGATTCGTAAGAGACGATCTTTGTTGACTGTGACATAGGCTTCTGAAGGAGCAATAAAAAAACTGTCTTTCAGCTCAAATCCTAACAAATTCAATAGTTCGATACTAAAATACACCCATAATAAATAAGTAAATAAATAATATTAAAGACTCATATGTATGTGTATGTATGTACGTAAAGTATTTTCTGTATATACCTGGCTGGATCTACTCCAAGTTTTATTTCCAAATTAACATTTCGTGAATTGATATCTCGCCGGGAACCCTTAATAAGATCCTTGGTAAATTGAAGTGCGGCTGTAAAGGTTGTTTCGAGTGTTGGCAGAATTTTATCAGGTTGGGAAATACGATCGGCTAAGGTTTGGTAGTTGGGTCGTGTGGCAGCCAATCTGCCGAGAAGATCAAGCGACACCAAGGGTGGATTAAACGTGGCTTGGATGGTGTATGAGCAACCACAACATTGGTAATGGTCAGTCTTGTAGTGGTAGTGGTGAGTCTGATACTGGTTTGCTGTACAGAACCTTGGAGTTTCTGCTAAAAGTTCGATTCCGTAGTGGCATGTCATGCACACATAGGTCTTGGAATGAAGATCGACTTCAGGATTGTAGAGAAGTGTAAAGTTGTGCTGGTGATTAGAGGTGGTGGTGTAATGTAGTAGCCATTCTAACAGGGCAGCGGGTGTAAAGGCATCAGGTGGAAGAAGGTCGCCTACAACAAGCTTCGCACGAGGAGGAATGGGTGGTCCGTCTGACATTGTAATAATATATTAATAATACTAAAGAAGTTTAAAAGAGAAGAAAGGAGAAGAAAGTCTTGGGTTTTTCAGCAAGACGAAAGATTTGCATAACGTCACGTTGAGAAAGAAAAAAAAAAGATAGAAAGAAATTGACTTTTTATATACATATATATATGTGTGTATGTGTGTGTTTATAATAAATATTACTATTGTAATTATTGTTCTTGTTGTTATTTACAGATTTCCTTTTATCTGTTTGTGGCCAGTGTTAATGACCGGGTCTAGTTTATTGGTGTGTATTTGATTTGATTTGATTTTGATTTTGGTTTTGGTTTTGGTTTGTCTTGGATAGTATGGGATTTGTATTCCCCTTTATAAATGTGCACATATAAAGTATGTATCATTTGAAAATAATTATTTATTTTTGTGTAAACAGGTTCCTGTTCTATTAAGTCTTTGCAGTTATGTTTGGAATAGATGTGTAAAATGCATGTACGTACAGAAAGGTGAATAACTATGATTGTTTCTGCTTTTTGTTTTGTTTAAAGTGGTAATGGTAATGGTGATGGTGATTATGGCTGTAGTTGTGGTTGGGGGAGGGAGTGGTAGGAAAGAGGGGGTAATATTTAGGCTTCATTACCGACAGTAGTAATTACATCGTCAATCTTTAAAATCATTTTGACCAACTGAGTTGCTAGCAAGAACTGTTGGCGCTTGGAAATAAGGGGATCATAGACGTGCTGGTCCTTCATGTCTACAGAAGGAAATACATACGTATTGTGTTAGATATTGCACACATGTCTTTTGTGTATGTAATATTATAAATACAATCACAAAACAAACACTCTGTTTTTTCTATATATATATATATCTGTCTCTTACCATTAGACCCCTTGTAGAGACAGTCGACGCCCAAGCGTGGATTGCCGGTCAAAGTTTGTTTTGCCTTGACTTCAGCCAATGTCTCGATAGGAGACAGACCAGAGTTTTCTGCCAAAGCAAGAGGTGTTGCATCAAGCGCATCGGCAAAGGCACGCATGGCATACTGCTCGATGGAAGAGATCTCATCGGCAACCTTTGATACGGCCAAAGAGCAGGCAATTTCGGCAGCTCCACCACCGTACACAACTCGGTTATCACGGACCAGGTTGCGGACAGCACAGATGGCATCGTGGAGCGAACGCTTGGCTTCATCAATGATCATCTTGTTACCGCCACGCACAAATACCGTGACAGCACGGGTGTTGGCACACTCCTCGATCACCAGCATTCGATCCTTTGTTGTACCAAAACTCAATTCACGTACAACACCAGCCTTTCCGAGTTTGCCTGGTGTGAGATCCTCAAAGCGGGGCACGATACGGCCGTTTGTTGCAATTGCAATCAGTTCGATTTCTGGACCACCGACCCAACGGACGGCAGGTAACTTGTTTTGTAGCAACAGATGGTTTGCCTCATCATCGAAACCCCACTGGCAGATGACGAGATTGGCACCCGAGTCCTTGACCTGGTTGATCATATTCTCAAACATCTTGGTCTCGTACGCCTGGAGCTTTTCGTACTCCTCAACGGAGGTGATGTCAAGCTTGTGCTTGGTCTTAGGCTTTGGTGGTTCAAAGGGGCAGGTCAAAATGGCAATTTTGGCATCGTGAACCTCACGAGGCATCTGGGGATGTGACATATCCTTGTCGATGACCACACCCTGGACCAATAATGTGTCCTGCATAGATCCACCGACCTTGCCATCCACCTTGATAAGCTCAAAATCAACATCCTTGCGCTCCAAGTCAGCAACTGCCAAAACAGCGTTGACAGCAATATCAGCAAATTGTTCGTGGCACTTTGACACACTGTATGCAAACAAATAACAACAATTTGTTCAGTTTTAATTAAGAGGGGTCGTTTTTGTCTTTGTTCGTTCGTGTAACTTACATTTTGCTGCCAAGACTGGTCATAGCAGTCTTCTTGAGGTTTGACACATTATCCTTGCTGAATTCAATAGTGTCAGAAATTGATTCCAGGTGAGTGACAGCAACATTACAGGCACGTTCAAACCCATCGGCAATACGAATTGGGTGAATACCACGATCCAACAATTGTTCACATTGTTCTAACAGAGATCCAGCCAATACTATAAACATAAGGGAATAAAGGAAGATAGTATTATTATTATTATTATTATTTGTGAGTTTATAAGTATGGTACTAATCAATATTCAAAAGAGGAAGGAGAAAAAGACATTGTACACTTACCAACTACACCAGTTGTACCATCTCCAATCTCGTCATCTTGACTCTTAGACAATTGAACCAAAAGTTTTGCAATCTGATGTTCAACAGCCATCTGATCTAAAATTGTTGCACCATCATTTGTCACCGTAATGTCACCATCGGGAGAAATTAAAATCTTGTCTAGACCACGAGGACCTAATGAAGTCTTGATGATGGTTGCTACTGTTTTGGCAGCCAAGATGTGAGACTAACAAAAATAAAATAAAAAATAATGAAGAATGAAGAGTAATTTCATTAAGTAAACTCGCTTATTATCATTATATGTATGTATGTATATATATATATATATATATAAATTTGTGCTTGTTTGTCTTCCTGGTTTGGATACTTACGCGAATGGCTTCAATACCGCTCAGCCTAGACTTTGTTTGACCTTCGCGAACAATAATAAAAGGTCTGCCGTATTCATCGGTGGTGTAGATTGCCGAGTTTGGATCAACATTCATGGCCATCGTAACAAGATTATTCCAAAGACTTGTTTTGGTCCAACAGTGTGTTCTAATAAATAATATATACATTTAGACAGGTCTGTCTTTATATTATAAGAATATGTGTCCGTCCGTGTCTGTGTGCCCAGTAAATGCTTAATTACCAAATGCAGGTTACTTGAGGGTGTAGTCTGTGTGTCCGTCCATGTCTGATTCCAAATCTTTTTTTTTTATTAAAAAAAATGCCCCCTCTATGTGTGCCTGATTGCACGTGTATGTACGCACAACTATTCACTAACTCGATCAACCATTGTTTGTTTTTAAAAGAAGAAGAAGTTGAAAGAAGTGAAGAATACCAATAATGTACAAATTTAGGCAAAAAATATGATGATAAAAGTCGATATTACCGGCAGTAAATCAAAATTAATCAACAACTATTTGAATTATTCACATACATAAATATATATATATATAGGTGTGAATATGTGCATGTTTGAGATAATGATATTTTGACACATGAAATTATCATTTTGGATTAACATCTATTTATTGCTAAAGTCTATTTCTATCACATAGTGCTGTGAATTTACAAGAATAAAATCAGTATTAAAATGAATGTATTTGTATTTAGGATCACAACTCTCTCTCTCTTGAATCTAAGCAGTAGATTGAAGTAATGATCTCAAAGATGACAAGTTGAATAAGTTAACCTTCCTCTAAAAACCCTGGCTCTATGTAGCTTATAATAATACTAACAAAAGAGTTTAAATCTGTCAGACTCTGTGAAGCTAGAAAACAAAGCTTTCTAATGTGATATTTTACAGCTCAAATGTTCTTTCCTTCAAAGTAGTCCTTTAGTTCTTTAGTTATTTGGTAAAATAGATAAATAGATGACTGATAAAATCAATTGGTAGACACGAATAATATCCATTTACTCTCTTTTTCTTTGTATTATTTTTTATGTTCTTTTGTCTCTTTGTTGTATAGTTGTTTTCAGTATTCTATGCATAAAGTTTAACGAGAATTATCATACCAAATATTTTTTTTTCTTTTTTTTGTTATAATTGTTACGCTTAGTTTTCTTCAGATATCTAACATTTACACACAATTATATACCCATATAGATTAAAAAGGGTGTTTTTGGATATTGATTGCGCGCATTGTAGTAACTGAATTTTCTTATTTTAATGACATCTGAATTGTGAATAAAACCTTGTGATACCATCATGATACCGAACAGTTGGGTAAATGTGGGCGTCGAATTTGAAGCGCTATCGAATCTGCAAGTGGATCTAATCCATATTTGAAAAAGAAGAAGAAGAAGAAAGGTATCTTTGGAATATTCAGCAATTTATTAGCTGCTGTTTTAATTTTATTTTATTTTTTATTTTATTTTTACTTAAATGGGCTTGTGTATTTTCTTGCTGGTAATTAATATAGATAAGAGAGAGAGAGAGAAAAGTACAGGGTTGATGATCGTATTACAGCCCAACTATCGCTTATTCAATACGTTTGATAGATAACCGTGTAAATCTTGCGTTTTTTTTTTACTTTTTATCATTATCACAAAGATATATATATATATACAACTATAAAGCTATATCTATATCTATATCTATATACTTAAATAGATGACACTGTTATCTTGTCTATTAGACTTATTTACACAAAAAATTGCTCCAAAAAATAATTACATGTGTCCACCCATATGTATATCAAATTGAATTGAATTGAATTGAATTGAATTGAATTTGGTTATTAATGAATATAACCCATTGATTTCAAAATTATTTACGGTACATATCTGCTTGTTTAATAAGAGGCCTGCTCATTTTCACTGCTATTATTTGAAAATCTAAATCTATAAAAAAATTACAAATTGTGCAAACTACCTTGCTTTAATTTGTTTTCGTTATCTATTTCCTACCAGTTGATCAATTATTTGCCAATAGACGTGTTGCATAGAATACCTGTCTGAAGCCCATTGGTACTGTCAAGGCTGAAATAGAAGCACAAACCTATTCTGCTGAATTAAGTTATCGATAATAAATGCTACACACTCACGCACACACCCGCGTACACACAAAAGGTTGATCATCACAAACACTAAAAGAAAAATAATGTACTACATGCATCTCTCTCTCTCCAGTTGCTTCTTTATACAGTCAAATGTCTTTTTTTGGAAATTACATGATAGAAATTGATCACAAACATTTTTACCAAGAAGAATCCCAAAATGTTTTTAGTCTTTTTTTCTTTATGAAAATGAAGAGTATTTTAGCTTTTGTACAACAATGCTATAATTTTGCGTTTATCTTTGAGTTTTGAGTATAAAGTATAGAGAACGGTACTGTGTATTTAATTATATACATACACACCTGAATGATACTTGTAAAAGATATGTACAGGTGACAAGGAGTAAATGCGTGTGAGAAAGTTTGTGAGTGTCATAGAGAGAACACCAATCAAAGCAAATATACTGATACCAGCAAATATACATGTACACACAAAGAAAAGCTACTTTCAAAAAAAAAATATGCACATATTAAAAATATGTACCCCCCAAAAAAAAAAACTTTCACACACTTACACACTCACAGTTAGTCAATTGATTAATCAGCACTAAATATCTCTTGTTCTTCTTCTTTTGTTTGGCAGGCGAAGACTATACCCACTTAACTATACGCGTTTTATACAAAATACCATTCAAATGAGCCACCGTTACAATGTGCAATTACATCTAGATAGATGCAATTTTTGTTTTTTTATCCACCCATATCCCAAGCCTCATCTACACACAAATTAAAAATCATTTAGAAACACTTAGAAACACTTGGAGATTTGAGGAATGTCAAATATGTATATTGTATTTTGAATAAATTTTTTTGTTGTTGTTTAAACAAAATGAGAGGGAATTGTGGAATGTGTAAGAGAGGGAGAGAAAGGGAGAGAAAGGGAGAAGGAAAGGGAAAAAGGGAAGAAGAATATGAACGAATACAAAGAATAGTAATAGTAATAATAATGATCATTTTTCTTTTCTATTATTTCTTAATTATATATAAATATATATATATATATATATTTAAGAGAAGAGCTTCTTCTCAAAGGAGTGGAGACCGTGGACACCACCTTCCATCTGAGCAGCAGCAGTACGCTTCTCGAAACGAACGGTACCGTTGGCAACCGACTCATGGAATTCAGCGAGCGAGCGGCAGCCGATATCCTGGAGAGAGTGCTGGACACCAGTGTGGAGGTAGCCGAGGAACTTGCGGACCGAACCCTTGTCAACCACATTACCAACGACACCCTGGGCGACCTTGACGGCATCACCCTCTGAGAAGTAGCGCTTTGTGGCTGCATTTCCGTCCTTTCCGCTCTTGTTGTTCATGGCATCAATGGAGCCCATACCACGGTAGCGCTTGAGACGCTGGCCCTCGCGGTAGAAGTACTCTCCGGGGCTCTCGGTTGTGCCTGCCAGAAGACCGCCCATCATGACGGCCGAAGCACCAAGAGCAGTAGCCTTGACGATATGACCGACGTTTCCGATGCCACCATCAGCAATAGTGGGCACGCCAAACTTGGCAGCGAACTCGGAGACGCGGTAGACAGCAGTAGCCTGGGGACGACCGCAGGCCATGACCTCCTGAGTGATGCAGATTGAGCCTGAGCCCATACCGATGCGCAGGCCGTCGGCGCCAGCAGCGATGAGACTTGCGGCCTGTTCGCGGGTGACGACGTTACCGGCAATGACCTCGAGCTTGGGGAAGGTCTTCTTGATCCACTGGATCATCTCAATCTGGTAGACCGAGTTACCCTGGGAGGAGTCCAGGACAACGACATCGAGACCGGCGTTGACCAGCAACTCGAGACGATCTCTGTCATCAGGGCGAGTACCGATGGCAGCACCGCACAACAACTGCTTGGAGTCGGGAGCCTTGGAGGCCAAGGGGTAGTTCTGGTTCTTGAGCAAATCGGAACGAGCCAAGAGGGAGACGAGGTTGCCTTGTGAGTCGACAATGGGAAGCTTGCCCTTCTTGGACGAGGCGAGGATATTGTTGGCCTCGGTCAGGGTAACACCCTCCTTGGCAACCACAAGGTCCTTGGTCATGATGTCCTTGAGGGAGGAAGAATCGTCCTGGTGAAATTGGATATCGCGGGCAGTGACGATACCAACCAACTTTCCGTGCATCTTTCCAGTCTCTAATGATTTATTTATTTTTTGGTTAATTCATTATTATTAACATTTGGATTTTCTTTGAAAAAAAATTCAATATGAAATTTGGGAGGGAAGGGGGTTTTTTTTGTAGAAAAAACAGATACACAGATATAGACACATAGTACAACCTTAATGGTTACACATTTATTTTATTTATTAGAACTTACCAGTGATGGGGATACCGCAGAAACCAGATTTTTCCTTGATGGCCTTGACATCAGCTACAGTGTTTGTGGGGGACAGGACAACGGGATCAATGATGAAACCGTTCTCAAACTTCTTGACCTTGCGGACCATGTCGGCCTGTTCTTCGGGGCTGCAGTTGTGGTGAATGATACCAATGCCGCCGAGGAGCTGGAAAATGATAATATAAAGATTTAAATGTTAGATGTAAGTTGGTATGTGCACTGGCAACATATGTGTATGTGTGGACAGTGAAACAATAGAGAAATAAGAATAAAACTTACAGCCATGGAGATAGCCATGTCAGTCTCAGTGACAGTGTCCATTGGAGAGGACAGGAAGGGGGTCTTCAAGGTGATGTTCCTTGTGATCTTGCTTTCAAGAGAGGCCTTCTCGGCAGCGAAATCAATGAATCCGGGAAGGATCAAGAAATCATTGTAGGTCAAACCACCGCTGAGTTGTTCATCCAACAAAGCTTCGACAGACAAACCATCACGGTTACCATAGGTCTTCAAATAGTCCTTGGCTTTGGAAAAATCAATAACGTTGGACATGGTTTTATTTTATGAGAAAAAAAAGAGGTAGTTTTTTATTATGAAAAAAAATGTATATAATTTGTATATGGATTTTACTTTAGTTTTTTTAGGACCAAAGAGGGGGTGGATATCCCCCCCTTCTTAACGAAGCGTTTTCCAGGTCTTATTTATACCTTTTTTTTTTCTGTTTACTTTCTTATCTTCCGAATCAATATGATTGGGCAAAGGTTCCAATTGTGACTTTTGATCTCCAAGTTAAAAAAAAAAAATGAAAAAAAAAATAGTGGCCAATTAAAAACTTTTTTTCTTATTTTAGGATTGAGCTTAACAATATTTGAGCTCCATTTTAAAGCACAGAAAAAAGAAGAAAAAATTTAAGATTTGAATCACTCTTTTTTTTTTTTTTCTCTCTAATGTGTCTGTGTGTCTTTTGTGATGTCACACAATTATGAACGCGTAATCGGTCTAATAAATTTTTATACCTTTTAATTTTTTGGTTTTTTTTTTTGCTTCATCACACACACAACATGATCTTAGATTGAGTCCTTTTAATTCCAAACAGCAGAATCACAGCCTTTTTCATGCAATTACTAGTTATTACTATTAGTATTATTGTATTTTGAATGAGCTTTATAATTATAACCCGGATTAATCAGCAACTGCAAAGCACCAACAGATATCAGACACGGTAACATGCATTATTATTATTATTACTACTATTATTATTGGCGTTGTTTTTATTACTGTTAGTATCGTTATTTTCTTCATTGTTATTCTTGAGACTGTATTATTTCTACAAGAGAAAGAAGTATTGGATTGATAATAATGGTGGGATGTAATAGTGCTAGTGATAATGATGAGAATGATGATGGTAATGGTGGGTAACAATTAGCAGGAGTTTAAGTGTTCAAAGCATATCTGGTCTGTAGGTTGCTTTGTAGTAAGTCTGTAGGTGTGTTTTATTGTATTTGTGATTCTGTATTTGTGAGGGATTAGGACGATGATGATAAAAGAGTACACGTTGAATATCACTGTGAAGTTGGTGTACGCCGAGAATAACAATAACAATAATATAAAAGAATATGATGATTTATTCGGATACTTCTGAGCCAGATATCATACTAAAGTATTTGGTATTGACGAAGACCATAATTTACACATTTGAGGAAATGACAAATCTGATTCTTGCTTTCTTGTATAAATTTATTATTGTTATTGTTATTTGAAATTCTTCTTTTATGTAAAATATAATAAAAATTCATTCTACACAATTTTATTTTATATGAATATTTGAATATTTGAATGTTTGTAATTTGGTTAAATTTGACTGGTAAAGATTCACTTAATCTTTGTAACAAACTCACAGCCTCTTTACCTCTACTTCTTTACCTCTCTATTTTTATACCTCTTTCTATTTCTCCCTAAATAAAATAGCTATACATAAATCATTCAAACCAACCCCTCCCCCCCTCCCTCCCTTTTTTATTTTTATTTTTCTTCTTTTTGATGCTCTTGTTGGTTTATAACAAATCTTATATATATATATATATATATATACATATATTTTACTTTTGCTTCATTCGATATGTATTTCTGCCTGTCATTATGTGTATAGCCATTAAAAGTATCTTATGATTACAATTGTACATATATGTATATATGTATATATGTATGTATGTATGTATGTATGTATGTATGTATGTATGTATGTATGTACATCTAATATATATATATATACTGTGGGTTTAGTACTTGACATCTCCTTTATGTATTTTTTTTCTTTGTTTCCCCTTTATTTCCTGTTTCCTTTTTTTTTTCTTTATCCTTTTTAAATAGCTTGGATTCCTGTCTTTTTTTTTGTTGTTGTTGCTGTTGCTGTTGCTGTTGCTGTTGCTGTTGTTGTTGTTGCTGCTGCTGCTGCTGCTGTTGTTGTTGTTTATATAGATATTTAATCATTTAATCATTTAATTACTTCTTTACCTTTTGTTCTTACATTCTTTCCTTTCTTATTTATTCTTCTTTGCTTTTGTGATATCCAATGGCGCTTGTACAAAGATCAAAGTCAAATCCAGGTTTTGGAGCCAGTCCAAGATACCCCATCAGAAGAGTACAATCCTGCTCACTGCCAAAGATGATCAGAACCACAAGCAAGGTTAGAAACCAAATATAATTTATACCTAAATAAACATTGAAAAATAATCTCAATACTCTATAGAATACCTGGAGATCCCCCGGATGTTGTGAGATCCCAAATATCCTTGGACATGCTTACCTTGGACCAGATCCGCCAGCTGTGTTTGACTTGCGGCCTTTGGAACTCAAGAAACAGATCTGCAAAGTAAGTGACTCACCCAAAACACAACAGGAAAAAAAATTATTCTGAACTTCTGACTAACATCTATCTATCTATTTCTTTCTTTCTTTTAACAGCGTCCCTGGTACCCTCCTAGCCCACATTACAATGTTCCGCAGTTAAAACCCCTGGCCCGCCATGAGACCAGATTTGAGCGCACGGTGAAAAAGATGTTACCATCCCAAACTGTCCGCTCGTCAAATCCTAGGTCTCGCTATGATCAATTTAAAGAGATTGGAACTGGGTAAATACATATACAATTATGTTTAAGCATCCTCTGGAATACTACATAAAATACGCTACAATATAATAAAGACAATTACGATTATAATAAACAACGACAATAAGGATATATATTTATATATTTATATATTATTTTCATTAATAATAACAACAACAATGGTCTATTATCATGATCTCTAGTGTAAATGGTGCGGTTGTACGTGCAAATGATCGCAGAAATCCGGGTGTTCAGGTGGCAATCAAACGCTGCAAACTCGACCCTGACCGGACCTATCGAGCTGCCATCCTACGAGAACTGAAGATCATGTCTGGAAATCATGCGAACCTTATCCAATTGAAAGAGGTCACGGTCTGGCGGGATGCAATCTGGATTGCAATGGATTTGATGCGCTGCTCAGTATTTGCAGTCTTGTGCCGACGTGGAATGCCTGAGGACCATACCATCCTCGTAGCCCGTCAGACCATCTTGGCCCTAGAGCATCTGCACTCCAAGGGGGTCTTGCATCGCGATCTAAAGTGCGAAAATTTGCTTCTGGGCTGGCAAGGTCAGGTGAAACTAGCCGACTTTGGTTTGTCTGCTCGTGTAGCTCGTCCTCAACGCGACCGTCTAGGGACCAGCAAGTGGTAAGTTTATTATTTTTTATTTTAAAATATATCTTATTGATTGATTGTCTTTTGGTATTTGTAGGATGGCTCCAGAAGTCATTAGACAGGACCACTACAATGAAAAGATTGATATGTGGTCCCTTGGAATCACCTTGATAGAGATGATGGATAGAGTTCCCCCTCACTACCTTATCAAGGATGAAGAAGAGTTGTTTGATGTAATTACCACAGAACCTAGTCCTACTTTCACCTACAGCTATCCATCAATGTACATGCGCGGCCTCGTGTCATGGCTCCTTGATGAGAACCCTTTGACTCGTCCTGCTGCTTCTGATGTTCTTCTCGTAAGTCCTTGTGAATTGATATCAATGTTTGCATTTATTCTAAATATTTAATTGTTTCTATTGTTTCTATCTATAGGAAATCGATACCCACATTAATCAAAAACTCTTACCTTGCTCTTCTTCAGCCGAACTTGTCCACTTTCTGGATCAGGTCCTGATTTAATTACCCTCAGGTTTCTTAACAGCAACAACAACAAAAAAAGGGCTATAGCAAAAAAATGAAAATGAAAATGAAAATGAAACTGAAAACCTTGGTGATATAACTAGTACAAAATACTCTTTTTTTTTTCTTTTTTAAAAAAAAATCTTTCTTTTTACGCATTTACACTTATACATCTTTACATATATTCACTCTTACACTTACACTTACACTTACACTTACACTTACACTTACATATATACACAAAAAGAAGAAGGTATAAAAGAAAGAAAAAACAACAATTTTCCAACCTTCAAACAGCAACCCTTCTCCTCCTTTCAAAATCCTCACTTAATGATCTTTTCAAAAAATCACCCACCTTTCTTTCCTTCTCTCTCTCTCTATCATATACATATATATTATTTTATTTTGCATTCATATTTTTATCCAAATCATTCAATATTCCTTATATAAATACCAATACCAATACCAATACCAATATATATATATAATAACCAAAGAAAAAAAAGATAAACCTCTTATTGTCTACATTAATTAATGATATTTTTTTTCTCTCTTAAAAGAAAAGTGGTAGGAAGGATCATATATGCATAGTCTAAAAATATAAAGGATAAACTGTCAAGAATAAAATCTATTGTTGAGACGGGGCTTTTATTTATTTTTATTTATTTTCTTGAGGTATTGAATCTGGCTTTGTACAATATCTGGAAGAGATAAAGAGAGAAATAAATCAAAGGAAAGGTGAAAAGGAGTAAGAGGAGGATATTTAAGGGAGGAAAGGAAACAAAAAAAAAAGACCAAGGGGGGATACAGAGGGTGGGTTTAGTAAAATTGAATATTAACTTTCTTGTACTTGTTTGTTGTTATTCTTGACCTTTGAATAGAGTTTTCTTTTCTCACTCACTTTATATACTGTTACCAATGTCTTTTTTTTTAAAAAAATAAAAAATAAATAAATTGTTGATCAATTTTTGTCTAATATTTCTGCCACAACCTTAATACACCAATAATAATTTATTTATTTTTTATATATAAAAACAGTTACTGGGAGACCAAAAATAAACCAAAAAGAAGGGGGTGGTTAAGATGATGTGTAAGTTTGTTTATCACGCCATTATTATCTATTATTTTGAAACAAAGAGCTCTTATACAATATTGTTTCAATAAAATGGAATACACACTACATACACAAAGAAAATTAAAATGATGATGACGATGACGATGAAGCCAAACGTGCTTGGGGTTCCGTTTTTCCCGACCGGGTCTTTCCTCCATTTCTACAGAGACTGAATACAGGCACTATTTTAGTTTTAAGCACAGGCTAGTTAGTACCTTTTATATATATATATATATTATATTATATTATATTATATTATATTATATTATATTATATATATATTATTTCCAGTGAGTGGTAGTGGTAATGACATACATACATAGATACATACATACATACATAGATACATACATATATATATATATATTTAATATAATATAATATAATACAATACAATAAAAATATATTCCTGGTATTCACACACATTATACATACATTTTATATACCTACATACCTACATACCTACATCATGAGTTGGTAATCTTATTATTCTTTTAAATTGAAAATATATATATATATATATAGATTCTCAATAAACTCATCCTTCTACTCCAATCTCACTCACAATTCAACCCAATGACTCTTTCATCACAACTAGGAAAGGAATGACAAAGGCGTTCTCGCGTCTACCATATCAACTCGCAAAGAAAGACAATGGCACGTCATTTATTATTTTCCATTATCCTTTTAATATCCCTTTTTTTTAAAAAAAATAAATAGTAAATCGGTAGCAACACCAACAGAAACATTTCATTGTTTGAATTCACTCATTTATAATTTCATATATATACAGTTACTGTTGATGAAGAATTTGGACGCTTAGAGACTAGATTTATCGAAAAGACAAAGGAGATCGTTGCTCTTGATACTCACACAAAAGAGTTTAGAAATGGCGTGTCAGGCAAGCTTAACAACCACCTAAAATAAATCGAGAGTTTTTTGTAATTTCTTTTTTTTTCTTTTTATGGATTTTATAGACATGTTAAATAATCAACAGGGATGTTCTGCACTACTTGAAAACCTTTTTGCACCTTCTATGGGATGCCATACAAATGAAGATGGATCTACTAGACCCGCGCCTACAGATATACCATTCGGCAGTCTCCAAGCTGCACAGGATTATGCAACAGCCATGAATTACTGTCGCGATGAAATTATGCAAGAACTAGTAAGATTTTTTTTTTGATGATGATAATAATAATAACATTTTTTTTTAAAAAAAAGGATGCATTGGATAAAAGTGTAATCCAACCTACTGATCAGTTGGCAGCATTAACCAAAGTGATCCAAAAGACAATTGTCAAGCGCCAGCACAAACTACTTGATTATGACCGGTTTCGTACATCCCACCAAAAATACGCTGCCATTGCTGACAAGGGACCAAGTGAAGAAAAGCATATGATCAAGCTGCAAAGTCAGCTGGAGACAGCAACCCAGGACTACTTTTACCTCAATAATCTTCTCAAGCGAGATCTGGCAGAGTTTCTGAGACTGGCGGCTTTGTTTATCCAGCCTGTCCTGGAAGACTTTTATGAGATCCAGTGCCGGGTTCTTGGCGGCATGTATGGGCGGATCTACGAGGTTGCCGAAACCCACCGGGCAGTGTTCCTGACACTCGACAAGAGTTTGCAGGTCGGATATGAGTGGCGGCTGGGTCAACGCCCGGTGGATCAGGAAATGAAGCAATTGAGTATTTTACAAAAGAGCACTGGAGCACGTAAGCTGTAAATAGATCAAATTAGATTAGATTAAAAGTATGTATGTAAATATGTATGTGGGCAAGTGTTTAAAAAAAACATATACATATATATTAGAGTTGGGATATAGAGCAGACTCCTTGGAAGACCGGATGAAGAACCGTGATCCTGTTTACAATAACAATCCCGACAGATTGTCGACTGCGTCACTCAAACCTGCCATGTCAGCAAAACCATTGATGGCACCCAAACCAACCATGGCACCCAAGCCAACCATGACACCAAAGCCAGCAATGGGATCTAAATCATACAACCACTACCAACAACAGCAGCAATATGAAGAGAAGGATGAAGAAGGAGAATATATGGGATCAAGATTTGGATCATTGGCACTATCATCACCGTCACCACCACAAACAACAACAAACAAACCAAAGACACGTATGCCTCCTCCCCCTCCACCACCAAAACCAAAGGCAAAGGCAAAGGTTGCTGTAGTGCACTATGTGATTGCATTGTACGATCTTGATGCTCAACAGGCGGGAGATCTTACCTTTCGACAGAATGATCGGATTGAATTGATCGAGAGAACAGCAGATGAACAGGACTGGTGGAAAGGACGATTGGGAGATCAGGTTGGAATGTTTCCAGGTGAGTTGATTAGCTGGGAAATGGGTTGTATGTAGCTATAGTAAAAGGAACTGGATAAGGTTCTATAGCTATACACTTGTTATTGTGTATACAGAATGATGTGGTTACAAATGTACTTATGGAGAGTTGAATGGATTAGGCAACTATGTGACACTGGAATAATAAATACATACACAATACAAGATCCAACCATCAACCAATCACCAACAAGAATATATATATAATTTCCCCTGAAAATCCTGCATAGTGAATGAATGAATGAATGAATGAATGAATGAATGAATGAATGAATGGAATAAATTTATATATATAAATAAGAATACTTTTAAAGAAAGAGCTGGATTTGGAATATTGAATTTGATTGTTGGAATTTCAAGTCCGTTTAAATATATTGTTTGTATTTTATATGTTTTGAATACACATGAAAAATATTTATTTATAAGATTATCATAGTGAAATTCTTGCATTGACAGTGGCACCAATGGTATTCAAACAGAAATGGTGTGCTTTAATATATATATATATTTACAAGACAGATCTTTTTCTTTGCAATTACTGATTTAACTTTTTTCTCTCTCTCTCTTTCTTTATTTGATTGTCCGAAATCTATTGATAATTTATATAATGATTCATTTTATATTTAGAATTTCAATCTCCTAGTAATAATAATTTTTATTTTTAATATTTTCTACACAACAAAAAGAGCATTTTTTTTTTGTATTTTTGTTGGATGATCTTCAGTCGTCAAACCTTGTACTGAATTGAAGTCCCAAAAAAGGGCACAAAGATCCAACTACAAAGATATTACACATTACAGCATTACACACTATAGAATTATAGCATTATATACATATTGATATAATATATAGTATATATAATATAAAATGTGAAAATTAGTGCTGTATATAAAAGATACTCAGGTACATAATAATAGTACTAATTAGTCTCTATCTTTAAAATAAATTATATGTATATAAAAAAAAACAAGATCATCTCCTTTTTGTCATTATATATATATATATTCTGCTTTGGCGTCTATTGAATGCTTTTATATATATAACACAAAACCAAGAATAAGAAATAAGAACAGGATCGGACTAGGAAATAAAATAGAAAAAAAGAAAAGAAAGGCCTGGGTGTAAATTGAGATTGAAGATATGAAGCCTATCCTGCCGTGTTTCTCACTCCGTTCTAAATGTCACACACGCCTTCTTTCTACAGGCTATATACACCACCACCTTTATAACATATATATCTTTATATATAATTTAGTTAATTAATTAATAGCAGGCTGAATGTTCTTATATTTCAATTGTTAGTGTTAGTATTATCTTTACATATAAATACAGATAGATAGATAGAAAGGTAGATATATGGTAATTATTGTTACTTGTTAATTAATACAGATTTCTCTTTCCTCTTTTCTTTCTTTCTTTCTTTCTTCCTTCCTTCCTTCTTTCTTCTTTCCTTCTTTCCTTCCTTCCTTCCTTACTTCCTTACTTCCTTACTTCCTTCCTTTCTTATATATATATATTTATATTAATTTTCTGAATTATAAAATAAAATAAATAAATCAAAAGAATAATAGTCACCATGGGAAATCAAGCAAGCAAAGTTATCGATAAAAGCAAAGAAAAACGAAAGAGAACGACCAAAAGACGTCAAAGTACGATAACACTCAGTGCCAGATCAACCGTCTCGCACCATTCCCTCCAATCCCACGGAAACTATGACTGGCTCGAAGAAAGCCAAGAAACTGCCCTGAGTGCGCGAGTGATCCACGTAGCCATGGCAAAGGCCTCGGCTGTCTCGCAATCGTCCTCAATCTCATCACACCCATCACACATATCAACTTCCTCTTCTTCTTCGTCTCATATTCCAACTCATGGACCACCAGGAGCCCGTCGTAAATCAATCACCGAATTCTTCACAAGGCGCAAACAAAGCATCTCTAGACCAACCATCTTTTCAGAAAATGAATTCCGAGAACATGATAGACTTCAACGACAGGTAAAGAAATAATACCTTTAATTTTGAGACTGGGTGTGGGTACTTTTTCTTTTTCTTTTTCTTGTGCTTGTGCTTGTGCTTGTGCTTGTGTACCTGTGAGGCAGAATGACGATGACGACGATTATGATGATTATTAGAAGGACAAAGGAAGTAGAAAATATATATATATATTGCTGTCCGGTCCACTTTGTGTTGCAAAGGCTGGGTTTCGATCAAGTTAAATGAACTTTACAAAAAAAGAAAAAGTTCATCTCAGCTACAATACATACAGAGATATATAAATATCTAAAAGATTAGAGAAATCATATTATTCCCAATACATATACTGTATAGATAACCAATAGTTCCTTTCTTTTTAAAAAGCAAATGAAAAAAAAAAACACACACACACACTCATACACACTCACTCACTCATATACAATTTCTTATATATATATATCTTCTTTAGCATTATCTATTAAAGAGTGCAAGAAAGAGTAACCATTGGGCAACTTTAGACACACCAGCTGTTATTCTTGACATGGGAACTGGAAATGGCATCTGGGCACTCGAAATGGCTTCTCAGTTCCCTCAAGCCCAGGTCCTCGGCATGGATCTCCGTCCACCCCACGAGCAACAAGGTGGTCCAAAAAATCTGCGTTATGTCGAAGCAGACATTAGACAATCCTGGCCCATGGGAGACAATTCCATTGACTTGTGAGTATTAACTTCCTGTTTTTTAATATTAATTTTTTTTGAGAATCATAACTCTTATGTATTACTACTGTTAGTATTAAGCTAATTTTTAATTTTAATATTAATTTTTAATATTAATTTTTTTTTTAAAAAAAAGTATCTTTCAACGTAATATGGGTCAAGTCATTCAAAAGGACCAATGGAGCCACGTGCTCAGTGAAATGAGACGTGTTCTGAAACCAGGCGGCTACATTGAACTGGTCGAGTCTGACCTCTGGCATCACAACCCTGGTCCGGTCCAGCAGGCATTTGATGAGTTCTTCGAGGGCCAGTGTGCCGACCTCGGTTTGGACTTCATGTTCACCGACAGATTAAAAGACCAGATCGAACAGGTCGGTGGGTTTGGATCGGTTGACATGCGCGCCCTGGACATCCCGGCCGGCGAATGGCCAGCCGAAGCAGAGCTAAAGCAGTTTGGATTCATCAACAAGGAAACCCAAAAAGCCTTCTTGCGGAACTGCAAGACCTTTTATGTCTCCAAGTGGGGTATCACCTCAGACGATTACGATCTTGCTGTAGGAGAAGTCATGGAAGAATTTGAAGAGTATCATGGATTCACCCGTTTCAATTGTTGGATTGCCCAAAAGTCTTGATTTCTTTTTCTTTTTCTTATATATATATATACTGCTTCTATTATGTTTCTGCGTTGTCTTTTGTTGCTGTAATCTATTGTACCATTCTTACTTTCTTACTCTTTACTTCTTCTTGTGTATAATCTATCGCTCTATTTATATTCTTCCTTCATCCCCTTATTGACTCTTTATTTCTCTTATGCTCCTAACTGATATTTTTAACTCCATTTAGTGTTTGTACTTTAGATAATAATAATAAATAGAAATAAAAGGTACAGCCTTGGAGTAAAAAACAGATATAATCAATTAAACCAGATGCTTTGGTGTGTATATTTCATTACTATTCAATACTTTAAGGTTTATTGGACTTCATATTCCGGAAAGAGAAAAAGAAAGAGAAAAGCAGGTTTATCTTCTTCATTACTCAGAACAATAGAAGAAGTATGTAAAGAAGAAGCACTAATTTATATAATATTTAATAAGAGTTTAAGCTATAGATTTGCTGTATAGTATATATATATATATATAGTTATGTATTACCTTCTACCTTTTCTTATCTAAAAAAAAATTACGATTCCCTAAATACTATAATATTGATAAAGGCATGTATATTCCTTAATCGATTCTTTTTATCAAAGAGTATACACCTTTTCTGTGTTGACATCGCTACGTCTGATTCCTATTTTTGAAAAACCGAAATAATGATAATTAAATATCACCCTAAAATTAGTATATGCTAGAAGTGTCAAAGTTACAAGTCCTTTGAATCAATCATATTAGTATTTTTCTACAGTGTATTATGTTCCGAAACAATTTTACATTAGTATTATTATTTGCACCAAAAGAGACTTGAACTGCTTATAAGATTTCTCGGGATCTTTCTAGACAGTGTTATGAAATAGGATGTAACCCGGACTCAAGGGGGAGGGGGTTCGTTACTGAGTGGGTAAGCTATTAGATTTGAATTATTCTATCGTCTTTAATTCTTATGCTGGGTTGAAGAAGTTGGAAAAAGTATGTTTTGCATTGACTGCAAAAACATGGTGGCGTAAAAAGTGGAATATATATATAAGAGAGAAAGATTAGTGTTTAATTAAAATTCCAAAATAAAGCACATTTTTAAAGCTGTACATAACTATTCAAAATGTATCTCAAGACAGGAATACTTGCTTGAGGATTTCTTGAAAAAGTGGCCTTGTTGACTGGAATTGTAGGCAGTCTATTGCGGATTGGTGTGATTCTTTCATTTAGAAAGGCAGAAAGTCGAGAAAGTATAATAGCCGTCTGGCAATATTTGATCTGGGATTTGAAATGGAGCTGGCAGTTTAATCAGTAGATTGTCCAGTAAATGTTCATATACGATGTTCTTTATTGCCATTATGGAAAGATACTAAAATTTGATATAAGCTTATCATATATATATATATATGTAAATAAATTGAGCAATAATAATATTTTATCCTGAAATTCGTTCTTGTTATATAAATAAAATAGTTTGCTATTATATTTTCAAATTTTTCTACATAACAGTTGTTGTATGTAGTCGCAATAGTCATGCATGCAGAAGATACTACCGCACCATAATTTTTAAGGCCATTCAAGCTGACAGTAAGATTAACTCCGTTAGTTTGCATCGGCTCTGTATATAATGCCTGAAGATGTTGTAGTCTAGGGTAATGGTGTGGCAACTATACTATCGTTAAACGACCATAAATTGCTCTGTAAACTCGGTACCAGAAATCTTGATCAACTAAATCAGTTGATAAATCTGAGACGCCTCAAAGGATATAGTAATTGATAAAAAGGCTGTGCGTTATACACCACCTCGCGCAAGAAAGACGATTGCAAGATAATTCTGCCTCGAGCACGTTGTATATGATCATTATTGGAGATAAAGGAATCGAGAGTAATGGACAAGGTATATCGTTGATGAGGGCCAAGATCCCTATTTAACAACTGTAGCAAAGTCATGTCATGGTTTGGGCATATAGGACTTCTTTTAGTTGAATGACCTTGAGCTCCACATGAGTTGCAAACAACGAGAACATAAGCAGCTTTCTTTGCTCTCAACTCACCAAGAGTATTATTGTGCTTGTGTCCTAAATAATAAAATAACGATGAACACTAGTTTCTTGCTTAATACATAGGGTACACTCCGATGAATGTTTCAATTTACTTTTTCTTTTAGTAGAAGTAAAGCTTTTTTCTTGGAGACCTTGTTCTTGCTCGTCTAATTTTTGTTGCTTTTTATTTCGAATCAACTCTTCTGCTGCAGGATAGAGCGTAGGACGCATCGTAGGGTAACATTGAAAAGAAAGAAATAAAGAAAAGATGCTCAAGAAGTGAATAAGAACATATTCAGTAGTGAGTTATCTTTTAATTTATATAGAGCCAAGCACAGCCACTTTTCCCGGCAGTTCAATTCATCCTTTACTGTGGTAAAGGCCAAGGAAATCTAGTTTAATGTCTATTACAAGCAAATAAAACTACCGTCTGTTTAAAGCAACATTCTATACCATGGGTGGGCAGTTACCACATCAGACAGAGTTGGAGAGGAGGAAGCAGCAATCATTGTGTTACAAAGAACACACAATTTTGAATTTTTATTTAAAATAAAAAATAAACTGCTGGGAGTACCAGTTTTAACTAAAATATTTAAGTTCAATATAAAAATGTATTTAAAGAGGACTACTGAAGATGCTCTTTATGATCTTTTCAGCATCGTGTCCTAATACAGAGCGATCCTAATTACGGGTCTACTTATTCTTCCCAATCCATTGCATTCACACCCACCGAATTTTCTGGTCAACGATTCTTCCCTGCACAACCTCATATGTAGATATAGATATATTTATTTTTAGGTATTCCTGACTGATCAAATTACCTGTACTAATCTCACAATTGTTCGTGTGGAACAGGATTCTTTAGACAATCAAATGAGTCAGTCGGACACAAGACAGATAACAGAACCAAAACAAGACAAATAAATAAAGCTACGTTGAGTATATACTTTTGTATTATTTTGATTTGTTAGTAGCTAAATTATAAGAAATAAAGGTGAATATATACATATATTGAGTGGGAATTTAGTAACTTGAAAGATAAAGGTCTGGTCAGTAAACATGACTTATGGTGCCCAGTTGTTAAAGTAATCCAAAAATATATCGTGACCCTGACAACCAAGAAATAAAAACAGACAAATAGACAATGGCTTTAAAGGCCTCGAAATAAGTAAAATAAAAATGACTGGAAGGGATGAAGGAGGGGGGTAGGATTCAATATTCCTACAGCTATACTACTGGTATAATATTAACTATGAGCTAATTAATATCTCAAGTGAAATCATGCAGGGAAACTTCGTTGGAAACAAAGTAGAGTGGATGAATTATAAAAGTTGGCTTGGTTGGCCGTAAGGCTGCTCCGTTTGAATAATCAATTAGAAGCTCCGTTTGTTTCCAATTGATCGAATAAGAGAATTTCTTGTTGACCAAAAATCAGGTGTAAATCAAGGCTTCTTTGTTACTTTCCAATTAAAAAACCAATATTCTTACTTATGTATCTATTTGTGCAGGCTAAAACGTCTACCTAGAAACTCTCTTGTCCAAAATAGAATAATAGTAAGAAGTAAAAATAGGTGGTCTTACAGGACACAACTTTTAATTAGCCTAAAAATAATAATACAAACAAAAAACTTGACAGCTGATTTCCCACTGTAGACTGATTTTCATCGGCAGTACATCAGAATACACCTCTTAAGCACACCCTGGAGCGACATTTAAAAAGAAAAATACACTCCCTACAGTGTAATTGTCTTTCTTTATTTTGGTCCCAAAAACGGGTTCTTGTAATTCTTTTACTATTTAATGATATTGAATAGCAGATCTAGAAAGATCCATAAAAGAAGAGTATATATACATATATCAAAAAATATAAAAAGGTCAATTCACTCACATTTAACGTCTTTGTCAATCTTCCAAAAAAAAATGTATGCTGGTGCGTGCAAATATGTAGAAAAGAAAAAGCATAATAATAGTACATTAAGGGTGTTAAAGAAAAGGGTAATTATTTTTGTTATGTGGAATATAATAGAAAACAAGTATCATCTTGACTCTCGTTTGTGTTCCATTCGTTTCTTCAACATTAGGAACAATGCATGTTTCTCTTCTCTGAGAGATATCAACCTGGCATGAAGAGTATCTTTGGTAGTGTGGGAATGTACAGCCATGCTGGTGCGTGCATAAATGCGGCCATTCAGAGAGCGAGTGGGATGGGCGAGGCGTAATTGTCTTGCAATTGCTTTACGAATCAGACGTTGGTTTGGCTGAAGTGGAGATGAGAATGTGATTGGTGCCATTGTAGTTATTTATATATTTATCTATGGTTTTGATAACTTTAAAGAATAAGAGAAGTAAAAGTGAAGAGATACTAAAGAAGAGGAAAAGAAAAAGTAGAGGGAGAACTAAACTTGTTTATAACCTCCCGTTCTTATATAATTAGATATACAGTGTATCTGTATGAATATATGTACAGTGCTTCCAACAAGCAATATTGCACCCAATCAAAATCAATGCTATGCTTTCAAAAATAGAAGTCGTATTTTTAAAAATCGCGTCCTTTCTTGGTTCTCAAGAGTGAGTGAGTGAGTGAGTGAGTTTTTTTTTTAAAAAAAAAACTTTGTTTTCAATTGGTGTGGACAGACCAAAAAGTTCAAAAAAAAAGTTCAAATATATATTAGATAAAATTAAGCGCTCATAGTATCATTGGTTTCATTATGTGAAAATCATTTATTGCGGGCGGTTTTTTTAGACCTTGCCTCCTATGTCACATTTATTCCATCAAAAGTATGCTATTCTTAATCTGAGTGGCAATAGAAGAAGATTAGCTAGTCAGAGTCATTTGCATTTCTTCAAACTTTTTTTTTAAATGCTTCATGCTGATTGAACAGTCCGTGCCGCAAAAAAAAGGTCATAGTTGCTACCGAAATTGACAATTTCTTGGAGTCAGGAGAATTTTCTATACAGCTTCCAGTTGTGTCTGTTATATATATAATAATATAATTTATTACCTAAAAGAAAGTTACTTGATGCTATCGATGGTTGTTAGCAAACCCACATAGTCTAAAGCTATAAGACCAGTTTTGCCGAATTTTCAGTCTAGTCTATGAACAAGATCTTGTAGTCGAGCATTAGATGTTGTCAAGCGTTACTTTTTCGTCGGAACATCTACCTTTTACTGATCCGTCGCAATTGGTGAGCGAGCCCAAGAATGTTGGATCAGTATTCTCGTGTCTCTGTAAGATAGTATCAGAAGCATTTTAACAAACTTGACAACTGCCTGAAAGTCAAACAATTATATCGTGCTTAGGGCGCTTTAAGTTTGGTTAGCAACTCTGAGACTGATATTACAAGAAAACCATTGTAATACTAAAGTCTAAATACCAAAACTCTATTGTCTAACAAAAGGTTGTAAGGTAGAGGCTTTAAATCCTGCGCTTTCTTATAGTGGCAGACAATAAAGAGTTGTGAGAAACAAGCAGGTATATCAGTCAATTACTTATACAGGTCTTCAAGTAATACTAATAAAATGAAATACTGTCCACATAAAAACAAACAAACAAACAAACATGTTGTCCCAATAAAGACTCCTAATCTAGAGAATGAAAGAATAGCAAGAAAGAGTGTCTAAAGAAGTATCTTTAATTAATTGCAATGATAATCGACCATCAGCTATGATTTGTCAATTATCAAGTAGAGTATACAAACCAACATACACCCACATATGTACACACAATAATCATTGGTATTCTCAAATTGTGTTTAATTAATTGGAAATATTTTGCCTATAATTTTTATACCTATACCTAAATTTATATTTATATTTATATTTATATTTATATTTATACTTATATTTATATTTATATATTTACACAAAGAAATATAACTTTTTTCTTTCTTTTCTTTGATAGTGATGATCAAAGCTGTTTACTTCTTTTCATAGACGTCAGACTTTCTCCTTTTTCCTTTTTGGATATCCTTTAGTTTGTAATTAGGTCTGTGGGTGGAGGTGTGGTATGATGGGATCTTTGTCGAGTACGCCTGGCTGTACTCGGTCCAGGGCTGCCCGCATGTCGTTTTGTGTCCATAGTTCGTTTGGTTTCCAAAGATTTTTTGGGGCATGGTTCACCGTATGCCCTCATCCAAGAAGGACGGGCAGGATTACCATTCTTATTAACCCAGTCAGGTTCCCCCATCGCCTTTCCAGCTATCATTTGATCCCATCCATCCGGCACACCTGTAGCACCAGTCAAACGACCTAGATAGACTCCTAGATTGGGTGACCAACGCATCTCATGGTTCTCACAGGCCCGGATAACTCCAAACGTCTCCTTATTCGAAAATGGTACCATTGTACTAGGATCTCTGTAAATAGCTGGCTGTCCAGTGATAAGACAAGTTGCAGGCTTGAGGGGTTTAGGTTCCTTGTCAAGCCAAGAGTTCAATTCCGGAATCAAATCCAGCCGATCAAGTTCCTTGTCTGTCAATCCA